ATAACCGTGAAAAGTAATGATTATTTTAATCAATTTCTAACCTACTCTGGTATACTAAATGGAAAATATGGAATTTGGAAATAAAATCGAAAACCGAGTCGAAAACAAAATTTTAAAAAGGTAAAAATCACTTTAAAATATTACATTGTTTACAAAATTCTTTTCTATATATTGTTCTGTAATAATTTTTCTAAATATCTTTTATTTTCTAAATTTTTTAATTAAAAAGTATGAAAATTTTTACTCAAAAATTAATAAATTACACTAATTGAATAATAATGACAATAATTATAAAAAAATATTCTCGATATCGAAAGAATATATTAAAATACTATCCTTTCAAATTGAAAATTTTTTTTTTTTGTTTATTTTATATGTCAAATTTAAAAGCCATAAAAATCTATATTCACACTGAAAAAAAATTATTTGATTCAAATAAACGGTTACTTGAATATTATTAAATAATTATATATTTTTATTTGAATAATTATTATATGAGTCAATTAAATGATTTTTGTTCCAAATATACAGAAATTATTGGTTCAAATACAATTTATTTAATTCAAATAAATATTATTTGATTCAGGTAAACATTTATTTAATATTAGTCAAGTAATCAATTATTTGAATCAAATAAAGTTTTTTTCAGTGCAATTAAACGCGATTTTTTTTTTTTGTTATAAGTATTACATACCGTAAAATTTTATTGATTTAGTGCAAAAATTTGGTTTAATCAGAATTAAATTTTTGTCTAAATTAACCAAATTGATTGAATAAATTAAAAAGTTGTTTTTTTAAATTAAGAAATTAAGAATCTTTTTTTTGTATTTCTGAATTAAGTTAAATTCGCGTGTAAAGGAAAACTTAATAATCTCTTTGATTTTCTTTCAAATTGAGAAGAAAAATCCTCTTTGTGAGAAAATATTTTTTTTTTAAAATTAATATGAGAATCTAAAAAAAATCAGAAATGAAATCTTATTTTCAATTTGAAAATATTTTTTTGTTCTGTATAAAAAAAATTTTAACATCACTGTAAAAAGATAATCTGATTTTTAAAGGAGAAAAAGAAGAATCTTATCAATATTTTTAAGACAGGGTTTTATTAATTTTTTCAGTAAACTTGTTTATCGTGTAGAAATTTGTGTTGAATTAAACTAAGCATTAGAATTTGTCGTATTTTATTCCAATTAATAATGTGTTAAATGGAATTAAATTTTGTAATAAAAAAAGCTGAATTTAAGATACTTTTTTAATTTAAGACTCAAAAGGATCTAAATTTCACTGATATGAGTCTTAACGAATCCACAAATGATGATTTAGAATAAACGTTTCATTTTTACGCAAAAGTAAAACAGCCTCATATTTTAAGATTAGTTTAATTTCAAACGAATATTAAAATAAGATTTTCTTTTTACAGTGAACAATATATTGTGCATATATATATATATATATATCGTTGTTAAATTTATAGAAATGACTCATTAAGAAAGTATGCGTTTAAAAAGAAACAACGCTAAAACTAAAAGTTTCGTTCAGGTATTTTAAAAGAATTTTCCTTTCTTTTTTTTCTTTTTTTTTTTTAAACAAGTCGCCACTTATTTAACCCGCATGTCGAACGTCGTAACTTACGGGGTGTATATTACATGTTATATATGGTTTCTAATGGTATAGAAAGTTCCGCACCCTTGGGGAGCGGCAAACTTCCGGCATTCGAAGATTCTTATCAATTTTACCTGACGTTACACTTTTCTAGTTTTGGTTTCAATTTCCCAAACATTTAAAAATAAATCAATGAACTTTTATTTGTTGACAGCAATATGTTCAGATGATTTTTTTTCTTTGTTGAAAAGAATTTAATAAGAAATATATACACTATCCGAAATCAAAATTAATTTATTTTAGATATGAATATATAATTATTTTTGTTGTTACACTGAAAAAAAAATTTATTTGATTCAAATACTCGATTACTTGACTATTATCAAATAAATATTTACTTGAATCAAATAAGTTTTATTTGAATTAAATAAACTGTTTTTGGACTAATAATTTCTGTATTTGAAATAAATACAATTTAATTGACTCAAATAAAAATTATTTGATACAAATAAATATTTATTTGATAATAGTCAAGTAACCGATTATTTGAATCAAATAAATTTTTTTTCAGTGTACAAATATTTTTTATTGTTGCCTTCATATTAGGTATTTAAAAAAAATGTATATTTGATTCAAATAATCGGTTACCATTATCAAATAAATATTTTAAATAATATTATTATTTAAGTCAATTAAATAGCATTTGTTTTAAATGCCGAAATTATTGGTTTATATATATAAATTTATTTAATTAAAAAAGAAATTATTTGGTTCAAGTAAATGTTTATTTAATAGTCAAGTAACGGATTATTTGAATCAAATAAATTTTTTTTCAGTTAGAGATATATGAATGATGAATAAAAATCTCATTTATCAATTAGAATATTTCTCTTATTATATTTGTAAATGATAATTTTAAAATTAATTTCAAATTTTCTATATAATGGAGAATTATTTAAAAAGGCCTTTTTTTATATTTTATAAGCATATATATATTGTGGTGAATTTCTAAACTTTCATAATATTATACCTTGAGGTGAAAATAAAAATCTTAATTTAATCGTTCATTGATTATGCGCATAAAAAAATCCTTATTAATTATACGCATTCGAAATCGACTTTTATAGTGCTTATGGTGTACTAAAAAAAAAAAAAAAATTTTTCTTGTACACTTCATTGGCGGTAGCTTCTTTATTCTTCTTTATACATCATTTGCAAAGAATGATTCGACGCGACGGCAACTTGTTTTTGGGGAGTTGGTCATCATAATGATGAGATGATGATCGTCATCATCATCATCATCGTCAGAAGCTTTCATAGTGTAATGGAGCTGTTTTGAACAGCTGGCGCGACCCCGGGTATATTTTTATTTTATCCAGACACGATCTCGGCCACCAATTATCATAGCGATACGATCTATCTATTCACTCAGGAGTTAAGCTATTCTCTCATCCTCTCATCAACTTGGTATATTTATAAGCATAACCGAAAACCTTTTATCCATAATATTGTGGCACGAGGTCCCGCACGTGCCATATTATATTTTTTTATAATTTCATATTTAAGAACAAAAAAAAAATGATTAAATAAAAAATATTTTATTCCGCTTAATTAATTTTAATTCGATAGAGGATATATTATCATGACTGATTACAAACATTAATAGTTAAACTTTAAATTAGAATCTTAAAGTTGACTATTAATATAAGCAAATAAGCTTTTTGGATAATAAAAAAAAAATATTTTTTTAATTTGACAATTATTATATGAATCGAGATTTTTGTTTTTAAAAAAGGTAGTCAAAAGTTGTTAGACCAAAAATAAAAGAATTATATATATATATATACCCTTTTATCAAGTTTTCAAAAAGTGGAAGGAAAAAAAAAAATTGGCGAAAAAAAGAAGAGAGAAACCACAGGTCAGAAAAAGAGAGAGTAAGAAAGCCGTGCACTTAGAGCACTCACGTTGCCATTCGGCGTCCATTAGCGCTGGTTGTGGAATGCGATTCTCGATGGAGATGAGGGAGATGGTTCAAGGTATACAGCAAAAACCATGAGGAGGTTGTTAGGAGTTGAGAAATATACATATATATATATATATAAAGAGGGGGAAGAATTTGGTTGGCACGAGACGATGTATCCTGATGAGTGTAATTTCAGGACCATATTAATAACGCGCGAATAAAAGAAAACAGAAAAAAAAATGATAAATATTTTTTTTATAATTTATAAAATTAGAAGTCATTTTCATTATAAATATAATTAGCGCGATTTAATTAAGGGTGCGTAGTTTGACAATAAATGCAATCATCTTTTTTTTTTATTTTCCCTTCATTTTTGTTTTCAAATATATATTCTATTTCTATATATCTACCAATATAACATATAATATATAAGATATCCCTTTTCGTGACATGTCGAGACCGTCTTGTTGTCTTCTATATATACACTTTAGAAATGATGGTTTTTAAAGATGAGCACTCAAATACCAGAAAAAAAAAATAATGGATGGTCAGCTCTTATCGGTCATTAGTGATATTTATGCGCTACTTAGTTACGGCTTTACGACTTAAGAAATCTATAAAATACTATTGGATTTTTTCACCTTTCGTTTGGTTAGTTTTCATTTTTTCATAAAAAAAAAATTGTTTCCCTCTATAATAAAAAAAAGGTATGAATTATTTTCAAACATTGGATAGAAATGAAAAAAAAAAAATAAAATCTACAATCCACTTAAATGGCCTTCATTACCTAACAAATGAAAATTATTGACAAAAAAAAAAAAAAATGAAAATAAGTACAACAGAAAACTTACCTATAATTCTTTTTTTTTTTTGTTTTGTTATTGTTTAGAAAGCAGATGGCTCAGTCTATTCGCTAGATTTATTATATAGATAAAAAACCAATGCCACACATTTCCTTTTCAATGAAAATAACTTTTATCTATATATAAATGCGACGCGTATTTTAGATCAGATGGATTATTTTCAATTAAATTAAACTTATTAGGGTGAAGAGGGAAATATTTGAATTCTCCACTCTGTAAAGAAATTAAAAAATAATTTAACTTTGTTATTATATTAATTAACTATTTGTTATAAAACAATTTGTCAAATTCAAAAATGTTAGTCAAAAATTTTTCCCAATATTACGGTGATGATATTTGAAAATTTCGCCAAATTAAAATTTAATATTTTTATAAAAATTTTAAATTTTATCACTAAAATCTATTTGTTTTTATTTTCAGTTTCTTCTGGTATACTCGAAGCAATGTGATCATCCAATTCTTCTACGTTAAAGTCATCAAGAGTGAGTAAATTTAATTAAAATTCAATTTTATCCATTTATTTTAAATATACGTCCATTAAGCTGTGTCAAAATTTATTTGTCTATAAATATTTACAAACTAAATTAACAAATTTTTAACTAATTTAAATTGTTCATATGCGTGTATATTCTATATTGAGCTTTACAAAAATATTGAGAGAACATTATAAATTGTCAGAGATGTAATAATATTCGATATAATTTAGATTAGTTTGTTAAGATTATATAAAAAAAGGAAAGTGTGATAATGTTCAGTGTATATATATAGATATACATGAAAGAGAGAAAGAAGAGTACACAGAACATTAATCCGTTAAAGGTGTGAAGCTAAAGTAATAAATTAGTTGAAAGTGTAACAAATTAGATCAAGTGATGTTGCTGAAAACATCGCTTAGGCTGAAGTTGGAACAGTGTTCGCGATATTTCATGGTGAACCGTGCGGGGTAAGTTAAGTTACCTATGTGAGTCCCACTCAGTCGCGCCTTGTATCTCCTCTGACCTCTCTCTCTCTCTCTCTCTTTCGTCCCCATCATGCTGCCTTGGATTCTTGGTTCGTGCCTTTGGTTTATTTGTATTTTTCTCTTTTTTTCATTGCTTTTTTCCCTCAATTCTCGCCCACAAGACCCTCTCGTGTCTTAGTTTTCTGCGTATAATACCGCGCACGACGACCCGGTTTCCAGGAAGAGAAGAGAACGTCCGCTTCACTGATTAGATTGTAGAAATCAATTCCCGTATGGTACCTTCATTCGCACATGCGAAAACTCTACTCCTTCTTTTTTTTTTTTGTTTGTCTTTATTTATGTATTTTCCTTTAGAAGCGATAAGAAATAAGAGCATTCCCCAAAACTCAGAATCTGGTTTAGTGGTATACTAGGTTTTATTGTTTAGACTTTTATATAGATTCGCTTTTTATATCTCGTAATATGTGCACAGAAGCAGTGCAAATATAGTTAATATTTTTTTAAAGATTAAATTTTTTTTTCACTAGTCCCTTTTGTCAATCTAAAAATTAAAATCAAGATTATGTGATTACATTGATAACAATAATATTGATATTTTTAAACAATAAAGTTAAGATGAATGATTCTTTACATTCTCAGAATCGGCTTCTAATGAATTATGAGAAACAGATACAATTGTTGCCTTCGCTCCAATTAAATTATCCATTTGGTCTATAATACTAGAAATAGATAACAAAGGTAAATTATTATCATTTTCAGTTGTTCTTCCCGCAATTCCAGAAACTGGTCCTAAAAGAATCAAAAGTCCTGTGGTATCTACTGATAATGTTGCTTTAAAAATTTCCATTAAATCGATTTCTCTCAGTAAAATATCGTCGACATTTTCTTTAATATCTTTACATGTTGAAAAAACAATAAACTGATGTAAATCAGGACACATTCGCTTAGATTCCTCAAAAAGATATTTAGTAAACAAATATTTTGATTCAGATGACCGTTTTGATGATTGTTCAACTCGCTGTAGATCGAAAATGGCATCTACTGTACCAAGAGTACTGACATCTTCAAGTAGAGCATTTCCATTTTGTTGTTGGGTAAGGTCCAATTCTTCACGAACTACAACTGTTACTCCATATCCTCTCCATAAATTAATTCTATGATTACCGTAAGCTCTTGTATTTTTTGATTCGGAAGCTATAACAATATTTCTGGCACCTCTGATAACTAAAAAGTCAATTAGTTCGAGTCCAAAGTCACTTAATCCTTCAAGAATCAAATAAGATCTCTCACTTCTACACAAGAAACGAGGAATTGCCAAAGCTGTATCGCATCCATTATCCGGTTGTACTCTAACAATGATCTATAAATGCAAGAAATTAATTAAAATAGAAAATAAAAATTTTAAATTATATCCTAATAAATAAAATAATTATTGCGCAAACAAAAATGAAAGAAACAGAAATTTACTTTTCCAAAAACATTATTTGAAGCTCCGTCAATAAAAGCTTCTTTTAACATTTCCCTTGGATAGATACGTCTAAACAATGGTTTTACATTTTGTGCTGTTATTCCATTCTTAATCATTTGTGATAATTTTCTTTTTGTAACTTGATCATGATTGTTTATTTTCGTTGGAATTATTGAGTGCAAAGCAATTTCTCTCAAGAAAATTTGCATTCCTACTATTCCCAATTTGCATGATTTACTAAATTCTTCTTCTAAATTTCCGATGATAATGACTCTTCCTTTATTTTTCACACACATTAAACAAGACTCTACTTTAATTAAATCATCACCAATATATATCACTAAGTCAGCTCCTTTTCCTTCTGTTTGTGCCAAGAGATTATCAGCAAAACATCCTGATGCACTTATAAAATGATTTTCAGGAATATTTAGAAAACTGCTTTTTAGATTATTTTTGTCGATATCTTTAGCGTGTCCAACGAATACTTGTGATGTAATATTTAAGGCTATATTAATGATAGCTTGGCCAATTGAGCAAGCGCTATCGTAGACAAAAACTGATTCATAGCTTCGTAAATCTCCCTTTATCACTAAAGACAAGTATGCAACTGCATATGCAAATGGTACGGTTGCAGCATCTTCTAAAGACCAATTGTCAGGTATTTGCCATGTGTAATCAGTGTCAGGTGTTATATAATTTGAAAATGTACTATTTTTCGAAATTCCCATAACTCTATTTCCCTTTGAACTAATTCCTGAATATTCTTGACCAAATGACTTACTGTCAATTCTATTTTTAACAGTCCCATCTAAAGCTATTTTTGAAATTGCTGAAAGAATATCTGCTTCATTAACTGCAGAGTATTCAACTTTGATTGTGTCAGCAATATTTCTAGGGAACCCTTCGACCCAAGAAATAGTATCTAATTCAGAGGGATTCAACTGTTCAGCTCTCCAATTCGACATTTGTTGAAGGTTGGAAACAATTGGACATTTTTTGTATGTTCCATCTATTCCAGGAAGAATTTCAATTTTGTTAACAACAACCTTATTTTTCCAAGATTCGTGCAATATAGATTTTAAACCGATTCCTTCGATTTGTATACCACCAGCTCTAATAATTTCTAATTTCTTGTAAACTGATGCAGGTATTTCTGAAAAAGTCGTTTCTTTTAATCAATATTCATGTTTCCCGTTAATATTTTCTTAAAATAAGTGCTTTTTACAAAAGGCGAACTCACCATCTGAATTGCTAATAATTTCTTCGTGCAATTTTAAGTTAATAACGATTTTTCTAATTTTAAATGGCACTTGTGATTTTTTAATATCATTTCCAAAAACATACATCTGCATCATTCCATCTAAAAATGTTGTCCAATTATCATTCCATAATAAAGTTCCCTTTGACCCACTAGTTGATGATTTACGAATTGTTCTAAAGGGACCTGTGTATTGTAAACCTCGCATCTGTAATTCAGTATAAACGTCACTTTCACTCAAATCTTGATAAATTGTTTCATCATTTTCATGAACTTGAATGCAGTTCTTATCAGGGACATCAGTCACTTGCAATATTCCAGAGCACAGTAATATTTCGTTTTTGGTTGTTACTTGAAAGAAACCAGAGCCTAGAAGAAGTAACAAATTATCATATATATTTTTGAATATATAAAATAAATAACTTAGTTGAAATTATTATTTTTTTTTTACTTTGAATATAAATATTGAGCCCGGTTATTTAATTTTTGTAAATTATACGAATCATCTATATACCTTTATGAACCATTGTTACTAATACAATAGTTTCGTCGATCGGTATTTCTACTTGTTGTTTGTGAATTTTGACATTTTTGTAAAGAATAGAGGCTTCAGAACAATCTTTTAATGATTTTAAAACATCCCACGCAAGATTTAAATACAGAGAACTAGGAATCACAATTCTGTTCTCGATCTTGGCATGTTTTAAATATTTCCACTTATCATCCTTTAAATCTATTACAAAGTTTAACTCTCCTGGTTTAATTTCTTTCAATTGCTTGAGGGTGATAGTATCCCTTATTAAATAAAAAGAATGGAGTTTTACATTTCATTATTATTGCATTTGATTTCAGTACTAATTTAAAAGTTTATTCCTTAAGTTTTAAATCTTTCTTACCATTCAGTTGAGTGCTCCCATTGAATTAAAGACGATATTGATGGTGTTCCACGTGAAACAGGATACTTAACTTTAGGATAAAGATTGGAAATTTTGATATTGCATCCAGCATTGTATATTTTACCTAAAGCATCAAAAAGAAATGAGACATTGTCTGTATGGCCTCTTTTAGTTAACGGTAAATTGATGACATCTTCTGGTAAGGATTTTTTCACAATTGCCTGTAAAAGTCCGTGGGGGGCAATTTCAATAACAATTGCATTTGGCTCAATCATTTTCGCACTTTCGGCAAAGAGAACGGAATTTAAAAGGTTGTTTGTGTGATATTCTGCAGACGATAGTCGGGCTCGAACAGAATTCCATTCAGCACGTGGAACTGAACTGCTTACCCAGCGATTAGTTCGAGGTTTTGGATTAGGTATTATCTCTTGAAGGTATTTTCTTAATTTTTCACCTGCTGGAGCAATGTAACGACTGTGGTAGGCTATGTTACTACATGCCACTTCCTTGGCAAAAATTTTTTTCGCCTGAGGAAAAGATTCAATTTTTTTATATTTCGAAAAGATATTACATGGTTTAACAGATTAGGAAATTAAATATATCTAACTTTCAATTGTGCGACGAATGCTTCCATAGATTCAGCAGGACCACTGATAGTGGAACTGTCAGCGCTATTATGACAAGCTACATCAATATCGGGTGGGCAAAGGTTTTTGATTTCCTTATAACCAAGGCCAACTGCTGCCATAGAACCTTTAGGCATTTCTGATTCTACTGAGGCCAGACCTCTATATAATGCAGCAAGAATCATTTGCTCTGCTGTAAAACATCCATCAGCATAAGCACAACCTAATTCTCCAACTGAATGACCAATTAGGAAATCTGGTTTTAGTCCAATGGAGTCTAAAAGATCTACTAATCCAATCTAAAAATTTATTCTTGTTTTATTAAGTAGAAGTACTGTGAACTGTTGTTTGCATGATTATTTGTTAGAATAACTTTCGAATGAGATACCTGAATAGCAGCAATTCCAACAAAAGAATTAACAATATTGTCAAACATTTTTGGATCCTTTTCTGTAATGATGCGGAAAATGTCGATACCCTTTGGCTTAAGAACTTTATCGCACTTCTCTATAGCTTGCGCGAAAATTGGTATTTGCAATAAAGCTTCTCCTGTTGTAAAAATTATTCATTCTTGCATTTACAATGTTTTTAAATGTAACATAATTTATTGTCACAATTAATTTTAGTGTAATAATCTTACCCATTCCAACCCATTGAGAACCCATACCGGAAAACATGTACCAAACTTTTCTCGTATCACCTGTGTTGTATTGAATTCCTCGCGTTTTAGTCTTTAACAATCCATTTGGAGGAAGTAGTGTATATCCTCTATACATATGAGCTGGAATTTCAGTTTCAAATACATCGTAAAGAAGCTGAAGCATTTCTACATCAACAGGTCTACTTTCCATCTGCAAAAAACATTTATTTTTCTTCATATTTTGAAGAATCTTGTCAACATTTGTTTAATTAATCTCGTAGTTGATCTTGTGATATGGATATGGTATGGATAAATAATACTATTGATACTAACAGCGTTTAGGAAGAAGTTAACAGTTTCTTCTGTACGTCCTGAACAATTGACTAATCTTGGAAGACTGTCGTCAGGTTTCCCATTATTTTTTTTGTTCTTTTTAAAATCTTTTAATATAATATTAGCACTAGGACCAGATAATGCTATAGTATTAACGACCGCGTAATCCCCAGTCCAGGGAGTTAATTCTGTTACAACTTTACATCGACCTTCTTTAAGAGCAGGGATTTGGTCAGATGGTTTTTCAAAATGAAGGTTTGGTGGAATGTATCCTGATTCCATTGCTGTGATAATCTACAAAAGTTCATAGATTAATATAGTTTAGTGAAATAATAAATATTATTGGGCAAAAAATTTTAAATTAGCTTTAATTTCAAAAACCTTAATAACTCCAATAATTGGATTTGTTGCTGGACAAAATCCAATATTAGATTTGACGGATCCAATAGGAAGTGGCAACTTTCGTTCTTCATTGTAAACTTCATCAATGACTTTTACCTCTTCAGCATCAACATTTTTAATTCCCGAACCATCAGCTTCTACATATGAAATATCTTTACCAGAAAGACCACACTCCTTTAAGTTATTTTTCATGAGATTTGCTAGAGAATCATTGGTCGAATAATAATGCAAATCGTCATTTCTGATATCTCCAAAAGAAATGAGAGAATTTTTTACTTCTGCATAAATACGTTTTGCTTGACTAGCCTTTTGAAGAAATAGAACTACAATTGCTTCACTGCGAGCATAACCATCAGCTGCATTGTCGAATGATTTTGTTTTGCCATCAGGTGATAAAAGATCTGAAATTCATATTAAAATTTTAAATATTATTGCTCTTAAATTTGTCAATTAAAAGATTGGTCAGTACAATTTGTAATGACCAGTTGCTAAAATTCTTTATACCTAACAAAGTTAATTCTAGAGACACTTCTGGATCTAAAAGAACATTACTAGCACCGATAATGGCATTTTCAACTCGTCCATCTTTAATTGCCATAAATCCTTCGTGTAATGCACTAGTACCACCACAGCAGCCAGAATCAACGTTAATACTTGGCCCAGTAAAGTCAAAGAGAAATGAAAGTCGATTTGGCAACATAGCACGACTCATTCCATATAAGCCGTACTTATGTTGCTGAAACATAATTAAAGTTTATACTATGTATGTGACACTGTTATTGCTTTATTCGGTTTAAAAATATTTTTTAGTCACTGAGATTGTCATTGACTCTATTTTAGAGAGTAAAAATAATGTTTTATTTAAAATTAGATATTACAAAACTTTTTTAATGGTAAAAAATAAAAGTTGTACCCAAAATCTTTTGTTAGAGGTTGACTGTTCAGCCTCTGAAGTCTTGGATCCTGTAAAAACTGCCGTTTTACTTCCTCTCAAATTGCTTGGATTAAATCCAGCATCTGTGATTGCTTCATATGTAGTTTCTATCAATATTCTTAACATAGGATCCATAGCATCTATCATTTTTCCGTGAACACCAAAAAATGCAGAATCAAAATTGTGTATAGTTTTCATTGTGCCGATTCGCTTAGGAACTTGAGGATGTACTGTAAGGTTATTATAGTTTTAGAAATAATGTTGATAAGTAATATGAATTTTATAAACTGCAGTATTCATACCATTCTTCCAACGAGCTTGGCTGTCACTAACGCAGTCTATTTTATTTAAAAGATTCTTTTGAAATTCGTTAACACTATCACAATTCGGAAATTTTCCAGCTATACCGGATATCACTATTTCATCTCCCGTCAGTTTTGGTTCCATTTTATATTTTCCTTTTATCGATTTTTAAATAAGTTATAAAGAAGTCTACTATTTTTGTTTTTATTTAATTAATAACTTTTAATTTGGTTTCTATAATCTTTTGAGTAATAAATTAATTAACAGAAATCTTATTTTGCTGCTTCTGCTTTCACGTATACTTCCGATATGAACAATATATTTAAAATGATCGTTTTTATAAGTTCGTAGATGATGAGGAATTATTCGTTATAAAATTATATGCATTACTTGCATAAAGATATTGAAATTAAATTGAAAATTTTTTTCGTATACAATTATTGCTTTCGAAAATATACTGCTTAAATTGACATTGCTCGGAGATCAAAGTTTAAATACATACTTACAGACATATTTCCAAAAATAAAAAAATTTTAATTTTAAAGACATACATTACGAAAAACAAAAGAAATTTTATTAAAAATAAAAATTGTCAAGAGTTAAAACATAACATTGTATTTAGATCAAGGTTCAAAATCGTTTCCAAAATTTAAAAAATTGATTAATGTAGAATTTTATACTGTTACTGAATAATTAAACAATCATTTACATTTTGATGATATGTGTGTCATCATTTGCACAATTTTATTTAAGTCATTAATAAGAAAACCTAGAAGTAAATTTTTTTAATATGATAAAAAAAATATATATATATAAATATATTATTTGTTATCTATATTTATAATATTAATTCTTTAATGATAATAATTAATCTTAATTTTTTTAAATTTGCAACTTTATTAAATTTTAACTTTGGCATTTCTTCAACGATGGCGAAATCTTTTTTAATTTAAAATTTTAATTCAACTTTGTTCAATTACATAAGCATAATTTACAGATGAGTCATTTCATTATATTTCGACCATAATCGTTGCTAATTTTAAAAAATTTTAATACCAACGCATTGTTTTAACCGTAAATTTTCATTGTAGAAATTTCATTTAGATAATGTGTTTTAAAAGCCGAAAACTATGAGTCATATTTTCAAAATTTTTGTGTTCTTCGGTTACTTTAGGTTTAGTGTCGATGCCACACTTATTTTTGTCAAATTTGGAAATAAAATTTTTTATTGCTTTCTATATTACCGACCGGTTAAAGATTTAACCACATATTAGTACAGCACTGACAGTATATTAATTTTTCTTTTTGCAGATTCTATCCTGGATTGTTCATCTTGAAGGACACAGAATTCACACAGACTTTTTAGAACTCGGTCTATTTTTACGGTTATTTTTCACATTTTCTGAATGGAAATTTAACTTGAAAGTAGGGATCTCCGAGGGCTATTTAGTTTGAAAGAATCCCCTTGAAGCTGAAAATTCATTATTAAGGTAAATATTTTAATTTATTGGAAAAATTTTAATCAGAAAAATTTAGTTGTATTTTTCGACGTGACAACGTCTTACTCTGAGGTTTTGATTATTATCAAATAAATATTTATTTGTATCAAATAATTTTTTTAAAAATCTTTTCTCTAATTTTCAGATGTTGCCAGAAGTTACATCCAGTGACTGTCAGAATGGATAAATGAGTGAGTAGAAATAATTGTATAAATAATAATTCAATTCTATTAATTTATTTAAATTTTATTAAGTTCTTTCTTAATTTTAATAAGATCTAACTATCTAACTAATTTCATGCAAAATGAATAAAATATTAAAAATTATATTAAAATATACTTAAAATCTTAACAAATTATTAAATGAATCGGGTTAATTTTTGCCTCAACTTTGTAGAATTTATAAAACATTTAATAAATAATCTTAACGCTGAGATTCGTCTAAACATTGATGTCTCCAAGTTGTTGATGAAGGTAGAGCTGCTGTAATATAATTTTCGAATTTTGATCTTGATGATTCTTCAGTAGTAATATTCTCTTTCTGAATCTGAAAATTTAAACCAAGTTTAGTCAAATAAATGATATTACTTTAAAAATAAAATTAATACTTTTGAACAATAAACAGGAAAATTATCACCTTATGAAAGTTGGCTTCTAATGGTTTATAAGAAACAGATACAATGGTTGCATTTGATCCAATTAAAGTATCCATTTGTTCAATAATTCTAGGAATGGACAACAAAGATAGATTTCTCTCGTTTTCAGTTATGTATTCAGTAATTTCAGATATTGGCCCTAAAAGAATCAAAAGTCCCCGGGTAGCTCCTTTTGATTTTTCTTGACAAATCTTCGTCAAATCAATTTCTCTTAACAAAATGTCGTCAATATTTTCGCCGCTATCTTTACATTTTGTAAAAACAACAAACTGTCGTAAATCAGGACACATACGCTTAGATTCCTCAAAAAGATAGTTAGTAAACAAATATCTTGATTCGGAAGATCTTTCTGATAATTTTTCAATGTGCTGTAAATCGAAAATTGCATCTACTGTACCAAGTGTACTGACTTCTTCAAGAAGAGCATTTCCATTTTGTTGATGGGCAAGGTCCAATTCTTCACGGACCACAACTGTTACTCCATATCCTCTCCATAAATTAATTCTATGATTACCGTAAGCTCTTGTATTTTTTGATTCGGATGCTACAACAATGTTTTTGGCACCTCTGATAACTAAAAAGTCAACTAATTCGAGTCCAAAGTCACTCAATCCTTCAATTATCAAGTAAGATCCTTCTCTATTACATAAAAAACGAGGGATTGTCAGAGCTTTATTACTTCCATCTTCTGGCTGTACTTTGACTATGATCTGTAAATGTAAGAAATAAATTAAAATATATTATTACAATTTTTTTTGAAATTCCAAAAAACAAAATGTAAAAAAGGAAAATGGAAAACTTTACTTTTCCGAAAACATTATTTGTTGCTCCATCAATAAAAGCGTTTTTTAACATTTCCCTTGGGTAGATACGTCTAGGCAATGGTTTTACAATTTTCGCTGTTACTCCATTTTCAATCATTTGTAATAATTTTCTTTTAGTTGCTAGATCAAGGCTATTTACTTTCGTTGGAATTACTGAGAAGAGAGCAATTTCCCTTAAGAAAATTTGCATGCCTACTGATTTACTAAATGCTTGTTGTAAGTTTCCAATGATAATGATATTTCCTTTTCTTTTCACACACGTCAGGCAAGACTCTATTTTACTTAAATCATCTCCATTATATATTACGAGATCAGCTCCTTTTCCTTCAGTTTGTGCTAAAATTTGATCAGCGAAATTTTCTGATGCATTTAGAAAACGATGCTCAGGAATATTTTTAAAATTGCTCATTAGATTTTTTTTGTTGATATCACTAGCGTGTCCAACGAATACTTGTGGTGTAATATTTAAGGCTATATTAATGATAGCTTGCCCAATGGAAGATGCGCTATCGTAAACAAAAACTGATTCGTTTTTTTGTATATCTCCCTTTATCACTAAAGCCAAATATGCAACTGCATATGCTAAAGGTACAGTTGCAGCATCTTCTAATGACCAATTCTCAGGTATTTTCCATGTGTAATCAGTGTCAGCTGTTATATAATTTGAAAATGTACCTTCTGTAGCAATTCCCATGACTTTACTTCCTTTTGAATTAATTCCAGAATATTCGTAGCCAAAGCACTTCATTTCTAGTCTATTTTTTCCAGTATTTTCTAACCCAGTTTTAGTAATTACTGAGAGAATGTCTGATTGATTGACTGCTGAATATTCAACTTTGATTGTGTCAGCAACATTTCTAGGGAATTCCTCGACCCAAGAAATAGAGTCTAAATCGGAAGGATTCAACTGTTCTGCTTTCCAATTTGACACGTATTGAAGGTTCGAAATAATTGGAAAATGTTTGTATGTTTCTTCCGTTTTCGGAAGGATTTGAATTCTCTCGGTAACAATATTATTTTTCCAAGACTCGCGTAGAGCAGATTTAAGAATAATTCCTTCCATTTGTACACCACCTGCATTCACTGTTTGGATACCCTTATACACTGTGATAGGAATGTCTAAAAATAAATAATATAATCATTGATGTTTATTTTCATGTAACTTTATTTCAAGTGTATATTTATATTTAAATATGAGAAACGCAATTAGAGTTTATTGAAATGAATAGAATTCTCACCACATGACTTTTTGATCGCCTCTGCTTGCAATTTAAAGTTAATAATAATTTTTCTTATTTTAATTGGCACTTGAGCTTTTCTTATGTCATTTCCAAGAATATACATTTGAATCATTCCTTCTAAAAAGGTTGTCCAATCATCTTTCCATACTAAAGTTCCATTGCATCCATTTGCTGATGATTTACGAATGTTTCTAAAGGGACCTGAGTATTGTAGACCGCGCATCTCCAACTCAGTGTAAATATCACTTTCACTCAGATCCTGATAATCTTTATCTGTTTTTTTAGGAATTAAACTGCATTCCTCATTAGGAGTTTCAGTAGCTTGTAAAATTCCAGAACATAATAAAATTTCATTGCTTGTAATTTCAAAGAAACCAGTACCTAGTGAATTTAATAAGTTAATATAATATTTTGTACTTCTAGATAGTAAATGATTAGTTGTGTTTGTTTACCATGGAAAAGTAATTATTTATACAGTTTCCTTTTTAAAAGTATTTATCATTTACCTTTCTGAACCGTTACCACTAATATGATATTTTCTTCTTCTGGAATTTCTACTTGGTACTTATGCATTTTTAGTTTTTCGAAAATAACTGAGATTTCACAATCATCTTTCAATGATTTTAAAACTTCCCAGGCAAGTTTTAAGTATATACAAGTAGGAATAACCACCTTATTATCAATCCTAGCGTGTTTCAGATATTTCCATTTCTCGTCCTTCAAATTAATGATGAAATTCATTTCTCCTTCCTTTACTTCTTCATGTTGTTTATAAAAATGTGTATTCCTGCAGTGCAATGAAAAATTGTTTCGCAGTAAGCATTATGATTTTTATTCTAAAATGTTTTATTTGAAACATGAACTATCTTACCAGTTAGATGAGTGATCCCATCGGATTAATGATGAAATTGAAGGTGTTCCTCGTGAAACTGGATAGTTGACTTTAGGATAGAGATTAGAAACATTTATGTTGCAATTAGCATTATATATTTTTCCTAAAGCTTCAAAGAAAAATGAGACATTGTCGGAATGGTCTCGTTTGGTTAACGGTATATTAATGACATTCTCTGGCAACGATTTTCTCACAATTGCCTGTAGAAGACCGTGCGGAGCTATTTCGATAACAACTGCATTTGATGGAATATATTTTGCAGTTTCGGCAAAGAGAACAGAATTCAGAAGGTTATTCGTGTGATATTCTGCTGATGATAGTCGAGCCCTAGAAGAATTCCATTCTTCACGTGGAACTGAACTGCTTACCCAGCGATTAGTTCGAGGTTTTGGATTAGGTATTATCTCTTGAAGGTATTTTCTTAATTTTTCACCTGCTGGAGCAATGTAACGACTGTGATAGGCAATGTTACTACATGCCACTTCCTTAGCAAAAATTTTTTTCGCCTGAAGAAAAGATTCAATTTTTTTATATTTCGAAATGATATTACATGGTTTAATAGATTAGTAAATTAAATATATCTAACTTTCAATTGTGCGACGAATGCTTTCATAGAATCTGCAGGACCACTGATAGTGGAACTGTCAGCGCTATTATGACAAGCTACATCAATATCGGGTGGGCAAAGGTTTTTAATTTCTTCATAACTAAGGCCAACTGCTGCCATGGAACCTTTTGGCAATTCTGTTTCTACTGACGCCAAACCTCTACTTAGTGCAGAAAGAACCATTTCCTCTGCTGTAAAACATCCATCAGCATAAGCACAACCTAATTCTCCAACTGAATGACCAATTAGAAAATCTGGTTTTAGTCCAATGGAGTCTAAAAGATCTACTAATCCAATCTGAAAATTTATTCTTGTTTTATTAAGTAGAAGTACTTTGAACTGTTGTTTGCATGATTATTTGTTAGAATAACTTTTGAATGAGATACCTGAATAGCAGCAATTCCAACAAAAGAATTGACAATATTGTCAAACATTTTTGGATCCTTTTCTGTAATGATGCGGAAAATGTCTATACCCCTTGGCTTAAGAACTTTATCACACTTCTCTATAGCTTGCGCGAAAATAGGTATTTGCAATAAAGCTTCTCCTATTTTATAAATTAAATATCACTGCATTAAAATTTTAAATGTAACCGAATTTATTGAAACAATTAACTTCAATACAGTTTAATGAATCTTACCCATTCCGACCCATTGAGAACCCATACCGGAAAACATGTACCAAATTTCTTTCCTTATATTTGGGTTATGTTGAATTCCTCTCGTTTTAATTTCTGTTAATCCATGTGGAGGCAGAAGAGTGTATCCTCTATACATATGAGCTGGAATTTCAGTTTTAAATATATCGTATATAAGCTGAAGCATTTCCACATCGACGGATCTGTTTTCGAGCTACAAAATATACATTATTTTTTCATATTTTGAATATTATTAGGATACGTTTACGAAAAATCTTTTAAATAATTTTAATTATAAAACGTAAAGTTTTCTTTATTTATTACACAGTTAAATAGAAGAAACTGTGAAACTAACATGGTTTAGTATGAAGTCAACAGCTTCTTCTGTACATCCTGAACATATGACTAGTCTTGGCAGATTGTCTTTAGGCTCCCCTTTATTTTTCTTTTCCTTTTTGAAATCTTTTAATATAATATTAGCACTAGCACCTGTAAATGCTAAACTATTAACGACCGCGTAGTCCCCAGTCCATGGAGTTAATTCTGTTACAACTTTACATCGACCTTCTTTAAGAGCAGGGATTTGGTCAGATGGTTTTTGAAAATGAAGATTTGGCGGAATGTATCCTGACTCCATTGCTATGATAATCTATAAAATTTCTTAGACTGATTACATATACAATGAACTTAAATGCTTAGATAAGTTTAATAATATTATTGCGAAAGGAGTTATAAGTAAGCCACAAATGCAGAAGTAACAAACAGTCATACCTTAATAATTCCATTAAGTGGATTTGTTGCTGCACAAGATCCAAGATTAGATTTAACCGAACCAATATGAAGAGGTAACTTTCTTCCTTCATTGTAAATTTCATCAATAGCTTTTACCTCTTCAGCATCAACAACTTTAATGCCTGACCCATCGGCTTCAACATATGAAATATCTTTACCAGATAGACCACATTCTTTTAAGGTGGTTTTCATTAGACTTGCTTGGGAATTGTAAGTTGGATATAAATGAAATTGTTCATTATTGATATTTCCAAATGAAATGCTGACATTTTTTACTTCTGCATAAATTCGCTTTGCGTCACGAGCTTTTTGAAGAAATAGAACTACAGTTGCTTCGCTGCGAGTATAACCATCAGCTGCATCGTCAAACGATTTCGTGTTCCCATCGGGCGATAAAAGTCCTGAAATTTAGGTTGAATATTTTTAAATTTATAACATTCTTTTATCCATTACTTGTGACTGACTTCTAATGAACTTCTATACTTATTGAGTCACATGTACCTAACAAAAATAATTGTAGAGACATCTGTGGGTGTAAAATAACATTACTGGCGCCAATAATTGCATTTTCAACCCTTCCATCCTTAATTGCCATGAATCCTTCGTGTAAAGCACTGGCACCTCCAGAGCAGCTAGTATCGATATTAACACTTGGACCAGTAAGACCGAAAAAAAATGAAAGTCGATTTGGTAACATAGTACGACTGATTCCCAGTAAGCCATATCCACTTAGCTAAAAAATAATTTTTGACAAATGAGATTTTGGGAATATTTTTGCGTCTGATTATTTCTACTTTTTAAAAAAATTCACGTACCGCAGATTTTTCATAAAATATTGATTTTTCTGTCTCTGAAATACTGCTTCCAGTAAAAACTGCTGACTTACTTCCTCTCAAATTTCGTGGATTAATTCCAGCATCTGTGATTGCTTCGTATGCTGTTTCTATCATTATTCTTGTCATAGGCTCCATTGAATCTAGCATTTTTCCGTGAACTCCAAAAAATGCACGATCAAAAGTATCAATATTATTCATTGTGCCGATTTGCTGAGGAATTTGGGGATGTTCTATAAAGTTATTATTGCTTATTACAAATAATTATTTAATCATTAGTTTTGAATCTTTTTCAAATATGACATTGTGATAAGTGATAATTATTGTACATTTTCATGGTAGTGAATTGTAGTTCATATTTATTCGTATGTTAAGTTCAAAATAATTTTTTTAATAAATTTTATCTATGTAATTGACAACAATTAATGCATTGGTGCATTTATTTTATGTTTGATAATTTAAACGTAGTTCATACCGTAGTTCCAACGAGGTTTACTGTTACCAACACAGTCTATTTTATTTAAAAGATTATTCTGCAATTCGTTAATATTATCACTATTCGGAAATCTTCCAGCTATACCGGATATCACTATTTCATCTCCCGTCAGTTTTGGCTCCATTGTTTTTTAAAATATTTTCCTTCTGTCGATTTTTAAATTATCTTTAAAGAAATCACCTTTTTTTTTTATTAGTTATTATAATATTCAATTTGCTTCCGTTACTTTTTGTAGTATGAAATTATTGAAAAAAAATCTTATTTTTCTGCTTGAGTTCCCATATACGTCCGATATGAACGATACATTTAAAGTGAACGTTTTTATATGTTCGCTGCCGAAAAAGAATATTTCGTTTTAAAGTTATATGCATTATTTCCTGATTTCAAACAAATGGCATTTAAATTGGAAACTTTTACGTATATGATTAATGCTTTCGCTAATTCACTTCTTAAATTTACATTGCTTAAAGATCAAAGTTTAAATACATACTAATTGTATTATTTCCAAAAACAGAAAATGTTAATTTCTTAAATATACAGTGTATGCAGATTGAGGCTTATAGCTGTTTTCAACATAAATTCGTACGTTTTTTTTTGTCAAAAAATGAATCTTATGTTTCACCTTATAACTAAAATTTAAAAAATACTTTTAAAAGAATAGCAAGGGAATCCAAAAAATCTTGTTAAAAATAATTAAATTAAAAATCTAAATAATTATAATGTTGACATTTATGAAATAAATGAAATTATCCAAAACAAAAAATTAAGTTTAGAATATTTAATAAAAGCGAGCACTCAACAAAAGCATTTTCTAGAAATAATAAAAAGTATTTTTTGTTTCAAACAAATTTCTTGTAAATAAATAAACTTTAAAATTACAGTTTTGGGATCATTCACATATTACGTGATACATGTTTCAGGTAATTTATACCCCCTCCCACCCAACGTTATACTTTGACTAACCCCCTCCCACCCCTAAAGTTATCACGTAATATGTGGATGGCCCCTACAGTTCATTGGGTAATAGTGAATAATGATTTAAAAAATGTATCTCTTAAATATATATTTCTAACTTAAGAAAAATATCCTGATAATTGCAAGATTTTAAAAATAATCAAGTAATCTCTGATTTTCAGATGTGCCCAAAAATTTTATCCAGTGAATATCAAAATGAGGAATAACAACATACAAGTGAGGAATAACAACATACGAGAGAAGAATAACAACATACGAGTGAGTAATACTCAGCATATAAATAATAATTGACAATAATTCTTTTCATTAATTTCAAACAATTTCATTATATTTTTCTTTATTTTAATATAAGACAAGAAACAAGGCAAACAATTATTATCTAATCTATTATCTTAACTAATTTTTTAAAGATAATAATTAATCTTTATGTTTGCTTTTCGTTCGAAAGTCGAAACATAGAGGACGTTGTCAATAATTGAACTGCGCTGATATAATTGTAGAATTTTGACTTTGACGTTTCTTCAGGGGTGTCTACCTCTAATTCAACCTAAAAATTGAATATAAGTCTAATCAACTAAATAAGAATAATTTACAAATATTTATAAAAGATTTATAAACAAGGTGTTGTTAAAGCGAATTTTAAACCCTAAAAGTACATATTTTATTAAATGAAACGAACACCAAAATCGAATACAATGATATCTTACCTTCTCAGATTTTACTTCTAATGATTTGTGACAAACAGATACAATCGACGCGTTCGATTCTATTAAATTATCCATTTGTTCAATAATACTAGGTATAGACAATAAAGGTACATTAGTCTCGTTTTTAGTAGTCCATTCCGCAATTCCAGCAATTGGTCCTAAAAGAATCAAAAGTCCCACGGTAGCTCCTTTTGATTTTTCTTGGCAAATCTTTGTCAAATCGATTTCTCTTAACAAAACATCGTCGATATTTTCCCTGCTATTTTTACATGTTGCAAAAACAACGAAATGTCGTAAATCAGGACACATTTGCTTAGATTCTTCAAAAATATATTTGGTAAACAAATATTTCGAATTGGAAGACCTTTTTGACGAATGTTCAATACGCTGTAGATCAAAAATGCCATCTACTGTACCAAGTGTATTGACTTCTTCAAGAAGAACATTCCCGTTTTGTTGTTGGGTAAGGTCCAATTCTTCGCGAACTACAAATGATACCCCATATTCTCTCCACAAATTAATTCTGTGATTACTGTACGCTCTAGTATTTTTTGATTCGGATACTATAACAATATTTTTGGCACCTCTGACAACTAAAAAGTTAACTAATTCGAGTCCAAAGTCACTCAATCCTTCAATTATTAAATAAGAACCTTCTCTATTACATAGAAAACAAGGGATTGTCAGAGCTTTATTACTTCCATCTTCTGGCTGTACTTTAACAATGATCTGTAAATGTAAAAAATATATTAAAATATAATATTAAAAGTTTGTTTGAAATTCCAAAAAACAAAATGTAAAAAAGGAAAATGGAAAACTTTACTTTTCCGTAAACATTATTTGTAGCTCCATCAATAAAAGCATTTTTTAACATTTCCCTTGAATAGATACGTCTAGGCAATGGCTTTATAGTTCGCGCTGCTAATCCATTTTCAATCATTTTTGATAATATTTTTTTAGTTGCTAGATCAAGGCTATTAATTTTGGTTGGAATTATTGAAAAACAATCAATTACTTTTAAGAAAATTTGCATGCCTATTGATTTAGTTAATGCTTGTTGTAAGTGTCCGATGATAATGATATTTCCTTTTCTTTTCACACACATCAGCCAAGTCTCTATTTTACTTAAATCATCTCCATTATATATTATGAGATCAGCTCCTTTTCCTTCAGTTTGTGCTAAAATTTGATCAGCGAAATTTTCTGATGCATTTATAAAACGATGCTCAGGAATATTTTTAAAATTGCTCATTAGATTTTTTTTGTTGATATCACTAGCGTGTCCAACGAATACTTGTGGTGTGATATTGAAGGCTATATTAATGATAGCTTGCCCAATGGAAGAGGCACTATCGTAGACAAAAACTGATTCGTTTTTCTGTAAATCTCCCTTTATCACTAAAGCCAAGTATGCAACTGCATATGCTAAAGGTACAGTTGCAGCATCTTCTAAAGTCCAATTCTCAGGTATTTTCCATGTGTAATCAGTGTCAGCTGTTATATAATTTGAAAGTGTACTATTTTCCGATATTCCCATAACTCTACTTCCCCTTGAACTAATTCCAGAATATTCTTGACCAAAGCACTTCATTTCTAGTTTATTTTTTCCAGTATTTTCAAACTCAGTTTTAGTAGTTGCTAAGAGAATATCTGATTGATTGACTGCTGAATATTCAACTTTGATTGTGTTTGCATCGTTTTTATGAAACCCTTCGACCCAGGAGATTGATTTCAAATCGTTATGATTTATTTGTCTAGCTATCCAATTAGTTGCTTTACGAATATTTGAAGGAATTATCATTTCTGATAAGTTAAACAGTGGTCTATCCATTCCAGAACTGAATTCAAGTTTTTTAGTAACAATATTTTTTTTAAAAGTTTTATGCAAAATGGATGTTAGAACGATTCCTTCTATTAGTACACCACCTGCTTTCACAATTTCTATTCCCTTATTTACTGTGACAGGAATTTCTAAAAATAAATAATATAGTTATTGAGCTTTAGATACATGTATCTTTTCTTTTAAGTACATGTTTATATTTCAATGAGGCCAATCGAATGTGCTTACTTATATTATCATTTAACCCTCTCCCTGTCCTAGTGACCGTTATCGACAAAAAACGACAATTCGGTCGCCTGGTGGGGACTATGGGAAATACATTCTATAGCGCTGGAGTAGGGATAATCCAGTACAGGGAAAGGGTTAATAATCAAAATATTTTACAATTAATTTTAATTATATATAACGGGTTATTGGGTAGAATATAAGATATTAAATATGAGATTATTAAAAAGAATGGATGCTCACCATATGATTTGTTGATAATTTCTTCTTGTAATTTTAAATTAATTACAATTTTTCTAATTTTAATCGGCACTTGAGGTTTTCTTATGTCATTTGCAAGTAAATGCATTTGAATTATTCCTTCTAAAAAGGTTGTCCAATTATCTTTCCATACTAAAGCTCCATTGCATCCATTTGCTGATGATTTACGAATGTTTCTAAAGGGACCTGAGTATTGTAAACCGCGCATCTCCAACTCAGTGTAAATATCACTTTCACTTAGATCCTGAGAATCATTATCAGCTTTTTTAGCAACTAAACTGCATTCTACGTTAGGAGTTTCCGTCGCTTGTAAAATTCCGGAGCATAGTAAAATTTCGTTTTTTGTTACTTCAAAGACACCAGTCCCTACAAAATGTAACAAATTTATATATAAACTGTGTTGTACTTATAGAGAAAAAGTTTGCCTTTTATATAATTGGTTCACTTGAAGAAAGTAATTTATTAATATTGTTATTTTAAATTATTTTCTAAAAGTATTCATCATGTACCTTTTTGAACCATTACTTTTAATGTAATATTTTTGTCTTCTTGAATTTCTACTTGATGTTTATGTATATATACGTTTTGGTAAACAACAGAGAGTTCAGAATCATCTTTTAACGATTTTAAAACATCCCAAGCAAGTTTTAAATATAGAGAAGTAGGAAAAACTACCTTCTCATCAATCTTATAATTATTCAAATATTGCCACTTCTCGTCTTTCAAATTAATTATGAAATTCATCACTCCTTTCTTAATTTCTTCCGGTTTTTTAAAAAAGTGAGTGTTCCTGCAATTTAATAACGAAATATTTCATAGTATGTATGAATTCTTTTACTTATTCTTTTTTGAGTCATTAATAATAATATTTAATTGAAATATTCACAACCAGCTTTTATTTTCTCACCAGCTAGTTGAGTGATCCCATCGAATTAAAGATGAAATTGAAGGTGTTCCTCGTGATACTGGATAGTTGACTTTAGGATAAAGATTAGACACAGTGATATTGTAGCCAGTATTGTAAATTTTTCCTAAAGCATCAAAAAGAAACGAGACATTGTCGGAATGGTTTCTTTTAGTTAACGATATATTAATGACATTCTCTGGCAATGATTTTTTTACAATTGCCTGTAGAAGGCCGTGAGGAGCTATTTCGATAACAACTGCATTTGATGCAATAGATTTTGCAGTTTCGGCAAAGAGAACAGAATTCAGAAGGTTATTCGTGTGATATTCTGCTGATGATAGTCGAGCCCTAGGAGAATTCCATTCTTCACGTGGAACTGAACTGCTTACCCAGCGATTAGTTCGAGGTTTTGGATTAGGTATTATCTCTTGAAGGTATTTTCTTAATTTTTCACTTGCTGGAGCAATATAGCGACTGTGATAGGCTATGTTACTACATGCCACTTCCTTGGCAAAAATTTTTTTCGCCTGAGGAAAAGATTCAATTTTTTTATATTTCGAAAAGATATTACATGGTTTAACAGATTAGTAAATTAAATATATCTAACTTTCAATTGTGCGACGAATGCTTTCATAGAATCTGCAGGACCACTGATAGTGGAACTGTCAGCGCTATTATGACAAGCTACATCAATATCGGGTGGGCAAAGGTTTTTAATTTCTTCATAACCAAGGCCAACTGCTGCCATGGAACCTTTTGGCATTTCTGTTTCCACTGAAGCCAGACCTCTGCATAATGCAGCTAGAACCATTTCCTCTGCTGTAAAACATCCATCAGCATAAGCACAACCTAATTCTCCAACTGAATGACCAATTAGGAAATCTGGTTTTAGTCCAATGGAGTCTAAAAGATCTACTAATCCAATCTGAAAATTTATTCTTGTTTTATTAAGTAGAAGTAATGTGAACTGTTGTTTGTATGATTTTTTTTAGAATAACTTTCGAATGAGATACCTGAATAGCAGCAATTCCAACAAAAGAATTGATAATGTTGTCAAACATTTTTGGATCCTTTTCTGTAATGATGCGGAAAATGTCGATACCCTTTGGCTTAAGAACTTTATCGCACTTCTCTATAGCTTGCGCGAAAATAGGTATTTGCAATAAAGCTTCTCCTATTTTATAAATTAAATATCACTGCATTAAAATTTTAAATGTTACCTAATTTATTGAAACAATTAACTTCAATACAGTGTAATGAATCTTACCCATTCCGACCCATTGAGAACCCATACCGGAAAACATGTACCAAATTTCTTTCCTTAAATTTGGGTTATGTTGAATTCCTCTCGTTTTAATTTCTGTTAATCCATGTGGAGGCAGAAGAGTATATCCTCTATACATATGAGCTGGAATTTCAGTTTTAAATATATCGTATATAAGCTGAAGCATTTCCACATCGACGGATCTGTTTTCCAGCTGTAAAATATACATTATTTTTTCATATTTTGAATATTATTAGGATACGTTTACGAAAAATCTTTTAAATAATTTTAATTATAAAACGTAAAGTTTTCTTTATTTATTACACAGTTAAATAGAAGAAACTGTGAAACTAACATGGTTTAGTATGAAGTCAACAGCTTCTTCTGTACATCCTGAACATATGACTAATCTTGGCAGATTGTCTTTAGGCTCCCCTTTATTTTTCTTTTCCTTTTTGAAATCTTTTAATATAATATTAGCACTAGCACCTGTAAATGCTAAACTATTAACGACCGCGTAGTCCCCAGTCCATGGAGTTAATTCTGTTACAACTTTACATCGACCTTCTTTAAGAGCAGGGATTTGGTCAGATGGTTTTTGAAAATGAAGATTTGGCGGAATGTATCCTGACTCCATTGCCGTAATAACCTACAAAAAATTAAGAGTTACAATTGTTAGCCTTTAGTAAATTTTAATATCTCTACATATTAATAATTCACCTTAATAATTCCATTTAACGGATTTACGGCTGAACATGAGCCAAGATTTGATGTAACAGATCCAATAGGAAGGGGTAATTTTCGACCTTCATTGTAAACTTCGTCAATTGCTTTTATTTCTTCAGCATCAACATCTTTAAGACCCGAACCTGTTGCCTCTATGAGTGAAATATCTTTTCCCGAAATACCACAGTCCTTTAATGTCGTTTTCATTATGTTGGCTTGGAAATCATGAGTCGGATAAGAAATAGAAAGTTTATTGTTTATACTTCCAAAATATGTGCTGGCATTTTTCACTTCTGCATAAATACGCTTTGCGTCACGAGCTTTTTGAAGAAATAGAACTACAGTTGCTTCACTGCGAGCATAACCATCAGCTGCATCGTCAAATGATTTTGTCTTTCCATCGGGCGATAAAAGTCCTGAAATTTATTTTGTATTTTTGAAAATTATATTGTTCATTTTACCCTTTCACTGTGACTGGCTTTTATAGAGACAAAAATAATTCGTGTACGGTACCTAACAAAAATAATTGTAATGACATGTTTGGATGTAAAACAACATTACTGGCACCGATAATGGCACTTTCAGCTCGTCCATCTTTAATTGCCATAAATCCTTCGTATAATGCACTGGCACCTCCACAGCAGCTGGAATCTATGTTAACACTTGGTCCATTAAGGCCAAAGAAAAATGAAATTCTATTTGCCAACATAGCACGACTGACTCCTATTAAGCCTAATCCATTTTGCTAAAAAATAATTTTTATGTAAAATATTATTTGAAGAATATGTTGGCGATTAATTGGTTATAATAAAAACAAATGGTATCGGTAATTTTTTAACTGTTACCAAATAACATTTTTCTTACCCCAAATTTTTCATAAAGAACTATCATTTCGGATTCTGAAATACCGCTTCCAGTAAAGACAGCCGTTTTCTTTCCTTTCAAATTTCTTGGATTAATTCCAGCATCTGCGACTGCTTCGTATGCAGTTTCGATTGTCATTCTTATCATAGGATCCATCAAATCCAGCATTTTCCCAAGAAATCCAAAAAATATACGATCAAATTTGTCAATATCTTTCATTGTACCGATTCGCGGAGGAACTTTTGGATTTTCTGTAAAATTATTGCTTATTACTAATAATTGATTAATATTATTAATTATCTTACTAATTTGCACTGTTTGAACATTGACCAGAGGCTATTTTGAACTCTTTTTTTTCTTTAATATTTATTGAAAATTTTATTTATATAAAATATATTGTAAATGAGCCAATGCCTAAACCCTTGAGACAATTTAACCTCAATTTGTGTAGTATAAATTAATTCATACCATAGTCCCAACGAACTTTGCTGTCACCAACACAGTCTATTTTATTTAAAAGATTTTTCTGCAATTCGTTAACATTTTCACTATTCGGAAATCTTCCAGCTATACCAGATATCACTATTTCATCTCCCGTCAGTTGCGGTTCCATTTTTTAATTCCCCTTTTATTCGGTTTTTAATTTAGACCTGAATAAATAAACTTTTTTTTATATTCTATTATTTATGTTCAAATTATCTTCTGTTTTCTATACTTTGTTATTAGTAAATTTTTATTTAAATTCAATGAAAATCTTATTTTTCTGCTTCTACATTCACGTATACGTCCGATATAAACGTTATATTTAAAATGATTGTCTTTATATCTTTGTTGTTGAAGAGCAATTACTTGATTTGAAATTATATATACTTTGTAAGCAAAACTATATTGTAATTAGATTGTACTTCTTTTACATATATCATTGTAGCTTTTGAAAATTTACCTCTTAATTATACATTGTTCAGAGATCAAAGTTTAACTACTTTGTGACGTATTTCCAAAACTAAAAGAATGTTAATTTCTAAAATATACATTGTATCGTTTGAAAAATAACCCCTGAATTTTCTCATATTCAAAAACGAATGTTGTTTTATCCTAGATTTAAAATTAAAAAATCACTTTAAGAAGAAAGGAGGTATCTAGAAAATGTAAAAAACACAATAAAAGAAATTAATGATAATATTCTCATCCTTTTCACTTATGAGGAAAAAATTTTTGGCTGTTCAAAATTATGAAAATTATTCAATTTCACATTAATTCTTCAATTTTTAATTGTGCCTCTTATTATTCCGCTATTTTTGAAATAACAATTGTATTAAGCGAATCCCATGAATTCATTTTTTTTAAAGAGTATATTCTTTATTAGAGAATAGCGGGGGTAAAAACCGCTGAGCAAATCAAATAATTTAAAGAATCCGCCGATAATGTAAAATATTTAAATACCATATCAGTTTTGCATTGTTCTGCATGTAAATCAGAAGAATTTCACTATTGCTAATGTGAAAAAGTCATGACCTGGAATGTTATGTGTAAAATGTGAGTTTAAAACCACACGTGTCACTTTTTCCATTTATAATAATACTTTAAATAAGCATCAAATTAAACTTTATAAATACTGTTTAAGTACATTAAATAATAAAGAATAATGATTTAAAAAAATTTAACTTTTAAATATATATTTCTAACTTAAGAAAAATATCCCGATAATTGCAAGATTTTAAAAATAATCAAGTAATCTTCTCTGATTTTCAGATGTGCCCAGAAATTTCATTCAGTGAATATCAAAGTGAGGAATAACAACATACGAGTGAGTAGTACTCAGTTAAAAAATAATTAACAATAATTCTATTTATTTATTTCAAATTATGTCATTATATTTTTTCAATTTTTTAGTGTAAGATAAATAACATTGATTAATGAATAATGCAATATTGTTATTCAGTAAATAAACAATCATAATTTATGTTTTGATGATAATGTGTACCATCAATTTGAACAATTATATTTAAGTCATTAATAAAAAAAAACATTAAAGAAGGAAATTTAATTAATTTTGATTAATAACATTAGTAATTAGTAAATTTAAATAAAATCTGTTGGATTGTTTATTTGCTGTCTACCAAAAAAAGCATAATGCATTAAAGTTAAAACGTTTTCGTGTTAATATAATATATTTTAATTACAAAGCATATACAATTATCTATTAAGCTATTTCTAATCTGTATTTCACAAACTAATTCTTTGAAGATAATAATTAATCTTAATATTGATTTTCCTCCGAAATTTGAAACCTGGATGACGTTTTCAATGGTTGAATTGCATTAATATACTTGTCAAATCTTAACTTTGCCGTTTCTTCAACGGAGTCTGACTCTTTTTTAACCTGAAAATTAAATTCTAGTTTATTAAATTAAATAAAAATCATTTACAGATATTTATAAAAGATTCGTAGACAAGGTGTTGTTAAAGCGAAGCTTAAACCCAAAAAGTACATAATTTATTAAATTAAAAGAACACCAAAATCGAATATTATGATATCTCACCTTATCAGATTTTGTTTCTAATGATTTGTGACAAACAGATACAATCGACGCGTTTGATCCTATTAAATTATCCATTTGTTCAATAATACTAGGTATAGACAATAAAGGTACATTAGTCTCGTTTTTAGTAGTCCATTCCGCAATTCCAGAAACTTGTCCTAAAAGAATCAATAGTCCCGCGGTAGCTCCTTTTGTTTTTTCTTGGCAAATCTTTGTCAAATCGATTTCTCTTAACAAAACATCGTCGATATTTTCCCTGCTATTTTTACATGTTGCAAAAACAACGAAATGTCGTAAATCAGGACACATTTGCTTAGATTCTTCAAAAATATATTTGGTAAACAAATATTTTGAACTGGAAGACCTTTTTGACGAATGTTCAATACGCTGTAGATCAAAAATGCCATCTACTGTACCAAGTGTATTGACTTCTTCAAGAAGAGCATTCCCATTTTGTTGTTGGGTAAGGTCCAATTCTTCGCGAACTACAACTGATACTCCATATCCCCTCCACAAATTGATTCTGTGATTACTGTATGGTCTTGTATTTTTTGATTCGGATGCTATAACAATATTTTTGGCACCTCTGACAACTAAAAAGTCAACTAATTCGAGACCAAAGTCACTCAATCCTTCAATTATCAAATAAGATCCTTGTCTATTACATAGAAAACGAGAGATTGTCAGAGCTTTATTACTTCCATCCTCTGGCTGTACTTTAACTAGGATCTGTAAATGTAAGAAATAAATTAAAATAGAACACTAAAAGTTTGTTTAAAATTCCAAAAAACAAAATGTAAAAAAGGAAAACTTTACTTTTCCGAAAACATTATTTGTTGCTCCATCGATAAAAGCGTTTTTCAACATTTCCCTTGGGTAGATACGTCTAGGCAATGGTTTTACAATTTGCGCTGTTAATCCATTTTCAATCAATCGTGATAATTTTTTTTTAGTTGCTAGATCAAGGCTATTTACTTTCGTTGGAATTACTGAGAAGAGAGCAATTTCCCTTAAGAAAATTTTCATCCCTACTGATTTACTAAATGCTTGTTGTAAGTTTCCGATGATAATGATTTTTCCTTTATTTTTCACACACATCAGGCAGGTCTCTATTTTACTTAAATCATCTCCATTATATATTACAAGATCAGCTCCTTTTCCTTCAGTTTGTGCTAAAACTTGATCAGCAAAAGTTCCTGATGCACTCACAAAACGATGCTCAGGAATATTTTTAAAGTTGCTCATTAGATTTTTTTTGTTGATATCACTATCGTGTCCAGCAAATACTTGTGTTTTAATATTTAATGCTAGATTAACGGCTGCTTGACCAATGGAAGAGGCACTATCGTAGACAAAAACTGATTCGTTTTTCTGTAAATCTCCCTTTATCACCAAAGCCAAGTATGCAACTGCATATGCTAAAGGTACTGTTGCAGCATCTTCTAGTGACCAATTGTCAGGTATTTTCCATGTGTAATCAGTGTCAGCTGTTATATAATTTGAAAATGCACCATTTGCAGCAATTCCCATAACTTTACTTCCTTTTGAATTAATTCCAGAATATTCGTAGCCAAAGCACTTCATTTCTAGTCTATTTTTTCCAGTGTTTTCTGATCCAGTTTTAGTAATTGCTGAGAGAATATCAGCTTGATTGACTGCTGAATATTCAACTTTGATTGTGTTTGCATCGTTTTTATGAAACCCTTCGACCCAGGAGATTGATTCCATATCGGAATGATTTATCTGTCTAGCTATCCAGTTAGTCAATTGTCGGATATTCGAGGTAGTTGGCGAATGCCTGTATGTTCCCCAAATTTTACCTGGTAAAAGAATATTTATTTTTAAATCGAGATCCATGTGGGAGCTATACGAAGAATCATCTAAAGAGAATTTTAAAACTTTGGGATCTTGAATATCGACAATTTGAATTTTATGTCCATTTCGTTCTTTTTGAAGTACTTCAATGTTTTTACAATTATATGTACATTGTTTTGATCTAATTGCAATTATAAGACGTTTGCAAGCTTTTGAATGGAGTTTCGTTCTAATTTGATTGGACCAATCTTGATTGTCATTGATGTCTAAAACACTTGTATTATTGATTGATTGTTTTCGTCTAAATAGTAATGCAATTTGATTATTCGAAGAATATTTTTTTAGTACGAGTCCTAGTCCTGCAAAATCTGCCGTTTTCAAAACACTGATTTCATTTTTTGGTTCTGTAAATGTCATTAAAAAGCATCCATCTGATATAAGATTTGAAAGTCCTTGGGAAGTGTGTTGTACAACATTAAAAAGCACCAAAAGTGCAATATCGTTAGATTTTGATTTATTGCTCAATAACGAAGATGATGGTATCACATCAAATTTAAATTTATTATTTTCTGGACTATCTTCAAGAACTTTATGCCAAACTTGTTGCATATTTTCCACATTGATAGTTCCATCGTTAACGATACGTATTAAATTTGAGTTTTTGGCATTTTCATTCAGAAATTGAAGTGTTATTTTCAAGATCTCGAATAAATTAGATTGTGCTCCATCTGTGATAGGAGCGATTTGAAGTTTCTCTGTGATAACGTTATATTTCCAAGATTCATGTACAATAGATTTAAGAACAATTTCTTCCATTTGCACACCACCTGCATTTACTGTTTCAATACCCTTGTACACTGTGACAGGAATTTCTGAAAATAAATCATTTAATTATTATTGAGCTTTAATAACTATAACAGCAAGAAATAGTAAGTATTTCAATATGAGAGTTTATTAAAGTGAAAGAAATGCTCACCACATGACTTATTGATCGCCTCTTCTTGCAATTTTATGTTAATTATAATTTTTCTGATTTTAATTGGTAATTGAGTTTTTCTGATGTCATTTCCAAGAATATGCATTTGAATCATTCCTTCTAAAAAGGTTGTCCAATCATCTTTCCAAACTAAAATTCCATTGCATCCATTTGCTGATGATTTACGAATTTTTCTAAAAGGACCTGAGTATTGTAATCCTCGCATTTGCAGTTCAGTGTAAATATCATTTTCACTTAGATCCTGATAATCTTTATCTGCTTTTTTTGGAACTAGACTGCATTCCTCATTAGGATCGTCAGTAGCTTGTAAAATTCCCGAACATAATAAAATTTCATTGTTTGTTATTTCAAAGAAACCAGTACCTAAAAAATTTAATAAATTAACCTCACAAAAATTCAAATAATTAGTTTGTATGCAAGTTCTTATATACTCTTAAAAAGTTTATAATGTAGTTTCTTTTTGTAAAATATTCTCTACCTTTTTGAACCATTACTACTAATATAATACTTTCGTCTTCTGGAATTTTTACTTGATGCTTATGAATTTTTACGTTATGGTAAACAACTGAAAATTCAGAATCATTTTTTAATGATTTTAAAACATCCCAGGCAAGTTTCAAGTATACAGAAGTTGGAATAATCACTTCGTCTTCAATCTTAGCATGTTCCAAATATTTCCACTTCTCGTCTTTTAAATTGATAATGAAATTCATCTCTCCCTCCTTAACTTCATCCGGTTGTTTAAAAAAGTTAGTGTACCTTGAAGGACATTTGTTAAATCAGTTACTAATATTTTTAATTATTCGTATTAGATCTAATTTTTTCTTTCGTACCAGCTAATTGAGTGGTCCCATCGAATTAAAGATGAAATTGAAGGTGTTCCTCGCGATACGGGATAGTTGACTTTAGGATAAAGATTAGACACATTGATATTGTAGCCAGCATTGTAAATTTTACCTAATGCAGCAAAGAGGAATGAAATATTATCTGGATGTCCTCTTTTAGTTAAGGGTACATTGATGACATTTTCGTGCAATGATTTTCTCACAATTGCCTGTAGAAGACCGTGTGGGGCTATTTCAATAACAACAGCATTCGATGGTATACATTTAGCAGTTTCGGCAAATCTAACAGAACTTAAAAGATTGTTTGTATGATATTCTGCAGACGATAGTCGAGCCCTTGCGGAATTCCATTCATCACGTGGTACTGAAGTGCTTACCCAGCGATTACTTCGTGATTTTGGATTAGGTATAACATCTTGTAGATATTTTCTTAATTTTTCTCCTGCTGGAGCAATGTAACGACTATGGTAGGCAATGTTACTACACGCCACTTCTTTAGCAAAAATTTTGTTTGTCTGAGGAAAAGAATTAGTTATTCTAGGTATTTTAATGCTTTTAAATATGATTTAGAAATTAAAAATTTCTTACTGTTAGATGTGCGACGAATGCTTTCATAGAGTCTGCAGGACCACTGATAGTTGAACTGTCAGCGCTATTATGACAAGCTACATCAATATCGGGTGGGCAAAGGTTTTTAATTTCTTCATAGCCAAGACCAACTGCTGCCATGGAACCTTTTGGCATTTCTGTTTCCACTGATGCTAGACCTCTGCATAATGCAGCTAGAACCATTTGTTCCGCTGTGAAACATCCATCAGCATAAGCACAACCTAATTCTCCAACTGAATGACCAATTAGGAAATCTGGTTTTAACCCAATTGAGTCTAAAAGATCTACTAATCCAATCTGAAAATTTAATGCAGGGAATGTTTTTAAAATTTTTTCTCTTGATATTTATAGTGAAAATTTACTATTTAATTAATTCTTTTTATTTATAATCTATAAAGATTAACTAACTTGAATAGCAGCAATTCCAACAAAAGAATTGACAATGTTTTCAAACATTTTAGGATCCTTTTCTCTAATGATGCGCACAATGTCGATACCACGAGGTTTTAAAACGCGATCACATTTCTTAATAGCTTCCGCGAAAACTGGTATTTGCATTAAAGATTCTCCTGTTATGTAAATTTTTTGAAAACAATCGTTAAATATTTATGAAAATTTTTGTTTGTTTTAATAAATTATTTTTCTTAAATATTACTCACCCATACCAACCCATTGAGAGCCCATGCCAGAAAACATATACCATATTTCCCTCTTAAGTCCCGTGTTAAATTGAATATCACGTGTTTTATTCTTTGCTAATCCACGAGGAGGAAGTAAAGTGTAACCTCGATATAAATGAGCTGGAATTTCAGTTTCAAAAATATCGTAAATAAGTTGTAGCATTTCTACATCGACTGGTCTGCTTTCCAGCTGTAAATTTTAATATTTTATCATTCAGCAAAATTTTCAGAAGATTATATAAGTTTTTTAATATAAAAAGTTGAGATTATATTTAAAAGAAAATTATTATAATCATACATCGTTTAGTATGACATTAACAGCTTCTTCAGTGCATCCAGAACCAATGACTAGTCGAGGAAGATTATCGTCAGGTTTTCCTCCATTTTTCTTATCTTTTTTGTAATCTTTTAATATAATATTAGCACTTGTTCCTGTTAATCCTAAACTATTGACGACCGCGTAATCTCCAGTCCAGGGAGTTAATTCCGTTACAACTTTACATCGACCTTCTTTAAGAGCAGGGATTTTGTCAGATATTTTTTTTAAATGAATATTTGGTGGAATATATCCCGATTCCATTGCAGTGATAACCTGAAAAAATTTTGTGATCTCTATATTCAGTGAATAGTTAATTAATCAATTCAAATTGATTATTAAGTATAAATATTTCTGTTTACTATATAACTAAAAATTTTCATCTAAATTATTTTAATGGTTATTAAATTATCACGAATTAAAACCTTAATAATTCCATTAAGTGGATTTACGGCTGAACATGAGCCAAGATTAGATTTGACTGATCCAATTGGTAGGGGTAATTTTCGTCCTTCATTGTAAACTTCGTCAATTGCTCTTACTTCTTCAGCATCGACTTCTTTAATACCTGAACCGTCGGCTTCTATAAATGAAATATCCTTTCCCTTAAGACCACATTCTTTTAATGTCATTCTCATCACTTTTGCTTGAAAATCATGTGTCGGATAAAAAAATTGCATTTTATTGTTGACATCACCAAAACACATGCGTGCATTTTTTACTTCTGCATAAATACGTTTAGCGTCGCGTGCCTTTTGAAGAAAAAGAACAACGAGACCTTCACTACGAGTATAACCATCGGCTGTATTGTCGAAAGGTTTTGTTATGCCGTCGGGAGATAAAAGTCCTAAAATTCAAATTATAATTTACTGTATTTTATTTATTTTTATTAATTATTTGAATTTTTATTTTCCATTAAAAAATTATTTTCAATTATTGAAAACAGTTATATACCTAATAAAAATAATTGTAGAGACATATTTGGATGTAAAATAACATTACTGGAACCAATAACTGCACTTTCGGCTCGTCCTTCTTTAATTGCTTTAAATCCTTCCTCTAATGCTGTAATACCTCCACAACAGCTAGAATCAATGTTAATACTTGGTCCAGTAAGACCGAAAAAAAATGAAAGTCGATTTGCCAACATAGCGCGACTGGCACCAATTAAACCGAAACCACTTTGCTAAAAAAAAAAAAAATGTACAAGATTCAATATTTATCTCGTCAATTATAATCAATTGAAATTTTTTTTCGTTCGACAATAAAAGAAAATATTGTCTATACCTCTAATTTTTCAAAAAAGAAAGTTTTTTCCGATTCTGAAAAAGCGCTTCCAGTGAAAACAGCAGTTTTACTTCCTCTTAATTTTCTTGGATTAATACCAGCATCTGTGATTGCTTCATATGTTGTTTCCAAAATCATTCTCACCATTGGATCCATACAGTCGGACAATTTTCCATGAACTCCAAAAAATACACGATCAAATGTGTCAATATTTTTCATAATTCCAATTCGCGGTGGCACATTAGGATGTTCTGAATATTTATTATTAATTTATTTTAGAATTTTCTAATTTAATATAATTTTTTAAATATATATCTTCTAAGAATTTTGAATTCAAATTCGCACTTTTTAAATTAAATACTAAATATATTTTAATTTGTATAATTAAAACATAATTCATACCGAAATCCCAACGAGCTTTACTGCTAGTAACGCAATCCGTTTTATTTAAAAGATTGTTTTGCAATTCTTTAACATTCTCACTATTTGGAAATTTTCCAGCTATACCGGATATCACTATTTCATCTCCTGTCAGTTTTGGTTCCATTTTTGTTTTTATTTCCTCTTTTATTTGGTTTTTTTCTTTTAACAATCTAATATAAAGAAAAATTAATAAAAATTTTCGCTATTAATTAAATAATATTTAAAAATTAAATTTTTTAAAATTATTAAAATTATTAAAAATAAAAAAATAAATAGTTAAAATTATTTTAAAAAAAATTATTCTTTAATTAAAACAATGCGATCATGCGATCATTGAAGATCGCACGAAATTTAACACTTTTCTCAATTTTCTATTAATTCACGTTCACGTACATTCGTTAGGACCGAGAGATCTAAAATGAATGTCGTTTATTAATCGTTGACTTTAGCTTTTTGACGTCGGTTTAACTCAATTGTGTGTGAACATGTGTTTTAAAATTGTATATATGCATTATTTACTGAAAATTTAATTAGTTCGACAGTCTACAAAAATTAGTTTCCGGAATTTGTAGATCAAAGTTTAAAGTCGTCACACTATTATCTATTCTATCGTTTCTATCGCATATATTTCGAGGTCTATGTCAAAATATTAACAATGGTTTAAAAAATGACAAATTTTCCATAAAAATTAAACTCATTTTTTATAGCATAATTCACTTTCTTTATTACCACAATATTGTTTTAAAATTTACATAATGATTTAAAATTTAATTATTTTTATTTAATTTTTAAATTGTTTTACAATTTTTCTATTAATTAATTTAATAAATTAATTAATTTAATAAATTAATTAATTTAAATTTATTATTCTAAATTATTTTTTAATAAAATTTTAAAAAAATTTTTCAACACTACTAAAAATATTGTTTTTTACATTTTACTGTGTATTATTTTAATGAATTAAATTATAAAACAATATATATGTGTGTATGTGTGTGAAAAGCATATAGGCATTTAAATAAAGAAGGTGAAAGAAGATTTACAAATGGAAAGCATATATGCATTAAAATACCAGGATAGAAAGGTCGACATAAAGTAAAAAAAAGGAATTAGAAAATAAAATGAGTTTGAAAAAAAAGTGATTCTTGATGATGTCTTAGTGGAAAAAATAACGGGGTCTACTGATAAGAGTTACCCGCGTTGGCGCCATATAGCGAGACCCTGTTACAATCCTTGCGATTAAGCTTCCTTTTCGGATCTAGAAACATCATTACGGTCCATTTCAATCGCTAATCAATGTATTTATAATACTAAATAGACATTAATAAAAAAAATTATTATTCTTTTTTTTTGCTGATATTAAAGAAATTAATTAAATTTTTTTCTAAATTTAAGAATATATGTCTTGGTTATTATATTTAAGAATAAAATTTTACATGTATTCTATATAAGTATATATTTAAAGTTAGAATATTCCTTAAATATTAAATAAAGTTTTAAAATAAGAAATTCTTGATTAAAAAAAAAAAAAAATTATTCAGAAAATAAGAAAATTATTTTTATTTATTTTAAGAATTTTTGTTTAGTTTTAATAATATTATCTATAATTGTATAAGGGATAGAATGCAGTAGATTTTATTCTTAAAAATAGGAGCTAAGATGTATATTATTGAATTTAAAAAATTTTTAAATAAAATTTATAGATATTTATTGGAACCATAATGTTAATTTGAATTAAATAAAAATATATTTCTCTCAGAGCTAAATAAATTTTATTTGAAATAAATACAGGTTTATTTCAAAAAAATAAAAAATTTTTTGATATAAATAATAATTACTTAGATTTGAGTAATGAATTATTTTCAAATATATTTTTTTCATATTCTACTTTGAAATATATAATTTTATTGAAAATTTAATTCACCAGACAGATTTTATACATTTGTTTTTTTTTGTCTTCTTACATACAAAGAAACCTATTTGTAAAATTTAATTGTCTTTAATTATTATTCTTATTTAAACAAGATACTTGACATTCATATGAATTATTTGCCGATCGATAATCCCTTGACATTCATTACTAATTCTCATGCAATTAAAATATGTATATAAGAGTTACTGTTTGTTTCCATGATTACCTCTCATGTATATATATATATATATATTTATATAAAAATGTTTTCCACAACGAATTTAATTTCATTTATGTCAAGTATTGATAATGAAATGGTTTTATTTTGTTCGCTATCAAAATGTTATTACTCCTATTTGGCTTTTTCCATTCAATTACTATCGGCTTTTTCCATCTTAATTCCCATTACTAAAAACGTCACTATATATAATCTCGATATTATTTTTTTCTATTTTCTTTTTTGCCTTTTGTATATATCTTTTCCGTTTATATCTATACTTTCCATTTCGGCTTGCGATTCATAAAAGAAAATTTCAAGAATTTAAAGTGGCAAAAATTCGAAATAGAAAAGATAAATATAATTGTAAATAATAACTTGTATTTTATGAAGTTGTCATTCCATTATGATAATAATTACAAATCTTGTAAAATTAATAAAAATCATACATATACACGCATACACGATAAATGTATGTACATATATATATATAACATCCATAAAGACAATTATACATTTCATAATTAATAACGATACATTAAATTTTTACGTTATTTTTTAGAATTATTTTTTCAATAAATAAAAAAAATTTAATATTTATTAATTACTCATAAGGATCCTTTGTTCCTTATGATTAATTTATAAACGTTAACATTGTTGATTGCAAACATTGAACCATGAATAATATATACTTAGTCATGGAATAATTAATTAATTCGACAATAAATTGTTATAAAATTAAAATAAATCCAAATAGCACAATAAAACATTCAAATTAAATATATAATTTTTTTTTGTATTAACACAATTTTTTTCGAACTTCAAACAAAATTTATTTGATTTTTGTTTTCTTTATTTTAATAAACATTTCGAATGAAGAAAGAATTTTATTGAATCAAAAATAAACATTTGGTTGATTCGTATAACAATTATAACCAGACAATGTTATAATTAGCAGTTTGATAGATATAAATTTTTCACTATTATCAACTATTGCATTCCATAAGATTCTCAAAGATCATTCTCCGCGTTCTTTTTTCCGAATGTATGGCATCTGCATTTTGGGCATTGGTCGTGTGTGTTAACTGATACACAATATACAAGTCTTATAAACGGCGCCAACATTCTGCCCCCGAAAAAGCATCTTATAGCTTAGAGATTCCACGACCAGATCGTGGCCTGTGTCCCAACATGTTGTCCTTATATGTATCTCTTATACCTGTTTCTCTTTTGGGGGACTTACATTAGCGATATAATATGTAAACCCTCCTCTTTCTCTTTCTCTCTCATATACCTCCCGCATCTCATACACATATATACGAGTCGTTATCAAAACTTTACAAAATTAAAAAAAAATATATATATTTTTCTATTAGTTATTACATAAAAAAAATATTTTTTTAATTTGTTGTTTTGTACATACACTTTTTTTTGACAAAAATTTTGTATACACAAAATAAAAAGTTTTAAAAAGAAATTTACGTATAAATACAAAAAAAATTTCTTTTTTTATTTAATAACAAATTGGAAATAAGGGCAAAAAGTATGTTCTCTAGTATATATATATACTAGAGGGGCTATGCCCCCCTGCGCGCTTCGCGCGCCAACCCCCCTATTTTTGGCGGGAAATACAGAGAGAGATGAGGGAAGGGGGAAGGACTTGCGGCTATATTCAGACCCTTGAAACGAACATAACCTCAAAATTTAGGTCATTTTTGACGGAGGAGGGGAAATGAGAGGAGGGAGGCGGACTTGCGGCTAAATTCAGAGCCTTGAAACGAACATAACCTCAAAATTTAGAAGGGGGGACTCCCCCCTCCTAGGTCAAGAATTCTTGAAACAGCGGCGGCGGCGGAGGCGGCGGCGGCGATATCTTTTTGTAATATAGGAAGATATATTATTAAATTTAGCTTCTGAGACAAATATTTACTTTTATTTAATTCAATTAAATTATCATTCAGTTCAAATAAATTTCTTTGTGGATGCTAGAAATTTTAAAAAATATATACACTGAAAAAAATATGCTATTTAATCGACAGTATTTCTGCCAGAGGCATAAAAATTATTGAATCAAAAATATGAAAAAAAAGCAGGCGCATGGCGCCTTCAACGCAGGGTTTAATGACAAAATTAATCACGGTAATGGTTGTCGTGAAAACGGTTGTTATGGTATCAGTTGCTATGGAAACGGTTGCTATGGTACCGGTAACTATGGTACCGGTAACTATGGTACCGGTTACTATGGTACCGGTTACTATGGTACCGGTTACTATGGAAACGGTTACTATGGAAACGATTACTACCATGGTATCTGTTGCTATGGTACCTGTTACTATGGAAACGGTTACTACCATGGTAACGCTTGCTATGGTATCAGTTTTCATGAAAACGGTTGGTATGGTATAGTTTCTATGGTAATGGTTGCTATGGTATCTGTTGTCATGGAAACGGTTCCTATATGGCCTGGGCCCGAAGCTAAAAAATCTATAATATTTTACATATTCCATATAGCATATATAATAGTATAATCAATAATTCTTATGCCTTTTGGCAGAAATATGCTGTTGATTGAATATAGCATAATTTTTCTCAGTGTATTTAAAGCAAAATTTTTAAAAATGAAACAAAAATTAATAAATGACAAATATATGATTTGTTCCTGTATAGATTATATAAATAATATTTTGTATATCTTCGCTTTGTTTGAGTATGACAAATATATACCTTAAATAATTTGTATTAAGATGTCTATGCGCAAGTAAATGTTGGGTGTCAATCTGCCCACTCGAGTCCTACAACTAAATAAACGTGCAAAATCGTAACGATCATATAGTTCCAAGTTGTAGGATTTTGCATTACACATAAAGGTATAATATCACTTTTATGCGTTCGGGACACTATCGTCAACATATTAAGCTTACCAGACTCAAGATAGCATGCAAAAACGACATTCGCTCGTGCGAAGGCACGGCGCCGGTTGGGGCGGTGCATTCTCTTCCTTCCGTGCCTTCTTTCTTCTTCTTTTTTTTTTTTTTTTTGTTTCTTTTATAAAAGAACCCTCGTCGATAAATAATCCAAGAGATCGTTGGATAGGGTAGGGAGGGACGAGGGATAGAATAGAGGGTTGGACATATAAGAGGTCGAAGTACGGAGGGCGGTGCCACGTTTGCGTGTTTTTACTTTTTACATACAACAACAACTTGGAGAATATAGCATATAGGATGGGAGGGAAGAGATTGGGGGAATGGAAAAGAAGAAGAAGAAAAAGAGAAAAAAAAAGGGTTAGAAAAAAAGAGCAGGAGAGAGACCGGCTAACATGGAATAGTCCTTAGTCGGCACGATATAGTCACTCTTTAGGCTGATGGACTCCCTCTCGTTCTCTCTATACCGCTCTCCTTTATACCTCTTGATTCAACCCCACATCACTCTTTTTCTCTCTTTCTCTCTTTATATATACATTCAAATCCATCGTCTCTCTATATCAAACAACTTTACTTTATTTTTTGCCATGTTCACCAAGCAGCGATATTGTTTTCGTTCTGATCGATATATGGTAATTACGATTGATGGTTGTTTTAAATATTAGATGATATATAAATTTTGCTGCGCGGTAATTTTTGATCGATGATGATTTATTTGAATCTAATTCACAAGAAACATAAAGAAATATGACAAAAAATGGGTGTAAATAATTCGTTATAGTCATTATTTAAAGGTTAGAAATTCATAAACTTTAATTTTTTCAACATGTAAAAATTATAATTATTCTATTATGAAAAAAGTCCAATATTTAATTGATTTTTTGTCAGGAACATAACCTTAAAACTCTAGATTTATAGAATTTATTAAATTCACATGTCCGCCATTTGCAATAATTCATCTCTCACCTGAGTTGCAATAGTTTTCCCGCAAAAGCTCTAGTGTCGCACCCAGAAAATTGTTTCTTTGATATAGGGTCAAAGAAATGTTTTCTTTAATTTAAAGAAAATTTTTTTATTCTACATTAAACTTTGTTTTAAATTTAATTTTTTTTTTTTTTAATTAAACAAATTTTTCTTTAAATTAAAGAAAACTTTTCTGTGACCCTATATATCAAAGAAATACTTCTTTGATTCAAAGAAACATTTTTCTGAGTGTGGAAATTATCCATGTGTATAGTTGTGTCAAAATTTGTAAAATTGACATATTTAATTAAATAATTAATCACTTTTTATATTTTGTGAAAAGGAAATTTTATGATTTTCATTCAAACGAATTTCTAACCTATAAATAATGAATATAACGAAATATTTACATTCATTTTTGTCATATATCTATTATTGCTTCTAAGCAAAAAAAACTTAAATAAAATAATTGATTTTAATTAAACTGACGGCGTTAAATCGAAAAAATTAAATCAACTTGAAATATTACAATTTTTTCATAACATTACTGTTGAAAAACTATTTAATATTATAGAATATTCAAAGTATATTTAGTGAACTAAAAAAAATTTATTTGAATCAAATAATCGGTTTTAACTATTATCAAAGAAATAATTACTTGAACCAAATAATTTTTATTTGAATTAAATAAATTATTTATTTAAATCAATTAATTTCTGTATTTTAAACAAATATACCATTTAATTGACTCAAATAATAATTATTTGATACAAATAAATATTTATTTGATAATAGTTAAGTAACCGTTTGTTTGAATATTTATAAACTGTAATAAAACTTCAAACCACTTGATTCTATAGTAAAATTTTCGAATTTTTAAGTATACCTCTAATTTGATAGTTACTTGAAAAAAAAGTGTTTGGTAGAAAAGGTCACCAACTGAACCCGAATTTAAATTTTTAATCGCGGATATTGATGAATTTAATTTATTAATGCGTTGACGTGGAGTGCAATGAGAAAATGAACGTACAAGGTTAGAATTTCATATTCAGTCATTGTTATTCAATATGTAATAAATAAAACATGTTTTATGTCTCAGAAATATTATTTAAATACATATTCTTGAAAATTTTTTATTTTGAAACTTATTTTATATATTTAATGTTAAAAAAGAATTTCCCATACACAATAACTTGAATTTTTTGAACAATAATGATAATAATAATAGAATTATTTATTTAAAATTGAATTTTTTTTAAATATTCAGACTATAATAATTATTTAAATTAAATTGAAAATTTATTATTGACAAAAATCGATTAGAAAAATAAATGATATTCACTAAATTTGTAAAAATTAATTACTCTTGATTAAAAAAATTAATATTGATGTAGGTACTGAATATGAAATTTGTTTGGAATTTTTTCAGTTCTTACTTTGAATTAATTCTTATAATTTACTTTTTTTAACGTAAGGGGGCAGCGGTATCCACTGAAATTCATTTCTTAGATAAAACAGTATGCAATCGGTATAGAAGGCATCTATATACAAATTCTTATCATTGATTGGAGAAGTAGTAAAAATAAAAATAAGATTGGACAAAAAACTAAATTTTCATTTTCTTAAAAGTAAAATTATTTTTGATATTTTTAATAATTATTGTTTCAATTAAATGAAAATAAATTTAATTCAAATTTACAATAATTTAATTTGAATTAAATGTTCAAAAATTTTAATAAAATAGTTTCATATTTAATTTTATTTATTTACTCTCTTTTTTTTGGAGGATGAAAAAAGAAAAAATTTTATTTTGCAAAAAAAATTCATTATATGTTAATAAAAACCACTTTATTCGTAATAAACGTTTACAAGAATTAATTTCTTTTTACGTGCACCCTTATAATGACTTTGTATTTTAGATTGGAAGGAAATATTATTATGACAATTTGACATATAGATGAATTAAATAGATATAATGTGTTTTTTGTGGATTATAATAATTTAGTTAAATATAATATGATTTTATATTTTAAAAATTTATATTATTAATGATGAATTAATGATAAATTAATGAAAAAAATGTCTTACAAGAATATAGAAATAAATTAAAAAAAAGAATAAATTAAATAAAATGCGAAAGAAAAGTATTCTAAATTTGAAAATAAATACTTGTCATTTATTTTAGTATTCCAATATATGTAGATATTGTAAAATAAAATTGATTTTTAAAATAAGAATAAATTGGATTTAAATATTCTGAAAAAGGTGACAAATCCTATTTATTCTCAATTTCAGAATATTACTTTCGATATATAGTTGTGTATATTATTATAGTTAGGAATTTTTTCTTTTTTTTTTAATTAATCCAAAGAATATTTCTCGTTTTTTTTAAATAATAAAAACATTCTCAAGAAAGAATATTAAGTGATTTAAATTTACTCTTTGTCATTGGATCAACTTTATATAAATAGGCTTTAAATAATGATTCCTCATCCTCTTCTATTTCATCTACAACATTAGTTTCCTGTAAAATAAAACATTTATTATTAATTACAGTGAATTAATTAATAAAAAAAAATTTTTTTTTTAATTAAAAATATTTTTCATGAAATTTTTTTTGAAAATTTTGCAATATGCAAATTTGTATTAATTTTTCCTATTATTTATAATTACCTGTTTGTTTTCAATAATTAATTTTTTGTATGATACACCAACAATAGAAACATTTGATCCAAGTATTCTATCAAATTGTTCAATAGCTCTGGGAATTGTTAATAATTGTTGATCGTTTAAAATTTTTGATTCATCAATTATTCCTTCAATAGAATCCCAAAGAATTAAAATACGCGATTGTTTCAATGATGATTTCTCACATAATTTAATTAATTCACATTCTTTTTTTACTAAATCATTGAAATTATCCATTAATTCATTAACTGTTGAGCATATAACAAATTTTTGTCCATTTGAAGAATATTTTTTAAATTCCTCATCAATATTTTTGGTAAATAAATTATTTAATGTCATTGAATTTATTTTATTATTATTCATTCGTTGTAAATCAAAAATGGCTTCTATTTGACCATGTTTCGTTACTTCATTTAATAATAATTTTATATCTTCTTTTTTTGTAAAATCAAAATTATCACGAAGAATTATATTTATTCCATATTTACGCCATATATTCATACGATAATTGGAAAATTTCCTCAAATTTTTTGAATTTGATGATGTAATTATTATAATATTTCTCGCACCTCGTACAATAAGAAAATCAATTAATTCAAGACCAAAATTATTTAAACCACCAATTATTAAAATTGATCCTTTCTTTGAACACGAATATTGTGATATTGCTAATGCTCTATTTAAATCTTGTTCTTGAACTTTTACTATTATCTGAAAATTATAAAAAAAAAAAAATTTTTTTTTAATTTAAAATCAGAATTTAAAATTAAAAGATTTGAGTTGAAAAAACTTACTTTGCCATTTACTTTATTGTCAATACCATCTTGAAATGCTTTATTCAATTGTTCTCTCTCGTAAAAATGACCATGTAATAATTTAACAACACCTGTTTTAATTCCATTTGCAACCATTTTTGCTAAAATTTTTTTTGTCCCTAAATCAGTTTCTAGCAATACTTTTCTTGGTATCACTGAATAGAGACTAATTTCTTTAAGAAAAATTTCCATTCCTATTGATTTACCAAATGCTTCTTGTAAATCATCAATTATAACAATGCGTGCATTTTTTTTTGCACAATTTAAACATTGTTTTATAATATTTAAATTATTTCCATTATAAATAATAAGATCAATTCCTTTTCCATTTGTTTTCATTAAAATTTCATCGGCAAATAAATCTAATGAAAAACATAAACGATTTTCTTTTATAAATGGAAATAATTTTTTTAATAATTTCTTTTCATCGACATTTTTATAGATGATGAAAATATCAGATTTTTCATTATATGCCAAATTTATTGCCGCTTGACCAATATCACTTATACCATTGTAAATGAGAATTGTTTCATTATTTTTAATTTTTCCTTTTAAAAATAATGCATTATAAACAATTGTATAGGCCAATGGAATAGTGGCAGCTTCTTTGAGTTGCCAATTTTTTGGTATTTCCCATGTGAATATTGAATCGATTTCAATAAAATTTGATAATGTTCCATTTGATGATAATCCCATTATTTGTTGTCCTTTTGAATTAATTCCTGAATATTCTAAACCAAATGTTTTTGTTTCAATTCGTTTTTTGCCAAATTCAATTGTTAATAATTTTCCTTGTACACGTAGTAAATCTGATGTATCTAATGATGCGTATTCAACTTTTGCGATATTTTCCATTAAAAAATCATCAACCAAACAACCTTCGACCCATGTTATTGATGTTGGATTTGATTGTATCAATTGTTTTGCTTTCCAATATTGTGTTTGTTTTAATTCTGTTTGAATTTTTAATGTTTTTGATTTTTCAATATTCTCCACAATCACTTCACCTTGTGTTGAATCATGTAAAATTGGCGTTAAATTAATTCCACATATTTCAACACCTCCCGCAATTGTTACATTGAGTTGTCGATTAATTTTTATTGGAATTCCTATGAAAAAATTTGTTTAGAATAAAAATTAACTGAAATTTTAATTAACAATATTCCTTTTTATTGTATATATAACTTACCTTCTGTATTATTTTGTTTCTCCTGAAATTTTCGATCAATGGTAATTTTATTAATTTTCACTGGTAATTGTAAATTTCTTGTATCATTACCAAGATAAAACATTTGCAACATTCCATCAAAATATGTTGTCCAATTATTATTCCAAATTAATGTTCCATATGTTGCATTTGTTGACGAGTTAATAATGCTTTTAAATAATTTTGAATATTGATAGCCACGCATTTTTAATTCATCATAAATATCATTGTTATCGAGTAATTCAGAAATACTATTTTTATTATTCGATTTATTTTTTGTAAAAACATCCGGATTTTTATCAATGTCACGAACATTACCCGAGCACAATAAAATATCGTTGTTTGTAATTTCAAAATTTCCCAATCCTGAGAAAACAAAAATTTTATTTTAAAAAAATTTCTAATTCGAGATAATAATTTATTTATTTACCTTTTTGAACCATTACAACTAAACTTAATTCCTCACTTTCTGGAATAATTAATTGATGTTTAAAAATTTGAACATTCTCAAAGACAATTAAATCCTTTTCCTCGCTAATTTCACGTAAAACTTGCCAAACAAGTTTTAAATACAATGCCGATGGTATGACAATTTTATTATCAATTTTGTTGCCTCTTAAAAATTCCCAATCTGTGTTTTCCAATTGAATTGGAAATTTCATTTCTCCTTCTTTTAATTCTTGTGGTTCTTCGTAAAAATCTGTAAACCTAAATTTCAAGAAATTTTTATTTTAATAAAAATTATTCTTTAAAAATAATTCTTAAAACATAAAAAGAAACAATTTTAATTCAAAGCAAATAATTCTCACCAATCATTAGAATGATCCCATTTAATTAACGATGATATTGATGGTGTACCACAAGAAACGGGATATTCAATTTTTGGATAAAGATTTGAAATTTTAATATTAAGACCAGATGAATATAATGATCCTAAACCATTCATGAGAATTTCAACATTATTAGGATGTCCTCTTTTTGTCAATGGTATATTAATAACTTCTTTAGCTAATGATTTTCTTAAAATAGCTTGCATCAATCCATGTGGTGCAATTTCAATTGCAATTGCATTATTTGGAATCATTTTTGCCGTTTCAGCAAATAAAACAGGACTCAATTGATTATTCATATGATAAAATCCCGAGCATAATCGTGCTTTTTGTGAACCCCATTCACTTCTTGGTATTGATGTACTCACCCATTTATCGCTACGTGGTTTTGGATTTGGTATTTCACGATTAAAATATTTTAATACCAAATCACGAACAGGTGCCATATATCGACTATGATATGCAATATTACCGCACGCAACTTCTCTTGCAAAAATTCCTTTTGCCTGCCAAAAAAAAAAAAAATAATTAAAAATCCTAAAAATAAAAATTCGGAAAATTATTATCGTACTGTTAAATCGGCTATAAATGTCTTCATTGATTCTGCTGGACCACTTATGGTTGAACTCTCGGCACTATTGTGACATGCCACATCGATATCAGGTGGACATAGAGGTTTAATTTCTTCATAACCCAATCCAACGGCTGCCATTGATCCTCTTATTAAATCTGATTCAACAGATGCCAAACCACGACCTAAAGCACACAATACCATTTGTTCTGCTGTTATACAACCATCAGCATAACCACAACCCAATTCTCCAAGTGAATGACCAATTATGTAATCTGGTTTTATTCCAATTGAATGTAAAACATCCGTCAATCCAATCTGTATAATGAACATAATTTTTATAATTTATTATTTGGGGGTTTTCTTTTAAACCCAAAAAAAATTATTTTAATTCAAAAATTACACGGAAAATTAAAAGGCATTAAAATAAGCGTTGCAGCTTATTTTAATACTTTATAATTTTCGGTGTAGGCCTCATTTCTATAAAGAAACATTTTATGAATAATTACTTGTACAGCTGTGATGCCAACAAAAGCGTGTACTATATAATCGAACATTTTTGGATCTTTCTCTGTTAATATACGAAAAATATCAATTCCACGTGGTTTTAAAGCAGCGTCACATTTTCGAATTGCAGCTTCAAATACAGGTATTTTTAAAAGGGCCTCACCTAAAATAAAATGCATTCTTCAAATATCAATAAATATTTCAATATTGTTGACGAAAAAAAATCTCAAATTCAAAGAAATATGCCGTTTTGGATTTTTTTTTTTCCTTTGAAATTAAGAATAAATATTTTTTTTCATTTTTTGTATTTATATTAAGGAATCATGAATTTTTCCCAATGAAAAATATTGTTATGAATAAATTTATTCGTATTTCTGTTATTTGCAATATAAACAATGTTAGCTATTTGACTTTATTAATGCCTAACCATTGTATGTAAAAATTGCAATATTCTAAAAAAAAAAAAAGGAAAAAAAAATTGCAACGTAAAAATCAAATAAACGATTAGGGACTACGTCCTTGACCTACTTTTACATCTGTAAAAAAAAAATTTTTTTCTTTCAGATTCATCAAAAAATGAGAGCGGTTTTCAAATTATCCTTCACAAGGAATGTGTCTACACATGGAGTAAAAAATGGGGTAAGTGACAATAATTTTCATTGAATTAATTTAGAAACATAACTATATATATTCACATTGAAAACAAATATTCTCAATATGAGACGATTTATCTCATTTTAATGGAAAATATTTTAAGGAAAATATTCCTTTTATTTTTGAGAATATTTTTTTTCGATGTAAAAAATAAATATTAAAAAAATAAGTTTTTGCGTGATCCAAACTAAATTTATTAATTTCACTATATATGGAAGAGAAAAAAGTGAAATAAAAATAATAACTTACCCATTCCAACCCATTGCGAACCCATGCCAGAATAAACGAACCAAATTTGTTTTTTAGAACCAGAATTGTACTCAATTTGCCTTTGTTTAATTTTCGGTAAACCCCTTGGTGGTAATAATGTATATCCTTTATATAAATGACCAGTGTTTTCAGTTTCAAATACATTATAAATAAGTTGAGTCATTTCAACGTCTACGGGTTTGCTTTCTAACTACAATAATAACATAATAACATAAAAAATAATAACAATTAAAAAAAAACAAGAAAATAACAAATAAAAAAAATAATAGATGTAATTAAACAGAAAGTAATAGCAAAAAGAAAAGTAAATACAAAATAATTTTTTCTTCTCTCAATATTATAAAATGAAAACTTTAAATTAAAGAGGAAAACTCTAAATTACTTTAGTCGTACTTTCATTTGAAAAAATTAAATTTAACATAAAAATGGAAATATTCTTGTTTTGAGAGGATAAACATAAAAAAAGAGAAAATTTCCTCTCAATATGAGATTATACCTGTTTTTTTTAGGTACAGTTAAATATTTCTTTTAATATATATACGCAAATACTAACTTGGTCCAAAATAAAAGCCACTGATTCTTCAGTACTTCCGGATGCAATAATTAAACGAATTAAATCATCATCAGGTGCACCATGATTTTTCTTTTCTTTTTTAAATGATTTTAATATAACATTTGAAGCAAGACCTGTTAATGATATTGTATTAATTGCTGCATATTTTCCCTCCCAAGGAATACATTCTGTGGGAATTTTAATTCGTCCCTCTTTTATGGCAGGAATCATACTAGATGGGGTTTTATAATGTAGATTAGGTGGAATAATTCCTCTATCCATTGCAGTGATAATCTAAACAAAGAAATTCTTTTTTTTTATTATTGGTTCATATAAAATTTATTAAAAAAAAATTATTTGATTCAATTAAATAATTATTTGATAATAGTCGAGTATTTGAATCAAATAAATTTTTTCTCCAATGGCGCTTTCATTAAAAATAAACAACATTTCCTTATGACGATCATCATCATATATATATCACGTCAAACATTTCCATTAATGAAACAATAATATTATGTCAGTTTAAATGAAAAATAAGAGGTGTGCATATTTAAATTTTTGTATTTAAAAAAAGAAAAGAAAAAAGAAAAAAGAAAATCAAATTTATGCCGAATTATGACGTAAATAATAATTAACCTTAACAATCGCATTTAGTGAATTGGAATTGGAGCAATAGCCAATATTCGTTTTAACAGAGCCAACGAGAAGTGGTGACATTCGACCTTCATTAAAAACAAGATCAATAGCCTTTATTTCCTGAGCATCTGTTTCTTTTATTCCCAAGCCATCAGCTTCAATAAAATAAATATCTTTTCCCTCAATTTTTGCATCCTTCAATGATTTACGAAAACAATTTTCTTGTACATCACTAGTGGGATAAAATGCCGGTAATCTATCATTTGTTGGTCCCGGTATTGACAGTATACTTTTAACTTCAGCATAAATACGTTTTGCATCTTTGGCCCTTTGTAAAAAAACAGCAACAATACTCTCACCACGTGCATAACCATTTGCATCATTGTCAAATGATTTTGTTTTTCCCTCAGGTGATAATAGACCTAAAAATAATGACAAATCTTCTATTTTTTTTCCATATTAGTCTAAAGTTTACCCAAAAAAATGGTATTTATAAATAAATTTTAAAAATCAATTGTTGGAATTTTCGTTTAATAGATATTTCATTAGACATAATTTCCATTGAGCCGAATTTTATTTATTCTAATTATAATTTTGCAGAATTTTCATTGAACCGATTTTTTATCGGAGAATTTTTATCTAACCAAAAATTCAATTCACATGAATGTTTGAATTTTCATTTAATATAATAGTCATTTTAATGAATTTTTATTATTTAGAATTTCGTTTAGAATTTTCTTTTAATTTTCATATGTTCGAAAATTATTATTTGATAAACTTTCCATATAACCGATTTTTGCAGAATTAACCAAACAATTATTCAACAGAATTTCTAATTGATAGAAATATCGAAATTTGTCCTTAATTGCAAATGTCCGAACAAACAATCGGCGCGATTTTTAAAATCAGCCAATTAAAAATTATTCATGAAATTGTAATTGGTTAACTTTAAAAAATCGCGCCTAAATCTTTCTGTCCATCATTTGTTTGGACATTTGTAATTTCGGACAAATACAAATTCGTATATCAATTATATAAAAAAAAATTCTATTAAATGATTTTTCGGTTAAGTATATATAAATTCTCTATAGTATGAAAACTCGATTATATGGAAATTCTAACAAATGAAAATTCTCCAAAATAATAATTCGAAATAAAATTCGGCTCAATGGAAATTATATATATAATGAAATTCTATTAAAAATGAAAATTCAAACAAATTTTTCGAGCTTATTTTTTCCTATTGGGATCACTTGAGAAATTTTGCCCCTTTATATTTTTCCTACAATTGTTAAAACTCGTACCTAAAAGTGACATATGAAGTGACAAATATGGGTGCAAACAAATACTTGCACCACCGACAATTGCACTATCTGATCGACCATTTTTAATATCAAGGTAAGCTTGTTCCAAAGCAGTTAAACTTCCGCAGCAACTGGCATCAATATTAATACTCTGACCCACTAGACCCAAGAAAAAAGAAATACGATTTGCAAGCATCGATCGACTTGTGCCAACAATACTGTTTTGCTGGAAAATTTAAATTTTATTAAAAATTTTAATTTTATTATCAAGTCTAGTTAATTTTTCCCAAGGTTTTTCTGCTTTTTTTTCCTGCTAGTATTTTCTAATATGTAAAAAAAAAAAAAATACCTCAAATTTTTCGTAGAAAAGAGCTTTCTCTGATTCTGAAAATGTTGTTGCAGTATAAACGGATGTTTTACTTCCCTTCATTTGTCGTGGATTTATTCCAGCATCCGCTACAGCCTCATAGGTACATTCAGTTATCATTCGCATTTCAGGAATCATTGCATTACTCACTTTTGGATGAACTCCAAAAAATATTCTATCAAATTTTGTTATTTCCTTTATCTTGCCAATTCGTGATGGTACGTGAGGATTATCTAATTTAAATTTTTCGAATTAGAATTAATTAAAAAATTAGTTAAAAATAAAACGAGAATATCAATTGAGATTGAGATTGAAACTTTTTAACAATTTTTAACAAGAAATTAATAGTAAATTAGGTAAAAATTTGCATCTGTGAATGTATGGTTTCATGCGTGTAGTTTGGCCGCGATGCGTAAGGCGCGTATATTGTCGAAGGTTTGCGTACGTTTAAGGTTCGAATCCCAGTGTGATAAATTTTTTTTCAATTTCTCATTATTAAATTTAATATAATGTTACATTTAATTTCCGGTATTTTACGTATAAAAAAAAAGTGAAAATATTCTCAAATTGAAAAGAATATACTTTCATGATAGAAAAATCTTAATTCAAAAATGAATTTTTTTATCCTCTTATTTTTAGAGGAACAATAATTCTCGAATTAGGGAAAAAATCTTCTCTAATGAAAAATATATTCTAATTTTAAAATGAAAATAAAAAAATATTATTTTCAATTTGAGATTATATTTTTTGTTACATTTTTTTTTTAAATTTTCTTAATATTACGTCAACATTACGATGCAATATTGAAATATGAAATTTTTTTTTCTACATACTACATTCCCATCGTGGTTTTTCATTGGTAACACAGTCAATCATATTTAGGAGATTATGTTGCAACATTTGAACATTCTCACTGTTTGGAAATTTTCCCGATATCCCCGTAATCACTATTTCATCTCCCGTCATTGTCAATGGATCCATTTTATAATTTTTCTTCTATAATATCTATTGCGAAAATCTTACGCACAAATTTCAAAAATTACTTCTTTTTATTCGAAAAAAAAATTGTCTTTTATTTTTAATGGCCGTAAATAATTTTTTTAAATAAAAAAATTTTTTTTGATATTTTTTTTTCAAGAATTGTTTCAAAAAAAAAAATTATATTAAAATTAATGATTAATTTTAAATTATTTGAAATATATGTATATATTAGTTAAAAAAAAATTTTGTAACGAATAACGCAAAAAAAAATTTTAACACTTATCACTGCGATTCGCTTCGACAATTAGGCCCAGACTGTTGTTCACACACTTGATTAGTTATTCGCAGTCAAGGTAGAGGGGTTGAAAGTTAATGAGTTAAATGAATATGTAAAATATGTTTTACTTTTATTTTTGAATGCAGATGCAGTGATGTAATATTTACAATGCGTAGTAAAGAAGTACAAAAAAAAATTCGGAAACGCGATATTTTCCAATATTTTTAAAAAAATTTAATAAAAAAAATAATAAAGTTTCGATCTAACAAAAAATTTAACAAAAATGTATCTTTGACAATTATATTACTTTTCTTTTTTTTTATTGCAAATTATCGAAAAAATAATGAGAAAACAATTTAAATTTTAAAAAAAAATTACTTTTTTTTAAATTAAATCAATTGCATATAAAATTATAATATAAAGTTGTTTTTTTTTATATAGATAGAGGGGAATTTCCAAAGTTAATTAAAAAGTCTAATTTTTGAAAGAACGTAAGAGATATATAAGACTTTCGAGTTCTATGACCTCACTGCAAAATTTATATATTGCAGTATTAATCGATTTTATGTTAAATTTGCAACTAATGCATTTTCATCACAAATGAAAGTATAGACAATTTTTTATTCAATTTATAAACAATCATTCTAATCTAAAAAGATTTATAGATATATAGTTTCATTAAAAATTTTCTATTAAAAATCTATTGAAAAATTGAATTAAAATAAAAATTAAATTTATAATTAAATTATTAATTAATAAAATAATTTAAAATAATTAATTGAAGAAAAATTTGTTTAAACAAATTTTTTCTTTTAATTAAAATATGCATTTTTACACTAAAAATAAAAGAAGTAATTTTTTATCGAACCAAAATGTTTAATAACAATTACATATATATATTTTTTTACAATTGCAGTGTATTTTATAAACATTAAACTGATATGTATATATGTACATACGATTTTTTATAATATATTACCTATTTATATATATAAAGTAGATGTCATAAATTTTTATGAATAAAATTAAATTAGATATCCTAAAATTTTCTCTTATTTTCATTAACAAATAACTATATAAAAATATTTAAATTATAAAAATTACTTTTTTTATTCGTCCTATTAATTATTCTTATAAATAATTTGAAAATCCACTGGGTGTATCTTAATATAAAAATCTTTGGAGACAAATTGTTAAAAAAAAAAAATAAAATAAAACAAATACAAATATATGTACATGAAACTTGTTTATCAACTTGCTTCAGTCTGTTATATAAAATTAAAACAAAAATTTGACTTAAAATTTAAAAAAAAATTAATAATTGTAAAATAAAATAATTATAATAAAAATTAAAAATTTATTAATATTAAAATTTGAAAAAAAATTTAATTATTGATAATTTTATAAAACATAAAATTATTGATTAATTTCTTTTAAAAGACAATTTTTTTTTGTTTAAAAAAAAGTTTAAAGTCAAATTATATTTTCATTTAAAAAAAAAACGGTTGACAAAAAAAAAGTCATAACAATGAATTTAAAATTATTTTTTTTATATCTAAATGTCAAATAGATAAAATATCTTATAAAATTTTTAATTAATTAATTTCATTATGAAAACATGGAATTAAATATTACATATTAAGTAAAATGAAAAATACCTATAATAGATAATTTAATTTATCAGTAATTAAATTATTCAATAAATCGAAGAGATCTGTTAAATATATTATTTTATATATAAATATTTATAAAGAATCGCGAGAAATTTAAAAAAAAAAAACAGATAAAGAAGAATTTAATTGATAAAACAGAATTTTAGCTACGATCTCTTTTTAAGGCCTGTCGGTATGTAGAGCTGCAGTTGTTGAAGTTATCACCGATGTGAGGTCGGTACTTATTCTAGACATTGGCTCTAGAGGTGGAACACTGGAAAAAAAAAATTTTTTTTTTTGTTAATGAAAATTCCCTATAAAAATTCAACTTATATTTAGAGGAAAATTTCTCTTTTTCTACAACCTTTTCAATTTATCCTATCAAAATGAGAATAATCTCCTCGACTGAAGCGATTTTTTTCCAAAAAAAGGTACATTTTAGCGTTTTCCTCTTCGATTGAGAGTTTTCAATTATTGAGAGAAAAATTAAACTGTTATCGAAATTTCATTAAAAAATTTTTTTTGCGTTATTTTTTTGTTTAATTGAATATATTCACTTACGTAAGGGTTGTTTGACGATTCAAAACTGCGGCGGACGGTAATGCAAGGGGTGAATGAGCATGTCCTAAATGCGAAGTAGTCAGTGTACCTACAGTAGGATAATGCTCGATGTCCCCTCCACCCTTACCCCCATTTGAAAATAAATTCAACTGCAGCTTCGAGTCCACTGCAAAATTTTTTGAGAAAATAAGCAACTTTAAAAAAAAAATTAATTATTTTTATTCTAAAATTGAGAATATACTTCATGGCACTTATAAAAAACGATAATAATCTTAAATTAAGATTTATTCTTAATTTTCCAATAGTTTCAAATATTTTATATTTATTTATATTAATTTTTAAAATAAATATTCTTAATTTTAGAATATTTATTCTAAAATCAAAGGAAATATTCTTAAATTTAAAATATACTTGATTCAAGAAAATTATTCCTCATTTCAAAATATCTTTTATTTAACAGATGTTAATTATATACATATTCTATTGTTTTTATTACTTTTTTACTCTCAAAATAAGAATATATTCTTATTATTTATTTTTCTCAATGCTAAGAGTATATTCTCATTCTAAGAGTATATATAGAGTATAATAAATTTCGTAGTAAATTAAAAAAAAAAATTCTGAAAAAAGATGCCAATATTCTTAATTTAAGAATATTTTTATTTGCTTATTGCATGTATGTATGACAGGTTGCATATATATTCTTAGCAAAGCGTTAGATGGTGCAATTGAGAGTGTATTTGTTAAAAAAATATTTCATAATTATTTAGAAGAGGCAAATATTGATTAAAAAAAATTTTTTTTTAATAAAATTATTATATTATAATATTATTAATATAATTATAATAATAAAATAATATTAATATTAATTAAAAAAGTGACAATCCCGAGAAACTTATTAAATTTATAGCAAATATTGTAGCGAATATAATGCTAGCTACAATCATTTTTTTCTTTTTCACTGAGCATCTGCCATAAATAGACCCTGACTCATGACAAACAATAAAATAATCAAGGTATCACAACTCAAGGTTGTACATACCTCAGGAAATATGTATTCCACTTTAGAACAATTTTTTTAAAAAAAGTCCCCTCCAACTTTTTTTTAAAAATAATTTATCTCGAATTTAGTTTTTCGCAATAGTCGCTTTCTATTATTTTCAAATTTCAATATTCTCAAATTAAGAATAAATACTTTGTACTTATTATAGATTTGTATTCTCTATATATTATATATATACTCTTAAAATGAAAATATATTCTAAAAAATAATGTATTTTAAATTTATGAAATTTATTTTAAATTTCAGAGTACATTTTTAATTTAAGAATGTACTCTAAATTTAAGAGTATAAATTGATACTAAAGTATATTCTTAATTTCATAATTTTATCTATTAAAATAATTATGAAAAATTATTTCTTTATTTGTTTATAAAATTTAGAATATTAAATTTTTTTAAAGTTTAAATAATTAAAATTAAATTAAATATTGTTATAATTTATTTTATAAATTCTTTTATATTTGTAATTAAATGAAACAAAATATTCCTTAATTGTATAACTATATAATTTATACTTGTTTGACTTTTTAATAACTGATTCAAACAAAAATTTTTAGTTTTTTTTCTCATTGTATTCGATGTTGAAATTTTAAATTAAATATTTCAAATGATTCTTTGAATTTTGAAAATAAAAACTTGACAATAAACAATAGAGTAATAAAAAAAAAATTGAGAATGATAAATAATAAAAGAATAAAAAAAAAAGGAATTAAGTATATAGAAATAAAAATAAATGGTAAATAAATACAATATTTTGCTATTATACATTAAATAAAGTATAGATAAATGTTAATTAAATTCTTTTTAATTTGTAAAAAGAAATTAAATTAATTAAAATTAATTTTTTTATGTGATTTTTTTTGGTTATATAAAGGGTTGATCCTTTTTACTCAATTACAATTGCAATTGGCTGCTAGGTAACTCCCCCATTTAGTATAAGTAATCATTATTATCAGTGGCAAAACACCTTATGACCAATCCGCTCTTTCACTAATACTTACACATATGCACTTCCCAAACCCCTTCACCCAACATATGACACACAAAGCATATTATGTATTATATATATAGTCTCTTCATATTACTATATATACGTGAACGGCCATTTTTTAAATTGTTCAGAATTACTGTTAACGTAAAAAAAATTAATTTAAAATACAAAAATAAAATAAAATTATAAATATTAAATAAAATAAATGAATTATTTTTTTTAATTTTCCAGATAAATTTTTGGTTATTTTTTTCGTATCATTAAAAGTTTTACTTACACTATATATAAGTTAAACTAAAATTATTAAACATTTATTATATGATAAATGCGATGTTGAAGATGTTTTCAAAAATAAAATTATTTTTATAAATTGAGCACTTTATTCGTATATGTTTATAATAAATTGTTTTATACAAAAAAAAACTTACATTAAATAATTTATTAAAATTAAATAAAAGTTTACAATAATTTCAATCAAATATAATAGAAAAAGAACAAAATAATTTATTTTTTGATTTATTATCGACGGTGAAAAATGTATTCTTTCTTTTGCATATACATATACACACACACACACACACACACACACACACACACACACACACACACACATACAAACACATAAAATTATACACAAAAAACACGTTTATATATAACCACCAATACAAAATTTTTAGCATTAAAAAGAAAAAGCATAAAGCAATTATATTAAAAGCGTATTTATGACAAAGCAAAATATATAATATTTCTCTGTAGGTACACTTTTTTTACGCGACTTTTTTTTTCTAAATTTCTATGTACAATTTTTGATTAATTATTGTCCCAGGTATAAAATTTGACAAAAATTTTGATAAAATCTTTTTTCTTTATGAAAAAAAAGATATTATCTTTTTAGACAAAAAGTAAATCCCTAGCTATTACTTTTTATTGAAAAAACTAAGTTTTAGTAAACTGAGATATATTTAAATATATTTGAAAAAGAAAACAATAAATAGTAAATTTAATTGTTAAAATCAGTCTTTCTAGAAAAAAATCTTTAAAATTATTTATATATCTATCATTTTCTACATTTTTCTCTAAGAAAAAATTGCTTTTTAAACATTTTTTTTTGTCCTGAGTTTATAAAAGAAATAAATACTGATGTGAAAAATAAATTATTAATAATATTTTATAATTATTTCTCTTTTCTAATATGATGCATAATTATTTACTTTTTTTCTATAATATTAATATTATTTTATTAATATTTTTGTTTTATTATAATATACCTATATTATTTTTTGATAATTCCAATAGAATTTTTTTTTTACTCAACCAAATAATTTGGTTGCATTTGCAAAATTTTTTGATATTTAACAATAAAATTAATTTTTTTTTCCAAATATAAGTCTCTAGAAATTTTTTTTTTTAATTTAGAAACTTATAAATTAAATTAAAAATTTTTAAATTTTGTAAAGTAAATTTTTTTTTAAGTCTATAAATCACCGTGTGTCTTTCAGACGAAAAGAAACTTAATTATATGACAATATGAAATATATTTTAATATATATATATATATATATATATATATATATATATATATATATATATATATATATATATATATATATATATATATATATATATATATACTAAAATGCAGGTGATTTTTTTGTCGTTTAAAAGCGATTTAAATAATGTGGTAGGATGAAGGTATTTCTTCATAATTATAATTATAGGCTGAGGATTGAAGTGACAGTAATTCATGAATAAGCGTGCTCACCGAAGACTCACCGAGTAAGCTGGACTTAATCTCGGTCTTCTGTACACCACTCGGTCCACTTAGGCCTGAATTCATATTCGCGTGATTCTTTGGTTTCCTTTTTCTCGTTTGTATCCCATCTTTCTTCATACTCATTGGTCTATTCACCTATTTTTTTGCAAAATAAAAATTATTACATTATTATACAAATGAAATTAAATAAAAATATTATGACAATTTTAAAAATTAATTTTAAATATAATTAATTGTATTTTAATTAATTTTATTTATTTATAAATAAATAAATTAATTCTAGTTCATTTTCTTTTATTTAATATTCGGTTTCAATTTTTATTATGAAAATTTTTAAAATAAATTTTAAATTAAAAAATTTTTTTTTTTATTTTTTTTATGCAATTTTAATTAAATTTTTTTTTATATTTATAAAAAGGAAAGAAAATTTTTGTTGAGCTTTTCTAACTATACAATAAGTCGAATGTCCGTTCGTGTTTCCAGAGAAAATAAATATAAAATATAGGGAGCGATCGAAAAATAATCAATTGATTCCCTCAACTTGACAAGGAAAAAAAAAGGATAAATGCCTCTCTTATCAGACAAAATGTCTGATAACGCAACAAACGCGAATGGTTGAAGATCAAAGTTATTTAAAAAAAAAAAAAAAAAAATTAATTAATACTTTATGTGAGACATGGAAAAAGTAATTTTTTTTTCACCTTAAAATCAATTTTTCCATTTAATCATTTTTATTATCACAATTTCATTATTTTATTTTTATTATTATTATTATTATTATTATTATTATTATTATTATTATTATACATGCAGTATTATCTTTTCTAAAATAAATTAGAAAGAAAAATTCAATCTTTGATCCCTTAGAAGAAAAATTTAAAATTTTCATTTTTCTTCCCAAAAAAATACATATATTTTCTTACCTAGTCAAATAAAATCAAAAAAAGAAAAATTCTTTTTTATTTTCCAGAAAGTTTATATAAATTCAAACAGAGAAATATTTGTTTTTTTTTTTTGAAAAGAGAGAAAAATAAAAAATTATTAGTGAGGGAAAAACAAATGTTATACACATATATATATATATATATTTGTAATATTCTGAGAATACTGCGCGGGGACCATATAACTGTCGTGCAGGGCAGAAACGTTCTTGTTTGTGGCCTTTACTGCATTTGTTTTAAGCCGCGTCTCTTTTATTGTTTCACAGTCAAGTTTAGTCTTTTTCAGTTTCATTATGTGAGAATTCTCTCGACAATAATTTAGTGACGCAAATTCTGATAAAAGAGTTGAAAATAAAATTTTTAAAATTCATATACAAAATTCATTTTGTTAAAAAAAATTATTATATACACAAAAAAAAAAAAATATTCTCAATTTAAGAATATTTATTACATTGTCACTTAGGTGTTATTTTTGAGAATATATATAATAATCCCCGGGGATTTTATTCTTATACAGTTAATTAATTCATATAGTTAATTAATTTATACAATTAATTATATTTAAAAAAATTAATTAATTAATTAATACAATTACTAATTTAATAATTTTTAAAAGAAACAATTTTTTAAATATAAAAATAAAATTTAATCAGAATATTATAAATTTAATTAAAAAATTTTTTATCGAAATTTTAAATCTAAAAATTTTAATGTTAATTACAACTTACATTATGTAATTTATAATAAAGTCCACAGGCATTGCATACTGGTTCTCCATTATTGTTTCGTCGCCAAAGTGTTGTATTATTTGTTCCACAATTTGCACACCTTACACCTGGTCTTCTACCACCACCCTGAGAACAAAAGAAAAAATTAAATTTTTTAAATTTGATAAAAAAAAATTGTAAAATCGGTAAAAATTTATAAAAATAACAAATTTTATCAAAATAGGTGAATAGATCAAATTTTTAAAAATATAATTATATTGAACCTTTAATAGAATATTGCACAAATAAATAATTTTATTTTCAAATCAATTTTTTTTTTAATTGTCAGGGCGTCTAACAAGGATTGAGAAAAAAATTCCCTGACTTTTCCCTGACATTTTTTGATTTTTCCCTGATATTTTAATAACCTTATTTCTGCTTTCTTTGGACAAAAATATGGTTACTGATATATTTAACAATAAATTAATTTCTAATAGTGGTAACAAATGGTAATAAAAACAATTCAAGTTTTTTTAAATTAAAAAATTTTTAAATTCACAAAAAATTTTAATTTTTGTAGAAATTTCCCTGACTTTTAATGAAATTTTCTGAAATTCCCTGACTTTTCCCTGACATTTCCCTGACCAAAAAAATTCCCTGATGTTTCCCTGACCGTTAGACACCCTGATTGTTTAAGCAAAGAAATTAAAATTATTTTTAATTAAAATTAAAATAAAAATGATTAATTAATTTTTTAATTATTAAATATTATTTTTCATTGAAATTAAATTAACTTTTTAATTAATTTTTTTTATTTATTAAAAAGTATTATCTTTAATTGAAATTAAATTAATTTTGTTTAATATTAAAAATATTTTTAATTTTGAGCCTAATAAATAATTTTTTTTAATCTAAATAAATAAAAACAAAATAAATTGAATTTTTTTTTTCGTGAGAGAGAGAGAGAGAGAGAGAGAGAGAGAGAGAGAGAGAGAGAGAGAGAGAGAGAGAGAGAGAGAGAGAGAGAGAGAGAGAGAGAGAGAGAGAGAGAGAGAGAGAGAGAGAGAGAGAGAGAGAGAGAGCCATAAGGCAAAATTGAGTAGAAAAAAAATATTAGGCATGATAACATAGAGAGAATTTTGACCCTATTTGTGTCTCGTTTACGGGTTTGTCACAGGAAGCAGGTCGAGTCACTTTTTTTTTGTCTCGAGACGAATATTTGAAAATCGCCGACTATATATAGTATATATATATATATTAAATATATATAAATATAAATATACGAAACTGGGAGTGCTCTCGTAAGAAAACTAGAGCAAACAACACCCGCCATGTCACCGAGTTATTATTTGCTCTGGTTGTGAAGATAAGAAACTCTCATCTTCTCGAGAGCACAAACATTACTTAATATCGAAGTCATGTCGCGTCGGTGTGCGCGAGCCATCCATCCCGAACGCCTATTGTCTTATCAGCACAAATAACAACGGCCTCGTTTTTCAATTGTTTCGATGGTCACATTTTCGGACTCATCGCGCGCACATTTGGCCATTAGCTTTGTCCTTCCCCTTATTTTTTTTTTTTTTTTTTTTTAACACGTACTCTACATTTTACATCAAACTTCAATTAACTGTTACTAAAAAAAAAAAAATTAAAAAACTTCTATTTATCTCAAAAAAAAAAAATTATTTTCTTTTCTTCTAATTTTTATTGATATTTTACTGAAATTGGTTCTTATTATCTGCAATTATTTAAATTATGTAATTTAATTATTTAAATAATCTAATTTAATTATTTGAAACATTTTTAAAACATTTAAAACATCAAAAAATAATTCATTTAATTGATAATTAAATAATCAAATTATAATTTCCTATAAAAATTATTTATTCAATACAGTTTTAATTTAAAAGTATCAAACTGATAAAAATCTGAATAGTTTTAAATTAACTGTAAATTGATTATAAATTTCTAATGAGAAATAATTATTTGAAATTAATTAATTAAATTAATTAATTTAAACAATTGTTTAAAAAAAAGAAAATTTAATAGCACAAAAGTTCATTACATTTAAAAATATATTCTTTAATAGTAAAAAAAAAGTCATTAAAAATTGTCTAGTTACCCATATATATATATATATAACGGTTCTAGTATATATTTGAAATAAAAAATGTGTTTACTTAAATAAAAAGTTATTTCAAATTTTCGTATAAATTATTTTACAATGCTTGATTAAACATAATAAGGTGTACATTTTTGTTAATTCTCTTTTCTCAAGTTTGAGACAATAAAACTGCAATGAAAATTTGAGACTTTAATCCTTTTGTGTGTTTTCTGAAACATTTATAGGTTTGTTTCTCTATAATACATTTACAGAATCTTCTTTTTTTTTTTTTAAACATGAATTTATGCCAATTGTAAAATTGCAATTTTCAAAGATGAAAAGATTTTAAACTTTTCCCGACTATATTTAAATGATTTCAAATGTTAATATATAAAGTAAAACGAAAATTAAATAATTAATTAAATATTTTTGCAAATGGGTATATATTTGTAACGAAAGTTGAATACAAAAATATATATTTAATTATAAAAAAAAAGAAAAGAAAATAGTATTTAAAATGTAAGTAATCTTGATTAATTAGACGCAAAAGTAAAGATAAACACGTAATCCTGATGCAATATAAAGATATCGTAATCTTAACTCTTCCTTACAGCACTCATATAAATATTCTCTACAATTAAAATTATTGATACCTGTTTCATTTCTTTACTGGATTACATTTCTATATATTATAACAGTCTTATTGATTTTATTTATAAAAATTAATTCCCACCCATTCGATATACATTTTCTGTAACATTATTTTTTTTAAATATTTTAATATATTTTACAAAAAAACATTAACTAAAAAAGTTTTTATTTATTTTTTTAAGTAATATTATGTAATAATTCAAATTTGTTATTCACTTTTTTTTTTGCTAAATTAAAAAAAAAATCAATCAATAACGGATTTTTTTTTTTTAATCAAATATTTTTTGAGATGGATATCAGTGTAAAAGTCAACCGCGAGAGGAGATTTACAAATAGATAGTATATTGACAAATATACGTATCGTTACAGACAGTAGGATATCAGTTGTAATTATTTCTTAAATCAACAAATTGAAACTCTGAACTACTTTATAAATTCCGCGTTAGAATTGTTATTTTATTGGAAAATTCTGTTAAAACATTAAAATTTAAAAAAAAATTTATATTACACATTTTTATTGAAATGTTTATCAAATTTTTGATATATTTTTTTCAAAATCTTTCTACATCCAGAGAAAAAATACATTTGCCAGGGAACTATAAATAAATATATATTTGTTTCAAAATAAATTTTATTTGGTTCAGATTAATTTTATTTGCAAATAAATTTCATTTGTGCCAAAAAAAATTTTTTAAACAAATTATAAATTTTGAGACAAAAATATATTTTTATTTCATTCAAATAAATATGGTTCATTGTTAAAAAAAAAAGTCTCTGGATGTTACTATTTACTTGAACTTTAATAACTATTTTTTTTAACTTTCTTTATTTCCATAAAGGAAAACATTGCTATCTTTTTCAATTTAATCAATTTCTATTATCTTTCAGTTGACTTTTCATCGTTTTTCTTGCTCTCCCTCTCCCTCTTACTCTATGTTATTTCAATTGCCTTTAATTTCAGTTCATTGAACCAAAATATTGATATCTCTTATCAAATATTAATCAATTCAAAAATACATCTATTTTAATTAAATTCAATTTTTAAAATTATTAAAGTTTTTTTCGATACAGTCAGAACTGCTAATAAGAAGTTCATCTTGAAACTTGTAAATTAAGTTATATATGAACCGCCGGCGACCAAAAGGGCTTAGGCGAGGTTTTCATTGGCCCCTTGGAATAGCTGGAAACCCGCTGAACGCGGGGCCAACGAAAGTCACTCGTACTCTTTTGGTTGCCGGCGGTTCTAAAAATCAAATACTGGAAAAAATCTCTATAGAGATGAAACTGTAAAATTTTGAATAAAAATCACTCACCGGCGCCACATTTTGTTTAGGTTTTGCGCATCTAATTGGCGGCCTATTGACACCATTAGTTTTATTATAGAGTCCACAGGCATTGCAAAGATAATTTCCCGTGCCATCTCGTCGCCATAATGGTGTTCCCATAACTCCACAATTTACACACTCTTTTAATTCAGAGCCAATATTTGATTCATCAAATGCTGGATCTATTGGACTTGGTAGTGGTAAACCCCATGGTGATGGTGGACCATTTAATCCTGATGAAATGTAAGAGCCACCTGAATAGGTACCAGTTGTAACTGTTGCAGCATCGCTTGGCGATATTGTCACACCTGGATAACCTTGTCCACATTCAATTCCAGATGGCGGTGAATGACCACCACCAGACGGCCAATAATGTTCATTTACTGATTTTGGATATTGATAAGTGACAGTTGCGCCTGTACTGTAGAGATCCATTTGTGAATTTGGAGAACCTGGTTGTTGATATTGTAGTGCAACTGCTCTTGTACTCAATAAAGATGATGACGTTAGAGTTGGATCACTTTTTATATAAGCCGGAGGATCCACCTGGAAAATGTTTAAAAAAACATTGTAAGATGTTTGTAAGATGAAATGCTACACTTTTTGAATTGATGTAAAGTTTCATTAGCCATGAAGTCTTTCGACCTGCGATAATTATAACTTCCCAAACTATGGTTTATGATAATTTAGAAATGGCTGATTTCGAATTGTGTGCGATAGAATTGCGTTCCAAGGAATTGCGTACCGTATGGGATAACCGTGATATGACTGGCTTTTTTTGGGTTACGGATTTAGATTTTCATATTTCCCTTCGCACTCTATAATTTATTGATTACAATATAAGCACTTTTCTTGATAATACTTAAATTTGGTTGACAGAACAAAGAAGAAAGCAGTATTTAATTGGGGAATTTGGTTACTGTCCGTAACAGCTCAGGACGCAATTCGAACAAAAAGGGATCATACCTGAAAAATCGTATGCAATTCGAAATCACCTTCAACACAGAAAATTAAAAGGCATTAAAATAAGCTGCAACGCTTTTTATTTTAATCCAATTTTGCTTATTTTAATCCATTTTGGTATTAAAATAAGCAAAATTGGATTAAAATAAGAAGCGTTGCAGCTTATTTTAATGCCTTTTAATTTTCTGTGAAAATATATGTCAGTAACAGTTTCATGATAATTTATAGAAATGATGAAAATTCTCACCTCAGATACTCGAACTCCAGGTGGATTTGTAGTAGGCAAAAAGAATAATTCACCAGGTTTAGGGTAACCATAACCGGCAGGTTGTTGAAAAGCATCAGCTGTCACGAGATATTGATTATAGGCAACGGATTGTGATGCTGGTAATGCTGCTGTTTCTAAAGTTGTATAAGTACTGGAAACTTTGATACTATCAGCTGGAACAGTTGTTTCACCATTATATTTAACTGTACCATTTGCACCAGTTTCCGTATAGGTACCAATAAGTTGTTGTTGTTGTTGTTGTTGATGATGATGATGATGATGCTGATTGGTACGCAATTCAATTGGCGGTGAATATGTAACAGATGCCGTTAAATGTCCACCAGGTCCACCTGATTGTGTTACCATAACAGTTGCCTCATAATCATCATTAGTTGCATTCATCGGTGAATTTTGATATCGTTCACTATTATGATGTGGACTAATTCGATGATGTTGCTGATTATGTTGTCTACGATGTTCTTGTACTTGTAGAGCAATTACGTGACCACCTTCGCGTCTAATTTCCGCATCCTTTGGAAATAGATATATCCGTTCACTTTCATTTCTTTCCGGAATTGTTGTTTCGTATCTAGTTTTGGGAGAAAAAAAAAAGATTTATTTTTGAGATACGAAAACTAGACGATAATTTAAAGGGACGTAAATGTAAATATATGAGATTTTCATCTTTTTCCGCCGCTCGTATAGGAAATACCCAAGTTTGTTGTTTTTAGAAATTAGAGATTTTCAGAAAGAGGTATTTTGTTGATAAAAATAATTTGATATTACTAGGACTAATAATAGAAATAATTTGTTGGAGAAACAAATTATATATATATATATATATATATATAAGAAACTCACCTGGGTGGTTCTTTTCGTGGTTCGGATGTTTCGGCTGGCTCGACTTGTAGTTCGGTGCCACCACTGATTGTAAAGATAACAGGAGGTTGATGTTGATCTGTCACTTGTTGTTGATTGGGACTGCCGTGAGGTGAAATCGGAACATGTTCAGGACGATGTTGTATTTCCTCTTGATGATATCTTTGACGATGATCGGAATTTTCATCCTTAACGTGAATTTGTTGATGCTGAATCACTTGTTGAACATTATTGGAATTTGATGATTCAGGTGAATCGGGTGTATGATTGGTGAGTGTCTCAGTAATATGACCTGTTGCTGTAATTGTTCGTGTGTACCTGCGAGTTGTGATGACACTCTGTGGACTTTCGGTTGTTTGATCGTCGGTCATTCTCGTCACTGGCGGGGAAGAACTATTTCCGGATAAACGACGATCCTCCCACTCTAATTTTATATCCTGTTTCGCTAGAGTCTCCTTCATTGTTTCCTGAAAGAAATTTTTCAGTCTTCTAATTTTTTTTTTTTTTTTTTTTGTGATGAATGACAAACTGAAAATAATGTATGTCAAATAGAAATAGAATAAATGAACAAAGAAGATGTGACACGTTAAAGGATAATAAATATTGAAACAATGAGCATTGCGGATTTTCCTATAGGATCATCATTTTTCTGGAAGTTCGATACGGAAATTCCGCTTCTGTTAAAGAAAGTTTTGTGGAAGTAGAAACTTAATTAGTTGTGTTTAGTCTATAATTAGAATTGGATAATTAGAACTAGAACTAATTTCCATTGATGTAAAATTGGATATTAGTGACATTATTATTGAATTTTAATAGAGATTATAGAGATGAAATCTTGATTTAGAGGCACGCGACTCAATGATACACCTATACATATTTATGTAAAAACGGTTTCGAGTTAAGGACCGAAAGGCACACCTCGTCCGTCTCAAGAAAAATGTGAGAGACCTGTTTGCTCGGAACGCGTCACTTCCGTCCTGCAATGTCAAGTTTCGACTTCCGCCGGTGGCGACCGACGACAGCACGCGTTTCAAACTCAATTTCTTTTGACTCATATATACTCCTTTTTTTCTTAACAAAACAGAGAAATTGATCTCTCCATTGTATATCGTTTCTTATATATATAAAAACAGAATTTTTATTTATTATATATATATATATATATATATATATACGAATGCTTGAAGCTATAATTCTTAAAATATTTTGGATAAGCAATAATGTCACATTTAAAAATCTAAATGGTAGATTTTTAAATGTCACATTATTGCTTATCCAAAATCCAATTAAAATCTGTATCTTTGGAGAAAAATGAACTGTACTTGCTAAAACCTTGAACTGACAAATTTTGTTTGGTTGCTACAACAAATCTGTATGAATTTATTTGTTACTACAACAATTTGTTAGTTCTGTATTAACAATCCTCAGTGTAGCAATCTCTTTTTCATCTTGTATAGATAAAGATTTTAGATGCTTTAAAATACCAATTTTATGTCTTAATTTTGAATTAGTTCATCACAACAGAAAAATTGCTATATTTAAAATTCAGTGATTCAGTTCAAAATAATTATTTTCAATTCTTATCAACATTGTAACTTTCAAAAACCGAAATGGCGGAATTTATTTCTGATATATCAGTATAACGGATTGCAAATACATAAATTTTAGATTACAAATAATGATCCCAAATGCTGATAGAATCAGAAATTTTAATACTAATGCGGTTTTTTTTTTGCAGATAGTGAAAAAAAAAATTGATGCAAATAATATTTATTTTTAACGAACACTTCAATGAAATATAGGAGCAGTAAAAATTACCTTAATTTCAGATGCTGCGTGTCGCATTTAGATGAAGATGTATGTTAAAAATTGGCACATAAAATTAGTCGGTTAAAAAAAAATTATAATAATATACATGCACGTGTTCGCGTCACAATTATTATCGAATATTTTTTATCAAAGTCTCTCTCTCTCTCTCTCCTATCTACTGTCCACTTATATATTGATATGAAATTCACTATCATCGACCTGTGCAGCCAAGACGGTAGTAGACAAGATGTCAGATTTATATATACTTGTTGGCGCAAGGTTCGGATTGTAACTGATGATGAAGCCCGAAGCTGAGGTCCCAAACCCGCATTATAGTGTGGAGGTGGAAAACGTGAGTCTTTACTTTTAAAGCTTCCTCCTCCTCCTCCTCTTCACATTCAGTATATATTATGAGGATGAACATATACCTGAATCGAAGAGAAACCAGTGGCGGTGGTCGAAACCATCAAATAGCCCAGACATACACACACACACATACACTGATTGTCCAGCCCCTTGATTCTCATTGGTTGACACAAAACAAACCACCCTTTTTTATGGTCATTCGTAAACAAAAAATAAATAAAAAATAATGACATTATGTGCCATGTGAAAAATTGAATTTTTCAAAAAAAAAAAAAGAGTTTGGTTTTGACAATAAAACATTTGATTGGTATATATTTTAAACAAAAATTTTTATGTTTGCACCAACAAAATTTTGGTTTTACCATTTAAACATATAGTTAAGACAATAGAAATAACTTTTTTTCTAATTTTGGTTGTGTTTCATTGAGACATTCAAAATTATGGTTTAAATACCAACCAAACGTTTTGTTGTAAAAACCAAATCGCTTTTTTTATGTGAGAAAAATGAAATCTAAATCTGAAACTAATAAATTTTGTTTGGTCGCTGCAACAAATCTGTATTGTTGTAGTAACAAAATTTTGGTTTTACCATTTAAACAGTTAAGACAATAAAAATACCTTTTTTTCTAATTTTGGTTGTGTCTCATTGAGACATTCAAAATTTTGGTTTAAATACCAAGTTTTGTTGTAAAAACCAAATCGCTTTTTTTATGTGAGAAAAATGAAATCTAAATCTGGAACTAATAAATTTTGTTTGGTCGCTGCAACAAATCTTTGTAAGATGTAGTAACAAATTCCTTATTAGTAATACTAAAAATATATTATTTAGCATATAAAAATACAAATTTGTTGTAAGAAATAATAGAAATTTTGTTGTAAGAAACAATAAAATTTTATTGTAACAACTAAAAATTTGTTGTAGTAACAAATATACTGTTATAGTGCAACAATACCAGATTGTCGTCCAAGTTGTTTGATAGTAAAAATTTTAACTAAAAATATTCCTGATTTGACTTATTGAACGAAACTTTGAGCCTTATTAGTTTATAAATTAGTTGAATTTTACTAATGATTGAGCAAATTTTGATTATGCTTTTAATAAAATTTAATTCCCTAGGCAAAAATTCAAGTACTATATAATAATAGTTAAAATTTTTACTAATATACAAATTTAGAAAGAAGAAAAATGAAAAAAGTAATTTGTTGTATAAAGAAAAAAAGGAGGTTTGAATAATGATAAGAAATAATATAAAACTTATTGTATAAAACAAAATTTTTTATATACCGCACTAAAAAAAAAAAAGTTTACTCTCCTCTCTTTCCGGAAAAAAGATTTCTGTTGATTTTAAAAAAAATCTGTTTCTTTAACTTGTTTTGTTTTATTCAAACTTTTAACTTTCTTTATAAAAAATTGCCTTAAAATCTTTAAATTATATTATGGCCTGCTTTAAAAATTTTATTTATTATTTTTTCTTATTGATGATGATAATTGACAGTTTGATCATTTTTTATCATTATTTATAGAAATATTTTTTTTCTTTTTTTTTTTATTGGTTTTTTCAGAAACTTGCGACATATTTTCTAAAGTGATATACTTATTACACAATTTTCTCAAGTTTTTCTCAAGTACTTCCTACTATTCTCATTTTTTTTTTTTTTTTCTTTTTTTTGACATAGAAATGAAAAAAAAAGAGAAGAAGACAAACGTAAAATCGTGTTTGATTGACACAAAGCTTGTAGGAAGGGGGCCATTGTTTGTTCCTTGATAAGGTTACTGAGTAGAGCTGCCGAGTGATAAGAGTCGTGTGTCGGACCATGGACGTCCGTTGCGGATTTTTCTGTCATGGCGCTTATATGCATCGCACTATTATATAGCCATTTTGAAAATTTCAAAAATACATTTAAATATATGGAGAAGAAATTTTTTTTTTTTTTTTTTTTTTTTTAATGGGGTGAAATGAGTCACCATCATAGTTCAATGGTCAAAGTTTACCTTTGACATCGTCACGTCATAAATATATATACGCATATACACCCCATGATCGTAAACAACTGTCTGAGGAAAATTTTTAAGACACTGATTCATGCACACAAAACGACGTGCGTCACCCATGAAATTGTAAAGGAAAAGTTTGCTAAAAGTCAAACTCAATGGATATAATAATAAGAAAGGAGGCGGGATAATATAACCTCTATCCATCGTTTTCAGGCGCGCGCGCGCTCTCACTATAGAAAATGGTCGTAAAAATGAAAGAAGATCGCAAAGATCTTGGTTGATGATAAAAAAAATGTCTTATTATTTTTCTTTCGTATATATATATTTTTAATCCTATTGGGTGAGTAGGAATTTGGGAATGCTTTTGAACTAACTCATCTTATTATTCACTCTAATGAGAAACAAATATTTTCATGGTTCAAAGTATATATATATATATATACAAAGAATTTATGTGCGAAGAATAAGAAAAGTCATCAATATTATTGACACATTGTAGAAGAATTTTTAGGAGTATCATATTTTGACAAAACAATATTTTTTAACTATATATATATATATTAGAAATTTTATTCTACAAAGAAATTTAAGTATATATTTTAAAATATATACTATCATTATAGAAATAACAATATGCACGATTAGAAATAAAAACATAAACTTTGGAATGTTAAATTTTTGTCAAAATCAAATAACGATAATAATAATATATAAAGAAAGAGAGAAGTAATTCTAAGTTTTAGGGATCTATTTGAAAATCGCAACTAAAAATGGAAAAAAAAATATAATTTCAAACAAGTTTAAACGCGCATGTTTCAAATATTTTTTAATGTTTATAGTTATGCTTCAAATTTAAACAAAACAAACAAGTTTAATTATATTTTTGAACTTATTACGATATATTTAAAATCATTTTAAAAAAGTTTGGAATATAGTTTTAGACATTTTTTTTTGGTCTAATTAAGCTGGCGTTTCAAACAATAAGATTAATTTAGGTTTCAAACAGTTTAAATGTGTTTCAAACTGATTCTGATATATTTTTAAACAAGTTCAAGTAGGTTCTAAACAGATTTCAAATAGGTTTCAAATAAGTCCAAATAGGTTATATAAACAGGTTCCAAACAAGTTCAGATAGGTTTCAAAAAAGTTCAAATAGGTTCCGAACCTATTTCATACAAATTTCAAACTAGTTCAAATAGGTTCCGAACCTATTTCATACAAATTTCAAACTAGTTCAAATAGGTTCTAAACAGGTTCCAAACAAGTTCAGATAGGTTCTAAACAGATTTCAAACTAGTTCAAGTAGGTTTCAAATAGGTTTCGAACAGGTTCCAAACCGATTTCAAACAAGTTTAAATATAGGTTCCAAACTAGTTCAAATAGGTTCTAAACAGGTTCCAAACAGATTTCAAACTATTTCAAATAGGTTCTAAACAGGTTCCAAACAAGTTCAGATAGGTTATACCCAGATTTCAAACTAGTTCAAGTAGGTTTCAAATAGGTTCTGAACAGGTTCCAAACAAGTTTAAATAGGTTCCAAACCGATTTCAAACAAGTTTAAATAGGTTCCAAACAGATTTCAAACTAGTTCAAATAAGTTCTAAACAGGTTCCAAACAAGTTCAGATAGGTTCCAAACAGGTTCCAAACAAGTTTAAATAGGTTCCAAACAGATTTCAAATAGGCTCCAAACGAATTTCAAACTTGTTTAAGTAGGTTCCAAACAAGTTAGTATGTTTGCAACACGTTTATTTATTCCGTATTTATTTAAAATAAGTTCAAATTCGTTTCTGTTGTTCTAACCTTTTTCAAATAAGTAACGTACTTTTAATACTATTATAATAATTATATTTTATTATTATAATAATATAATTTTTTATATTATTCGATTTACTTCATATTATTGAATATTTTAAATATTTTAAAATATTTTATTATTTTGCAGCAATTTTGAAATTATTTTTATACCTAGCTGCATCTCCCCAATCTGTATATTTGTTTACAGGTATATAATTATATGTATATATATATATATATATATATATATATATATATATATAGAAGTATACAGTAGAGGTCTTTAACCGCAAAGGTCATAAAAATCCAAAAAATAATTCAATCAGTTACATTTCGTTCATCAACCTGTTTAGACGTGTAAATTTTTGTAATTTAAAAAACATTTTTTTTAATAATTATAATTATAATTATTTTTTAAAAAAATTTCTTTTTATTAACGAATTAATTTTTGCTTATTTGCAGTGATGAAAAACAGCTTCTCTCGGGAGTGATGCGTTCAAGTCTTTTAATTCGCGCGAACGAAAAAATATATTTAAAAATTTTTTTCTATTGTAATTTTAGAATTCGCTTTTCTTTCGGGAGTGTTCAAAATTTTTAAAATCGCGATCGCTTTAATATTTTAATAGAAAAAGTGTATATTTTTATTTTTTAATATCAAAAATACATGATTTCGGGAGTGTTCGAATTTTTTTAACTCATCATCTGAAATGGATTCGCATCGATTATAGAGGCTAAGGTTAGTGGTATATTGTTTTTTTTTATATAAATAATAATTATATATTAATAATAATATTCTGTCTCCACTCTAAAAGATTCCAATTTTTTTTTTTTTTGTAATATTTTTTGGAAATTTTCAATCATAATTTTTATGATAAGCTGATATGCTACCAGTTTTTTTTTCTTTTTTATTATAATAATAGTATCAAGGAAATATTTGTATATCTTTTATTATTTATTTGTTATTGATATCTGTAAATTGTACTATATAAAGTTTTTTGAAAATCCCTCAAGATTAAATCGTGCGCATCCAACACGGGGGTCACTGGCATTTATATATAATCTTTAAGGCTACAGAAGCCCGTTTACAAAAAAAAAATAAAAAGAAAAAAAAAAAAAAAGATACGAGGGCTGATACCACCTTATGTGTATTAATAATATAAGTCGCGACGCGCCAAAGGTGTTTCGGAGAGGGAAGAGAGAGTGTTGTCAAAATAAACGGCACTATCGCGATTTATCTCGTTTCCCATGATAATAAGAGATAAAACTGCATCATTACATTAGCTAGTATCAGCTAAAATGATAATTTCAGTCGTCGGGACCGACAGTAACGTGTAGGGCTTGCTCCTCTCGTTATTAATACAAAAAAAAAGGTTGTCACCTCGCGAGTGTCAATTTTCAAATATTGGATTTTGAAAAAAAAAATTCTATCTATTTTTGCCCTAAGGGATTTTTTTTTGAAAATTTGTGCCTAATTTTCTAATGTAGTATATAGTGATTCCCCTTTTAAATATCATGTTAGAATTTTTGATGAAAACAAAAAAAAAAAAAAAAATGAGGTGTACTATTGACAAGTGCGATATTTGAGTAAATAAGTGCATAATCATTCAAGCGAACAATGACAGGAAAACAATAAATCTTCTCGATGAAAAACAATAAATTTTTTAATAATATTAAACGAATAAAGGAAATAACGAGGAAATTTTACAAGAATTTTTAATTGTAAATGACAATTAAAATTTACAAATAACAATTATAATTGTTAATATAAATAATAAATAAATCCAAAACTAATATTAAATATAAATTCATATTATCGAAAGAGACATTCAAACTCTTAGTAAAAATACAATAAAACAAAAAAAAGTGGGGTTTTTTTTTTCCTTTTATAACAGGCCTCGTGGAATTTTCTGTTCTTTCATTTAAAACAAAAGAAGGTTGTGCAAATGAAAAAAAAAAAAGCCAATTGGAGGTCGAAGTAATTTGCGTCATCGCTGGAATTGCGAGCAAATCCGCCATCTTATCATTTGAATCACCCTTATCAGGCAAACAATCTTTTTAAACGTGTCATGATCTAAAAGTGCGATATCAAGGAATCTATGAGAGAGAGAGAAAAAAAATATTTTTTTTTTTTTATTAACACGTGAAAAATATTACTTTGATCATTATTATGACCAAAGTCCAAGTACTCATTGTCGACCCTATTTTATATAAATTTTCTTCAAAAAAAAAAATAATTTTTATTTTATTTTTTTCTCTCTTAACAAAATCAATAAAAGTCAAGGAATGATTGATTGAAATCGAATTTATGTAAGATTTAGGTTGAATGATAAAGTCCTCATAGATGTGTACACAAAAAATTTTTGAGAAAAGAATTTTATTTACAATTTTTATATATATATACGTATAATTCGAGAGATCAATCATTAATTTTTGATATTTTATTAATATATTTTTATATTACAAGCTTTAATTTGAAAAAGGCTGTAAAAATATATTTTCAATTTTTTTTTTTTAAATTTCTTTACCAACAATATTTTCTATATCTAAAAACAAGTTCAAATAGGTCCCGAACCTATTTCAAACAAATTTAAATAGGTTTCAAACAAATTTCAAACTAGTTCAAATAGGTTCTAAACAGGTTCCAAACAAGTTCAGATAGGTTCCAAACATGTTTCAAACAAATTCAAATGGTTCCAAACAAATTTCAAACAAATTCAAATGGTTCCAAACATGTTTCAAAAAAAATTCAAATGGTTCCAAACATGTTTCAAACAAATTCAAATGGTTCCAAACATGTTTCAAACAAATTCAAATAGTTCCAAACAAATTTCAAACTAGTTCAAGTAGGTTTCAAATAAGTTCAAATAGGTTCTAAACAAGTTCCAAACAAGTTCAGATAGGTTCCAAAGAAAAATTCTCGTTTTCTTTTGAATATTTTGATACGGAAATATTTTATTTATTTTAAAAAAACTTTTTATTTTATTTAATATTTATTTATATTAGATAATTATTATTTAAATCAATTGAATGATATTTGAAAGAAATAATTTCTGTACTTGAAATAAATTTCAATTTGGCTCAAATAATAATTATTTAATATAAATAAATATTTTTTGTATTGTTTATTTATTTTTTATTAATTATTATTTGAATTAAATTTTTTCTATATTTAAAATGAATGAAATTTAAATGCAGCCGTAAAATTAATATTATAATGTAAGATATAACAACTTTATAGACATATTATTTAATTATAATTAACATTATTTTAATTATATCAAATTTTATTTTCAATAAATCGTATTTAATTTTAATCAAATCATATTTAATTTTAAAATCAAAATTTCTGTTAATGATATAAAATTAAATTTTAATTGAACCAAATTTATTTTTTTTTCTTTGCCAAACGTAAAAAAAACTTTAAATATTTAATTACAAAGATTAAAAAAAGGGATTGTTGGTGTTAAAATATAATGTTTAATTGTGATTATAATATATTCCAATTATTCAATTAATAATAATACAATAATGCAAAAAAAAGATAAATGGATCATTGCACATGTTTATTTACACTTTATTTAAGAGATAATAACAGTTTTTTTTTTAAATATCTTATCGATAAGAGATTATTAAATACACATAACCTAGACTGATTTGTCAATTATATACATTTGCGTTGGTGGCATATCGTTCCGACGGCTGCGTTTGAATTTCATTCATATAAAAGATATCATTGCGGCAAAGAAAATGAGGGAATTGTATAATTTTTTTTTTTTTTTTTTTTAATGCACATATCTTCTTCACTTTCTTTTTATCTACTTGTCAATTACTACATCGATACTATAAAAAAAATGCAGTTGCGAAAATTTAACTAGAAAATTAGAAAATATTTTTGTGCGTGTATCAAAAAATAATATATACAAAAGAAAATGTTTTTTCTAATATATAAACAAGATTTTTAGTTTTATGACCACCTTTTGAAAACCTATATAAATAAACTGTGAGTATAAGTGAAAAATCGAATTTATAAATTAGTTTTACTAAAATAAAAAAAAAATAAAATATATTATGATATATAAAAATAAAAATCCACAACAGTTTTTATAAAAGAATATTTTCGATACATGAATTAATTTGTAATTGAATATAAATTTTAATATACGTTACAAATATATTTAAAAAAAATATATATTCTTTTTTTGAGCCTGGATTTTATGTAACTCAAATACAAAAAAAGAGAAGAATTCATATGTACTTTATTTTTAAATTAACTCTGCTACGCACACCTTTAATACATTCTGTGAACTGTTTATTCATAATACTAATAACCATATTGAAAAAAAACTTATTATAATCATTTCTTTAACTTATTCAAAAACATTTCGAGCAAGTTAAAAATAAAAAAAAAAACTCAGTAAGAAAGAGAATAATATTTAAAAAAAAAATCTAAATTTAATACAATTGAAAATTATTAAAAATAATAATAATAATAATAATAATAATAATAATAATAATAATAATAATAATAATAATAATAATTAATAAGAATAATAATGATTAATAATAATAATAATTATAATTGCAATTAAAAAACAATAGCAAAATACAAAAATAAAAACCGAAAAAAAATTTTAAAAAAGAAAACAATTTTTTTTAGAGCCTGGTTTTTAAAACGAATTTAATTATTGAATATAAGGTGTTATTATTCTGGTATATATATATGGATGAATATTGTGTTGATTTATGTATATTGTGCCAAATGTACAAATAAAGGAGAAAAAAAGAACTTTACAAAGAAAGTACAAAAAATGTAAGTTGCAATAGACAAAAAAAAAAAAAGAAAAAAATATCTACAAACGAAAACAATTGTTTAAAAACGAAATTTTTACATTATACACATTTTTTTATAACAAATATATTTTATACAATTAATGTTGTTGTTGTTGAAAACAGAAATTTTAATCTAGAATAATAAGTGAAAAATATTTTCTGAATTTAAAGAAAATTTAAAGTAAATACATTTTTTTCTTTTTATAATTTTTTTTAAAATTATTTTTAAAGTGAAAGAAAATTTTAAAAAAAAGTATTATTATTATTATTATTAATTTATGGTAATTTTACAGTTTTTGTGGAACAGTATAGCTTAAATGGTTAGTTAATTGAAATTTTGTTAATTAGTTAACTTTTAAAAGACACTTGTTTCCAAATTTAATTTTCTAAATTAAATAATTTAACTCTCTTAACTAATTAAGACTTTTTAATTTAAGTTAATATAGCTTAACTAAATATAAATTGTCATGACATTTAACTAATTAAATGTTCCATTCAATCTAAATTACTTTTAAGTTTTACTAAATTTACTTTTAAATTTTACTAAATTTACTTTTAATATTGCTTTCTTTTTAATAAAACAAATTTGATTTATTTTTCATTTTTACTCCAAAGAAAAATTTCAAAAGGTTGTGCCATGAAGATAAAAATAATGTTTAATTCGTTAGTAAAAAAATCAATTTTGAACTGTATAAACAAATTTGTAAAATCTATAATTATTTAAAAATCAATAGTGTCAAATAAAATTTATTTAAAACAAATAAATATTTATTTAGCTCTGAGACAAATACATTTTGTTTTTCATTAAGTAAAGCAAAAAAAAAAAAAAAAAAAAAAAAATGAATCTCAATATTATAAATGAAAAAAAAAGGAAAATTGCATCAAATTGAATTCGATTTAACTCGAATAAAAACATTTTTTATTTTTTTAATAACAATTCTGAAGATTCATGTATTCTTCACAAATCTCAAGGTTGTCAAAAGTCTGTTGGGTACAGCCGGAAAAAAAGAGGAAACGAATAGAGACCATGAATAAACGAAAAGAAAAAAAAATGAATATTTAAAATTAAAGAAAAAGGTGTTTAACCCAGAATTGAAAAGTGACTTTATAACACTCAATGATCCCATTTTTCTCTTATATATAGTGAAACACGTGTTTGTATATATATATATATATATATATATATATGTGTCACAGTCTACGTGAAATGTCCATGTATATATATATATATACAAAAAATATCATTTTTTTTTCTTTTCATTTATAATTGAAAAATTAATTTTTCAAAATTTCTTCTATAACTTATTTTCTAATGTAATTTTTTTTTTTTTTTTTTAATGAAATGATAAATCAGTATAATAAAAAAATAAAAAATACTTACAAAAATTTCCAAATAATGACAATCGTTTGCCGACGGTGAGGAAAAAAAAATATATATATAAAAAACTCGGAGAAGAGAATCTTCAGTTCAGGAGCTTCTCAGCGACAATCGCGTGGTGTTTGTTAAATTATACTGTGTAGCGTGTGCTTGACACAGGTGTGATTCAAGGTGTGAATAACGATTCAACTGCCGCCTAGTTGTCATGAAATGAGGCTTCGATTAAAATTTTAATGCATCAAATAAAATCTATTGTCAAATAATATTAATAATCAAATATATATATAAAAAAAAATTTCACAAAAAAAAAATATTAGCTTTAACGCGAGAAGAAATTTAAGTGAGTCGCGCGATCACCATATATTTAACGGTCAAACATTTTTCTACACATATTCTCTTTCTTCATTGACAAAATGTTTTATTTATTTATAAAATTCTCTTGTTTTAAAAAAAGAAAATAATTTTTATTATTAAATTTTCTATATGTAAAAAAATACTGACAAATGACAATTAAATGATAATACAAAATTATTTTTTTCATAGAATATTGACCAAATAAAAAATTCTCGTGGAATATTTTATAAATATTCCCTTCGGAATATCGTACAGAAATATTTCTTTAAGACTGTAAAAATATATTTTCTGAAATTATTATAAGAATATTCCCTTGGAATATCATAAAAATATTGCTTTAATATTGGCTATAAAATATTTATTAATAAATTAGAAGAATATTCCATCCATATTCCAGGAATATTAAAATGTCCAACTTTTGGAACTTTCCTTTGGAATATTGTATAGGATTATTTCATTGGAATATATTCCATTGGAATTATTTTAAAAATATATTATATTATTATTATTATTATTAATATTATAATATTCAAAGAATTTAAAAACCAAAAAAAAATATTCCAATAGAATATTTTTTCAATATTTCAGTGGAATATTCCTAAAAAAAATCCAAAAGTAGGACATTTTTATATTTATGGAATATATATATGGAATATTCTAGGAATGTGAATGGAATACTTCGTGATAAATTGTTAAATATTTTTCCTTTCGTTTAAAAAGAAAAAAATTATATATGCGTATACACTGAGAAAACGATATGTTTGATTCAAACATAATATGTTTAACCCAAAATTAAAATAACTTTGTTATACAGTCAAACATATTTATGTTTAAATTTAATATATTCTCTGGTTGATTCAATGTGAAAATATATTTAATTTAAACATAAATTATGGTTGATTTCAAATTTATTCATAATAAATTTTTATGTTTAAATCAAACATAAAAATTTTAAACATATTTTCAGTTTAAGCCAAACAGAAAATATGTTTGAATCAAACATAATTATTCAAGCAAATAATAATTTTAAGCCAAAGTAGAAAATATTTTCTATATATTAAAATTAAACATAAAAACTGTGTTGGGTTAAACAAAAACTTTTAAACTGATCTTTATATTTGAAACAAATAATTCTTTTTCTCAGTGTACTTAAAAAAAAAACAAATTTTTAAAACAATTCACTTCCTGAGATTTGTATATATATATATATATATATATATATATATATATATATATATATATATATTTGTGTGTATTTAAAAGCTAGTGGGCTGGGACTTTTTATCAGGGGTAAAGTTGTCATGGTTACAATGTATATAGGGAATCTTCCTGATAAGCTCGTCAGGTGAGAGAAATACATTCACAATGCAAAGCTCGAGTTATGATATTATATTTTTTGTATATATGGGTTTATATAGAACGAAAAAGCCCGGCATACGTTTTTTTCGAGATTACATAGTAGAGATTGCATTATCACCAATGCAAACTGAGTCCAACTTTGTAGTTTTCATTCCCAGTTCACTGACATCAACTCCACCTTCTCTTCCTCCTCTACTATATATATATATATATACTCATTCTGAACTTGATTGAAAAAAACATCTATTTATGAAATTTCTTTTTCATTCCATAAAATTAAAAAATAGGTGTAAAGCACGTATTTCCTGAAATATTCCATGAGGAATTTGCAAAAAAAAAAATTTCCATGAAATTCAATAATTGCCTTTATAAAAATTCTATTTTTATTAAATTAAATATTAATATTAAATTAATATTAAAATTGGGTCTTTGTCGTCAAATTATATTTGAAAAATTTTTTATTTATAAAACTATTGTAATTAAATAGTCTTGACAATTACTTATTTATTCCCTGTTGTTTAATTATTTAATTTAAAAAATTTAACCTAAATTGTTCAAAAATATTTTAGAACATATATCGTAAAGTCGTAATACCTTCTCAATAGTACCTCAATGGTATTCAAAGACGTTACTGACACAGGAATCTACTTTACCGACTGCAGGTAAAACAGTTTTTTTGGAAAATAAAAATATAAAAAATTACAGACAAAGAAATCTACCTTACCGACTGATGGTAAAACAGTTATTGGAAAATGAAAATAAAAAATTACCGTCATAGAAATCTACCTTACCGACTGATGATAAAACAGATTTTATGGAAAATGAAAATATAACAAATTACCGACATAAAAATCTACATTACCGACTGATGGTAAAACAGTTTTTTGAAAAATTAAAATATAAAAAATTATCGACACAGAAATCTACCTTACCGACTGATGGTAAAACAGTTTTTTTTTGAAAAATGAAAATAAAAAATTACCGACATAGAAATCTACCATACCGACTGATGGTAAAACAGTTTTTTGGAAAATGAAAATATAAAAAATTACCGACACAGAAATCTACCTTACCGACTGATGGTAAAACACTTTTTTTGAAAAATGAAAAAATAAAAACTTGCTTTAAAAACTGCTTTACCGTCAGTCGGTAAGGTAGATTTCTATGTCGGTAATTTTTTATATTTTTATTTTTTTAAAAAACTGTTTTACCATCAGTCGGTAAGGTAGATTTCTACGTCGGTAATTTTTATATTTTCATTTTCCAAAAAACTGTTTTACCATCTGTCGGTAAGGTAGATTTCTATGTCGGTAATTTTTCATAATTTCGTTTTTCCAAAAAACTGTTGTACCATCAGTCGGTAATGTAGATTTCTATGTCGGTAATTTTTTATTTCTTAATTTAAAAAAAAATGTTTTACTATCAGTCGGGAAAGTAGAGTTTAATGTCGGAAGAATAAAGTGTAAATTTTTTTAAATAACCCGCTTTATTAGCAAATATTCATGGCTGACTCGTTACAACATTTTGCAAAATATATATTACATGTAAATACATTCTTTTTTTTGGAGTCTGAAATTTTCGGTTCAGCTGTAATATAATATATTTTATTAAAACTATTTTCTAAAAGTATAATTTATTTCATTTTTGAATATTTTTTTTTGTTTGTTTTTTTATTTTTGCTTCAAAAATGAATAAAAGAATGTATTCGTTGGCTTATTGTATACTTATATTTTTTTACTCATTAATCTAGAATTATAATCACTAATAGTGTTGTTTTTTTCAGCTAAGATTATTAAAATTAAAATGTATAATATATTTACAGAGACAAAGGCGAATTCAATTTGGCATCGCGTTTTTAAAAAGCTTGTATAATAAAAGTTTATAAGAATCTTAGACTCTTTGGTAGAAAAGAAAAGAGAAAAAATCGCCTGAACAATGAAAGGCACTTTTTTTAAATTCCTATTTCTATATTATAATATGTATAGGAATAAGGCACTTTTCCTTTTTTTCAATATAATAATTGAACTATTTACAAGCAAAAAAACAAAATAATTGTCGAACTTCTTTTCCACTGAATTCGACCATCAGTCTTTCAAAACAAACAAACAAACAGAAAAAAAGAAAACGAAACCTCAATGTCGATGACAATAATTTCGAGTTTAGAAACTGTTGAACAAAATAATAAGCACTTTTATGTAAAATCAAAAAAAAAAAATTTAAAGAACAATCTCTCGGGATGCGTAAAAGTATTTCTTCTCAAGAAAAATAGTGCAAAGAAAAAAATCTCAATATATATAGTATTTTTTATAAAATATCTAAACATTTTTCAAAAATTAATTCGCATAAAGAATGAGAATGAAATTTAACTTTTACATATATATAAAATAATACAAGTAAAAGAGAAAATCGTTATAGTCTCTGAAATTAGGGCTAATACAATTTTTTTTTTATATACAAGAAAAAAATGAAAAATTTCTTTCAAAAAAAAAAAAAATATTATATAAGTATGTACAGGCACACATTATTTACATACACACACATTCGCGAATATTTGACAATTTTACTTTTAATAAAAATAAAAACAAAAAAAAGAAAGTCAATCAATTTGCTGCACTCTTCAATTTTTCTCGCAAGAAAACTTTTTGACAAAAAAAATAACTTTATTTTTAACAATAAATTCTGTTGGAGTTTTTATAGTTAATGCAAATCCTTTTTTTTATGTATTTTTATACTTAATACATAAAGTAACTATTTAAAAAAAAATTTTTTGACTTAATAAAGACACCTGATCAGTCAGTGATGTAAAGAGAGCAATAATTTTTCTAAAAACATTCAACTAAACTATAACTATAATAATTGTTTAAAATAATTTAAATTGAATTAAAAATTGTTGTTTGAAACTAAAAAACTTTTCTTTATACCAATAACCTAAGATAATAAAAATTTTTCTAAAATTATTTCAAACAATTTTTTTTAGATGTTTTTTTTTTGATTTTTTTTTTTAAACATTGCTTTCGTAACACTGCTTATACATATGTCCTTGAGATATGTAATAGAAATAAAAACTAATAAAATATTCAAAAATGAAAAAATAGTGAATTAAAAAAAAGGGGGGGAATTTGTTTTAACAATTTAAACATCAATAATAATAATGAAACTTAACAAAAAAAAAAAATTCTGGTATACATACTATTAAATGAGATTCAATTTAGTCTTTTTTTTTTGTCTTAAGCAGAAAGTCCACTACCAGTAATTAAAACAGTTGACCTTTCTAAATGATTGTTGTCAATTTTTTGTCGTTTTCTTGGTGGTCCAGTTGAACAATTTTCCAATGTGACAATATGAGGTGATGAGAGTTGATGCTCAGGTGATTGTCCACCTGAAACTAAAACTGGTGAACGTGCAGAACATGGTGGCGAAGGACATTCAACTTTCAATGAATGACTATCGATTAATTGATGTTGTTGAGGTTGTTGCTGTTGTTGTTGATGTTGAGAGACTGGAATATCGTAGAATAATCCTGACATTGGTGTTTGATATGCATTTGTCGAAAGTCTACTTCCTGCTTGAGAACTTGAACTGTACAATGAATTCGCATAAGTTCCTTGTGACACACTTGTGTGGGCCATTCTCAAATCACCAAAATTCTCTGCAAAACAAAAAAATTTTTACTTAGTAAATTTTTAAAAATTAAATTCTAAAAATGGTCAAAAATTAACATTTTTTTTCACTGCAATAAAAAAATATAACTTCGTGCGATCATTAAAATTTAAAGAAGTCGAAATAAAGATGGTGCCTATACGTAATTATTAATTAATAATAAACTTTTATTAAAAAACAAAAGAAAGGAATTTTTGTTTTTTTTTTGATCAGTTTGTATTGATCAAAAATATATATAAAATATATAATATAAAAAATTATTAAAATATTAAAATGTAAGAATTTTAAATTGTTAATTTAAATTTATTTCACTTGGATACAAAATTTAAAAATTCACTTTTACTGTTACCTTTTTTGGTGACACTTTTTAATGAAATTTCATCCGTTTCATTGAAAATTAATTAAATATTGTTGTATTTGAACTGAAAATTTAAATAATATTGTATATCTTTTTGTCAAAAAACTAAAAACAAAAATCTAGTTTTATGCTTTATTTGAAGCTTTATCTAAAATTTTAATCATCAAAACAAAAATGTCTTTTTTTGAATAAGAAAAAAAATATGAAAATTTCTTCTTTTACAATATGAATAATTTTAAAAATACATACCAGGATCAAATTTGAAGTTATTGTTGTTATTGTTATTTGTATTATTGTTGTTATTGATGCAAGGGGCAACATTTGTAGAAATTGGAGTGTTTGATGATTTCATTGTACCCTTTGGCTTTCGTTTGCGTGTTTGAATATTATCTTTTTTCATTGCCAATGGCCTATTCACTCCATGAAGTTTATAATACAATCCACATGCATTACAAACAGATTCTCCCATTTGATTACGACGCCATAATGAAGTTGTCATTGTTTGACAATTGCTGCATTGTAGTCCTGTTCGTCTCGTGGCAGACTATATAAAGAAATAGAAATTAAAAAATATTCCCCAAAAACAAAAAAAATCATCAATTTCAACAACTCAATTTTTTTTTGTCCCCAAAAAAGAAATTTTTTTAATTAAATTCAAAAAAGAAAAAATATTTTCTTTAACATTTACTGTATACAAAATATGAAAATTACTGATGTTTTTTTCGAGAATAGAAGAAAATGATAAATATGAAAATGTCAGTAAAAAAAAAGTCCATTATTTACAATAAATTTTTCATTACAACATTTATATTTCACAAGAGAAAAAGAGGAAGCAACTGTTTTAATACCAAAGGTGTCTTGCACAAAAGTACGTTTTTACAAAAAAAAATCATCAATTATTATCGAAATAATAATTTTAAATAGGTTAAATTTTTTTTTTTTTGCTTATAAATTACCGTCTTTTTACAAGAGACCTTTGACTATCAAGATCAACCGGAGAAGAGGAAATAAAGCCACCACCTCACGCAAAGTCACGCTTGCCTGTAAATTCATTAACATATTAAATTTTTTTTGTTTTTGAAAACAGTTTTGAAAATTTAATTGATTAGAACAAAAAAAAATGATAAAATATTTGATTTTATATAGTTTATGTTTTTTTTTTTAAATAATTTTTTTTCTGTCCAGGCTTAACGTGATTTCGGAAAGGAGAGTGGTTATATTATATACCATGGGTATAGTGGCACCTCAAGCTACGACAGATCTCGAAAACAGAAAAATGGTGAAAAAAAAGGAGGCGCATATATAGAGATAATGGTGCAAATGGTAAATATGACAATGAATGATAAAATAATCTGAAAATGTTCATTCTCAGACAAAAAAAGAAAAAAAAAAAAAAAATAGCAAAATTTAAGGGAAATTCCTATTTCAATTTAATGTTAACAGAAAAATTTAATTTAATAAGAAAAACTTAATTTCATTTTTTTAAAGAAATTCTGATATATATTTTTTATTATCAATAAAGAAAAAATTTTAATTCACAAAAAAAAATGAGAAATTCAAATTAAAATAAAACTAAAAGAATTTCTATCAAAAAATAAAAATTACAATCTGGATTATATAAGCTGATAAATTCGAAGTATTTGCAATTTTATTCAAATATTTTTTCAAATGTTATTCCTTGCTAAGTATTATATCCTTCGAATTGTTTTGAAATTTATTAATTTTTCAATAAAAATAAATGTAATATATTCTAATTTTAAATATTAAAATTAGAAACAGAAATCTAAGAACATAAATTAATAATAATTAATTAAAAACAAGCTTTTATTTTATCTAAACCAATTATTTTTTTTTATTCCAAAATTTTATATCTAAAATGATTTCTTGAAAATTAAGTTTGGCAATAAAAAAAAAAATTCTTTGCAAACATCGAATTATTCGTGATTTAAATTCGTTTTTCTTTTTAAAATTATAAAATTTTAACCAAACTAGAAATTCAATTCAAAATTCTAAACCAAAAACAAATAAAAAAAAAAAAAATAAATTGAAATTTGAACCGAAATGAACATTTTCAGATATAAACAAAAAATTTAACATTTTTCAGAATAAAAACAAATTTTCATCGAATTTTTGGAAATTTTTGGACCAAAAATTGATTTTATAATAAATAAGAATAAATGTCAAAGATGATATAAGATGTTAAAAGACAATAGAAAAAAAAAATGGTGAAAATTCTAAAAATACTAATATACAAACTAATATATGAGATGAAAGAGGATTTTTGTTTTTTGTTTTTTTTTTTTAATGAAAAAAGAAAAATGATATAATGAAAGATGCATTAAGAGGAGGAAAAAAAAAGATAACGAGAATAGATAATGTTGGGACGGGGGATGACACCTACCAAACGGCGGCCCGATTTCTCCTCATGAGCGCGAGGTGCGCCACTATACCCATAGAAGCTTTTGCAGAATTCGCCCTGGTCCGCCACTGAAACAGACAGGAGGCCATACGTTAGGGGTATTTTTATACCAAAAAAAAAAAGGAAAAAATTTATCATGCTTTTTTTTCAATATTTCGATTAAAACAAATTGGCCTTACATTTTTTTTACACTTTTTAATTTCTTTTTTATATTTATTTATATTTATATAGGTATATATAATTGCAATTTTCACACCACGGGCGAATTCCTACATAGGCTCCTGGTTGCCTTTTGTTGGCTATTTTTTTTTTTTTTTTTTGCCACCGGTCGAGCACGAGAAATATTCCCCCTCCCCGCACATTGTTTATTTAGTATATAATTTTCTGTCAATTATTGCTTCCTCTTTCTCTGACTATTAGTAAAATTACAAATTTTGTAATTTATTTATTTTTTTTTCTAATAATTATTTTTTTATTTATTTAAAAAATAAAAATTATTAAAATAATAATTATTAATATTATAAATATTAATTAATTATTATTAATTATTAAATTAATAATTAATTCTTAAATTTTTTTTTCTTTAAATAAATAATTATTAAAAATAAAGTTTTCTCGTGTGACCTGGGTGGAAATACGTCTTACCAGGCGCCTTGTTTGTTTGACCAATGGTCGATTCATTCCATTCATCTTGTGATAGAGACCGCATGCGTTGCAGAGATAATGTCCGGTTCCGTCTCTTCGCCATAAAGGGGTGGAAATTGCCCCACAATTAACACACTCACGCCCCTCCGTAAAGAACTCCACCTCATTGTTGTGCACTGTGTATATTTTAGAGATTCGTAAATTCTATTTTTTTAATTTTTTTATTAAATCCACAATAATTTATTTAAAAAAAAAAAATTATTTCCATCAAATAAAATTTAGAAAAAATTTAATATTAAATTCGTAAATTTTTTTAAAATTTAAAAAGATTTTTTTTTTTATTTATTCCAAAAAAAAATTTTTATTTAAATATTTGTTTGGAATAAAAAAAAATTTCTCTTTTATCTATTCTCTTTATACAAATTATATATGTTATATATATTCGTTTTTAAAAGAGGAACAAAATAGCAAAAATGAGGCCATTTAAAGGGAAGATGAATAGTAAAAGAAATATAAAAAAAAAGTGGATGGCGAGCGGATACGACATTATCAGTTTCCGGTTATATTGTTGATAACCAATGGAAAATGGTGGACAGCCAACAAACTTTTATGTACTAAAAGTAATTTTATAATATATGCGTTCAAATTTCTGGTATAGAAAATAGTGTGTGATATTTTTTGTAAAAATTTCATATGAATAATTAATTTAATAATTAATTATTATTACTGCTTTTTATATTAATAATATATTAATTAATTATTAATATTTAGTTATTATTATTATTATTTTTATTATTATTATTATATAATATATAATAAAATAATTATAATTAATTAATTATTAAATTTAAAAAAAGAGAGAAACCTTAAAATTGATTGAAAAAAAAGAAAAAGAGGTCAAAGGACTATAGAAATATGTTGACAATGAACTGACTGAGAAAGCAATTAGATATTATGTAAAAATTTATGCTGACTGAAATCTAATGTTCTCTATTATATACACATGAAATTCTTCCTCTCATCCACCCTGGAGAGTTGTAACTTTTTTTTTCTATAAAAGAGATGTGTACTCGTATTGCGAGCTCACGTCTTTGTGACGCTTCTTCATCTTACGTGGAATGTGCCATTGCCATGGAAATTTGATATTTCTCAAAAATTTTCAATCGCAATTTTCATTTTGCATATAAACTATTTTTTTTTTTTTCAATCAAATAAATATTAACCAAAAAAAAAATCAAATAAATAAAAATTCAATTCCCCGATATAAAATATATATAGTATTTATCGAAAATAACTTTCAAATTGGCTATTTTATTAAATAATTATTTGATAAAATAATAATTAAATTAAATAATACATTAAATAATTACTGAAAAAAAAATTTATTTGATTCAAATAGAATTTATTATATTTAAATAAAAATTGTTTTGGTTCAAGGAAATAATTATATTTGTAGTCAGAAAACCGATTATTTGAATTAAATAAATTTTTTTATTCTATCAAATTAATTTACATTTTAATAATTATAGTTATTAATAATTAATAAAATTTATAATTTAATATGACGAAAAAAATTTGTTAAAATTAAAATTTTTTTTTAAATGAATTTATTAAAGGTGCGGTAAGGTTTATGTTTAATGTACGACGGAAATAAATTGGTATGGTGATCTCTCTTTCTCTCAAGTTCACCAATTCGGTGATTCTAATATATATATATATTTGAAATTAATTGAATCCCCCTGGCCACGTGTCCAGGTTCTCAGGATGATAGACGACAGTGCTGGGGTATTTCTTATATATTGAACATCGAATGTTAAAAGTGTCAGAAAGAAGACGGTAAAACTCTCGCGCGATTCAATGGTGTCTGGTCGGTTAAAAGTTAAACTTAAATTTCTCCGCACACTCGAGACTGCGGTATGTTAAAAGGCCTCTGAATTCGGCAGCCAACATGTGTAACAGACTTTTGCCTCATCAAAAGAGAGCCTCTTAAGTTAAAAAACATTTTTTTTTTTTTTTTTTTTTTTTTAACTCCCGTACGCACTTTATTAGTTATTCTCGACAATTTTTTCAATAAATTACCTTCACTCTAAATTTGAATTAGTGGGAATTTATTCACTAATTTAAATTGGAAATTTTCACGAATTTTTAAATATTACTAGGGTAAGTGTACCAATTACGGCGCGTTCATAAAAAACAACTACAGTGGAACTTCGATTATCCGAACCTCTATTATCCGAACCCTCTATTATCCGAACCGAAAAACATTTTATCCAAACTTCTATTATCCGAACTATTTTTTGATCTCCCAAATTTAAAATTTTATTTTCTCTATATATTTTATCTTTCATTCATTTCTGAGAAGAATGCTTGATTTGGCATCTAAAAAACGAATAGATGCTATCTTTCAAAGCAAAATAACCAAATACAGTTACTTATATAAAGATGCACATTTAAACAATTATTAATTTAATTATTTGAGATCAAATTTTTTTCCGCGCCGCAATTGAAACATTTTTAAGATTTCCATTGTCTCCAATTTTAGCGGGTAAAGTATCTTTAAAATACCACGTAATTTTGGTTATCGAAACTGATACAAACGCGCCGCAATAGAAAATTACGATATTAGTTTTAATTTCTCATATTTGTTTAAATAATCGATTTTTGTAAAGTTAAATTTTTTTTTATCTTAATAACATAAGCTTTTAGTTTAATATAAGTCTTAAATTGAGTTTATCAAATAGAAATTTCGAATTTTCTATTTCAAATGTGTTTTGACTCGAATCGCGCCGCAATTAGTGCATTTACCCTATTTGATTTAGTAATAGTTTTTTTTTTTTTTTTTTTTTTTTTTTTTTTTTTTTTTTTTTTTTTTTTTTACTAAATTTTTAGTTTTTTCTTTTATACTTTCTTTGTAAAGAACAACAAATTTATTTAAAAAATTTCAATAATTTTTAAAAAAAATTACAAAAATATATAAGAAAAATGACTTGTTTACTCGAAAGAAAAAAAATAATGTGTGAGAATAAAAATCTCAAGTATAATGATCATCAATAAAATAAATAAGTACATGTTTTTTTGAGTAAAAAAAGAAACAAAACACGCTGACCTCGAGGATCACAGAAGACTTAATCAGAGTAAAGTAATTACTCATATTGGATCTAAAGTTCCAAAATTAATACGGATCAAAACTTTTTTTTTTATCAAAACAAGCTTTTATCAAAATCCACGTCTTAATTATATATATAAACTTCAGTCAATAACGAACGATAAAAACTCGTATTGGACTTGAGAACTTGCATAATATATAAATAAATGATGATTATTGACAAAAATTATAGATTAAAAATAGTGCTTTAATTAAAAAATCTCGATCATTTAAATACTGATTTAATTTTATAATCTAATTTAATAATTTTATAATCTAATTTAATAATTTTATAATCTAGTTTAATAATTTTATAATCTAATTTATAATAATTATATAATCTGATTGAATAATTTTATTATCTTATTTAATAAATCTGATCTAACAAATCAATTTAAAAAATCTTCTGCTATACACGCGTGATAATAATTTTAAAAAAAAACTCTTTTTCCAATTAATTTGATTTTTATCTGGTTTGTAAAAGCAAACTTTTTTTTTTATTGCCCCAATGTAATTTTTTCCCCTTATTCAAATTTGGATTTATTCAATCACAATTTTTGTCCCCAATATAGAATTTTTTTTGTCTCATTAAAATTTGGATTTATTCAATCACAATTTTTGTCATCTGAATTAAAATGAAAATTTTGTTTTCTAATTTATCTAAAATGATAAGACGTTTTCAAAAAATAGAGAAATTTGCATAATGTGTAATATGACTATCATTTGTATCTGATAATAATGGATATGAAATACTCATTTATTTGTATTTATATATATATATATAGGTATATAAGTGTGACTGAAATACCAAAATTATCGTAAACACTCTTTGAGAGATAATGAGGAGCCCTATATGTTTTCTTTGATATCTTCTCTAGACACAACTTGATTACACCTACATTGTAGTAGCTAGGTCAGGATTCTATTCTTAATATGTTTTATTATTCTACTATTATCCAATTATTTTCTATTTTCAATCATGAAAAAATTTCCGCATCTATAAATAAAAAAAAAATCCCACTTGAAAAACATATTTTTTCCACATAAATTTTATTTCTCTTTTTTTCAAGTGTATTTAGAAAAATTTACTAAAAATTGTCCCGGAAAAAGTGGGTTTTTATTTTCAATTATTTTATTCACAAGAACCAAAAAAATAAAAAATTTAAAAAAATAAGTATAACAAAACTTGTTAAATTTTTTTCGAAATTGAAAGAGATTATATTTTACGTGAGACAAAAAAGATTTATCGAGATTTATTGAAACAGGTCTCGGTAACATGAGATCTAATGCAAAACGAAATGACCCAAATTAGTTACATACGTCTGGAAAATAGACCACCTAAAAGCGATTCCTCTAAAATGGATTTTTTTTTCGATATATAAAATTAATTAGAAAAAATAATATTTTTCGAAGAAAAAAATTGTATGTAAATAAATTTGAATTTTGCATCAAAATTTTATTTTTTTTAATATAAAAAAAAAAAAAAGATAATTGCAATTTGCTTTTAAGACCGACCGCCCTGAAAGTACAAACAGAACACCATGGCTAATATTACATATGACTAGTCTGTTTTTGATCAAAGCGTTGAGAAAAACCCATATATATAGACAACACGCCTACCGATTTGTTTGACAATTTCCACACGGATCGACTCTTTCTCCCTCTCTTTCTCTCTCTCTCTTTTTTTTACTACACGCTTTTACTTTCATAAAAAAAGGACTACCATCGAAATTTACAAAATATATGTCTATAAATCTATCACTAACTGATGTGCACGATTTTTGGGGAGTCTTTACAAAAAAAAAAGGAAAATTATGCGACTGTATCGCTTTTTATTTTTCTATGAACAGATGCTCAATATAAAAATTATTTCTTCATCTGGCGCCATTCAAAAACATTACCAAAAAAAAAAATTCTTTTCTCAATTTTTTATCAGCAAGTAAAACTTTAAAGACAATTAAACTTTTATGAAATAATTTTTTTAATTCAAAAATATTATAAAGCCAGCAGAGAAATTAAAACGTCCAAAAAAAAGTGTTAAAAAAATAAAAATAATTTAGGGAAATATTCGCTCGCAATAGAGAGATATATATATATATATATATATATATAAAATTTTTAAAACGCAATTTTGTTAAAATTTTTTAAAATTTGTAATGAAATCACTGAAAGTATTCGCGAGAGAGAATATATATGTTAGCATTGATCTCACGAATCGCGTGATCCGATAAACTATACCGAACGTGAGAATATGTCAAGTTTCATATCGTCATTAATAATTGATCCCGCAAATGAAGGAAACTCTGTTCACTTTTTCAATTAAATACACAATTTTCAATTACTCGAATCAATATAAATTAATTGTCTATATAAAAAAAAATTAGCACAAAATTATTAAAGTCTTTTCATCATTTCCTTAAATTAAATTTCATTCTTTTAAGTAGAATTATTTATAAAATATTATTTAATTAATTTTGCATCACTAATTCTTTTTTTTATATTAAACTGAATTTTCATTTTCAAAGATTTTAATCGAGTCGGAATTAAAACTGCGAATTTCAAATAAATTATAAAATATAGAAATAATATTAAGCCGAATTTTACTAAAATGAATTTTTTTAATTTAATTTCATAATATTTTACTATTTATAAATTTATTTCCCAAAGATTGTAAATTCTAAAATTCTATTTTATAAACAATTTGTCTTAATAAAAATTTAGTTAAATACAAATAATGTTAAATAAATATTTAGTGTAATAAAAAATTTTAATAAATAAGAATCTAATTAAATGAAAATTTAATGATACAACAATTCAGCTAAATGAAAATTCAACTAAATAAAAATTCTGTTAAATAAAAATTCGATCAAACAATTCATCAAAATGAAAATTCGATTTAATAGAAATTTTTTTAAACAATAATTAAGTTCAATAAAAATTCGCTTAAATTAAAATTATGTTAAATAAAAATTCATTTTAATAGAAATTCATTTTAATAGAAATTCATTTTAATAGAAATTCTACTAAATGAAAATTCACTTTAATCAAAATTTGCTATTAAATAAAGTTAAGTTAAACGAAAATTCGGTTAAATAAAATGTCCCTTAATCAAAAAATCCAAACGCATTATGAATTATGTATGAAATAAAAAAATATAGGCACAATAAAAATTCTATTTTAGAAAAAGAAAAATTCGAATAAAAATTGAATCCACTGGAAATTTGTAAATTTGTTTTAAAAAAAAAAATATATAAAATACTCACTGGCTGAGAGACTTGCAGCGGCGCTAAGGGAATGTTGAACGGACGTTGTTGTATTTGATGTTTGTCGTCGCGATGTCGTCCCAACCGTTCCATATTGTGAAACAAGGGTATCGCTTGACGTCGCATAACTCCACGGTGCAACATCGCCAGTTGTTGTTTGATGGGGTGTAGGTATATGATATGGAGGACTATAATTTCGAAAACTCGACCGACTTCCGAAGGGTTGCGTTGAAAATGCAGGCAAACTCTGACGACTCACCGTCGACACTGGTTTACTGCCATAGTCCTCGGCAATCACCTGAAGTGAAGTGTTAAGTCCTGAAAAATGTCCTATCCTCATTAGCTACGCCCTATTAGTCTAACATTCACATTTCACTTTTTCGAAACAAAAAAAAAAAAAAAAAAAAAAAAAAGAAAGAAAGAAAAAGAAAAAATTCCCTCAGCTCCGAGTAATATTCGAAATTCCACAAATATTTCCATTTTTGATTTAATTTTGATTTTTTTAAATTTTATTTACCGTATTTATTTAAATTCTTTTTTTTGCATTTGCTATATTATTAATTTTTTTTGCCCCGTAATTTTTTCAAATTTTTGTTATTTTTTTTTTACATTTGTTATTATTAAAATTTTATTTTCGCTGTAAATTTTTCAAATTTTTGTTACTTTTTTTGCTGTTTTATATTATTAATTAATTAATTATTAGTTATTTTCATTAGTTATTATTAATTATTATTAATTTTATCATTTTTTAATTAATATTAAAAAAATGAGAATAATAACAAACATAGTGAAAAAAATAACGTTTTAAAAAAAAATAATTATTAACAATAACTTATTATTATTTATATTTTAAATATAATATAAAAATATTATATTAATAAGATATTAAAGTACAATAAAAAAAAAAAAAATTAATGTTGTACCTGGTGCATTCCATATTTGCTGTGCAGATGCTGTGAGTTCCGTTGAATTATTTGTCATATAAGGAAGAGAATAATTATTAGCACCACTAGAATTTCCAATTGTTCCAACAGCTCCCAATGAACGATATACTGTAGAACTGTAACAAAAAAAAATTTTTTTTTTTTAATTTCTTCAATTTCACAAAATTGTTATTTTACATTGAAAACAAAAAAATTGTTTAAACAAACAATTTAAAAAAATATATATATTTTATTATTATTGACAATACATTACAAATTGTTTTTTAATAATTTTTTTTTTTTTAATTTTACATTTAATCGTTATTTAGAAATAAAAACAATTTTCGTAAATTTTTGAAAAATGAGAAAAAAATCTTAAAAAAAAAAAAATGGAAAGAAGATTGTCTTTTCTAATGAGAGAAGACCCTATAATTGTCGAGACAAAATGACGTATAGACAAAATTTGGTAGAAATCCCTTAAATGGTAGTCCTATATATATGTATATATAGGAAATATTTTAGTGTACAACTATTATCTTGGGACATGATCAAAAATGATACTTTTCGAAAATTGTACTTTTCGAAAATCCGGGTCATTATATAGGTTTGCAAAGATCAAAATGAGATGGTTTAGTGAAGAAAAAAGAAAGGCAAAAAAAAAAAAAAAAACGGAAGTGAAGGTTTTTGTATAATATATGGAGAGACCCAAATAGAATACCGGAACTATGGAGTTTGAACGTAAAATGTAGGCACGTGCCCTGGGTACATACTTCCTCTCAAGCACTTACGAACGATTAAGGCTAGTGGTCACAAGGGACACAACTACTCCATTACTAGGTGACCATTCATTTATTTTTTTTCTTTTTCTTTTTACCTGCCTAGAGAGACTCGTCTACATACCAGACCCTTTTTTCATTCTTATACAATATGCGGGCGCCACTTGGGGACAAAATTTATTTGAGAGAGAGAGAGAGAGAGAGAGATACCAAAAGATAGCGATATGTTCAATTTTTCTTCATAAAATTATTTTAGGATTTAAAAAAAAAAATAAAAATTTTACTAAATTTAATTAAACCAAAAATTATTAAATTAGACATATTTAAAATTTGAAATTTAATTAATAATAAATAAATAATAATAAGAGAAAAAAAAGTTAAATTTCAAATTAGATAAAAAGGTGCAAATTTTTTGTCAAACTATTATTTATCAAAAAAGTGTGAACACTCGTCTTTTTTTTTTTTATCAACTCACATGTGTTATATATACTAATAGAAATTGTTCTTAATCTAAAAAAAGTTTTTTAAAAAAACTCCCCTTATCAATATCGCGCTTTTTAACCTATTTACTGATTAGATAAATAGGTGAATATTTATTTTTTTCGTAAACAATAACAAATCATTATGTATATATATATATATATATGTAAATAAATATTTGTAATAAGAAAATTCTAATTAGAATTATGTTCAAAATTGCAACCAGGTATGCTAATTATTTTTAAATGTTCCTTAAGGACAAATAAACTATTTAATTTATCAATTTTTTTTTTCTTGTTATTTATTATTATATTTTATTGAAATAATCGGTTACTTGACTAATAATAAATAAATATTTATTTAAATCAAATAATTATTTATTTGTAGCGAATAAAGTAACTTTTACTATATTTTAAAAAAACCTCATATGTCCGCAGTTTCTCCGCATTTCTGGCAATTTTCACTTCGAATATATAGTAAAATTTACTTCGAAAATAGTAAAAATTATTCTGAAAATAGTAAATTTTACTATATGTATTTATAGAGTAAAAATTGCCGCAGAAATGCGAAGAACCTGCGGACAATTTAGATTTTACTTTTAAAGTATAGTAAAAGTTACTTTATTTCGTTTTTCCATTTTTCTCCGTATACTAAAAGGTATAGGAAAAATAGAAATTATTTTGTTCAAGCAAATATTTATTTGATAATAGTTAACCGATTATTTAAAAATTTATTTTTTCAGTGTAAATGAACAAAATTAAATTAAAAAAAAAAATGCACAATTTTAAATAAACAATAAACTCTATATTAATCACAAGAATTCATGTTGATAATTAAGTTTTTATTTTCCAAAAAATTAAAAAAAAAAAAAAAAAAAAAAAACAATTGTCTTATATTGACAAATGATATATACGGTTTTGAATAATAAACATTTTTATATATCACCGCAGAGATTTGTTATTAAAATAAGGACACATTGTTTTGAAAAATGAGTAATATAAAAAGTGTGTCAGAAAAATATTAAAAAAAAAAAATCACTGGCACCTGACGTGAGAAAATTGAGGTCAACAAAAATGAGTTCTGGATTAATTTTTTTTAATGAGATAAAGAGGGGGGGTGAAGAGTAGAAGAAGAAGAAGAAGAAAAAGAAAAGAGTTGTAACCTTGAACGAATTTGCAATGCTCGTGGAAGAAACATATCAAAGTACTGGTATAGTAACGTGTTCAAAACAAGTTTGAAGTATCACGTAAAACAAACGAAAAGCTATGTGTATGCTTCATGAAAATGTCAATATGAATGTGTCCTTGAACGTTTGTGAGGTAACCTGTCACGTTCCATTGTGTCGGAACGTGCCTGCGTGCCTCAAAGGAACCACACTGATGTGGCTCTTCTCTTTATAGATGATTCTCTCTTGAATGCTACTATACTAAGATCCACTCGTATTTTTTTTTCTTCTTTTTTTTTTTTTTAAAGTAAAACATGATGCACGCGCCAATTGTCATGTTTTATCTGGGCCAAATTCAAGTGCATAGGAAAAAAAAATTCCTATTCCTTTTTAACAATTAAACTAAAAAATTACCATTTAGTGCTTTTCTCGGTCTTTCAGACCTATTCACAGAAAATTAAAAGGTATTAAAATAAGCTGCAAAACGCTTATTATTTTAATCCAATTTTGCTTATTTTAATCCATTTTGGTATCAAAATAAGCAAAATTGGATTAAAATAATAAGCGTTATTGCAGCTTATTTTAATACCTTATAATTTTCTGTGTTCCTTTTTTAAGAAGGAATAATAATTGGAGGTTATGATGACTAACAGAACTAATTGCCAACAAAAATGCGCAAAAGTTAAAAAAAAAAATTTCAAACCCCTGTAAAAAATTACACTTTAATCGAATCGATAATTATTTAGCAGAATTATAATTATTAATTAAATTGTGGAATTTCACTGATTTGAAAATATCGCGAGAATGAGTCACACATTCTCGCGAGTATGGAAAATCGCAGTGTGAAACAAAAGTGTAGACGAATTTAAATAAAAACGCAACAATTTAGAAAAATGCTTCTCAACACAATATATTCTATAATGATGATTTATTATATGCGATGAGAAAGAATGAATCATTTGAAAATTTTATCATCTGCGCATATAAGTTTATTTGTTTGCATTTCAGTGCATTCAGAATGACGAATATAAATATATATATGAAACTTTATATATTATTTACTTATATAAAAAAGAAATAATTTGCACTTAGTTAACTAATTTTTGACATTTGATAATAAATTATGTATGTCAAATATTAGAATAAATGGCAAAATTTTTTAACTAATTCGCGCTTAGTTATAATACACTAAAAAGAAAAATTTTATTTTAAGATTTTTAAAATTCATTTGATTTAAGAGTAATCTCGAGGGGGAATTTACTCAGGTAGTCAAGTGTACACTCTTCCTGTAATACTTGTGTAATAACGTGTAATACCGTAACGTGTAATAATAATGCGTTATTACGGTGCTGTAATAACGCAAAAAAATCTGTAATATCTCTCTAATAATGTGTATAATACTCTGTAATAACGTGTAATAACTTAGTAATAAGGGTAATATAAGGTGTAATACCGGTAGTCCAGTGTACACGTTTTTTTAACTAGTAAATTCCCCCTCGAGTAATCTTAACACAGAAAATTAAAAGGCATTAAAATAAGTTGCAACGCTTCTAATTTTAATCCAATTTTGCTTATTTTAATACCAAAATGGATTAAAATAAGCAAAATTGGATTAAAATAAGAAGCGTTGCAGCTTATTTTAATGCCTTTTAATTTTCTGTGAATATAAGATTTTCTACTCTCTAAATCTGAATTAGTAAAAATGTTTATTAATTTGAATTACTGACTCACTTTTTGCTTCTGAATTAGTAAAATTTTACTAATTATTAGTAACTTTTACTAACTATTAGTAAAATTTAACTAATTCTAAAGCAAAAAGTGAGTTACTAATTTAAATTAGTAAACATTTTTACTAATTTACATTTAGAGAGTATTATTTATAAAATCAAGATGAAAAAAAGCAAATAAAATAAAAGAATAAACCTTTAATTGCATATTACGGTTTCATGCAATTGTTTTCTGGTACCTATGAGTGTTGGCACTTTGAGCTACTTGTGAATGAATTAGCGGTTTTCTCTGTCTCGGATATGTTTCGGGATATGTCTTTTACTCTTATATATATATATATATACATATAGGAGACGAAAAAAGTTTTATTTCTGAATGGAATGAACTGTATGTGCCGGTCAAGTTTCTTGACTAATACCAAGACGCACTTAAGTGCCACACGTGTTAAATGGTACATGATTCTACGCACGAGTGTTATACTTGTTCAACGATATATATATGTATACAATACTTCTTTACTTTTTTACCATGGAAACTTGTAACTATACATATATATACTTTGTTCGCAATGTATCAGGAAGAAAGTAAAATAACAATGCGCGCACGCGTTCCGCTAGAGTTTCCGTTTTACAATATATATTTTACCTTTTAAGAAAACAAAAAAAAAAGTACAAAACTCACAAATGCAACTTGCAAACAATGTTTCTGCAAAACTACATGTATACTTAAAAGCAAGTTTCTACATTATAAATAAATTTTTATTTTCCTTGTCACGGGAAAAGAGACAAACAATTTTAGGTTATGTTTAGTGATTTGATTTAACGTTCATTTTTAATTATGTATAATCAAAATCTTCTATTGAATAATTTGTATATAATAAAGACATAAACATCAAGCTTTTATTAGATCCTCTTCATTTTCAATCCAAAAATCACAAACATAACCTAAAATTTTTTTTGTCACTATAAGGTCCCTGTTTCCACGAAGCGTTACATATACATTTGAAAAAAATGTATATAACGAATTATTTGAATCAAATAAATTTTTTTTTTTTCATATATATATATGAAGAAAGGGACTTAAGAGACAAAAATTATAGGTTATGTTTTGAAAGTTTGAAATGAAAATACACAGCAATACAAACAATTGATGTTTATGTCTTCTTCTAAATATTCAATAAAAACTTATTTCGATCTCATATAAATAAAAAGGAACTTTTAATCAAGGTAAAACTGTCATAAACATAACATAAATAAATTTTATTAAAAATTAATTTGTCCGAATGTTATCGTTTTATTATATTTAATTTAATTAAAATTTTTCAAATTCAAAAAAAAAAAATTCGTTTAAAGTGCATATTGAATAAGAAAGTACTTTTCTCATGCGGGTTTTTCTGTATGTATAATTATATATATGTTCCGGGAGAGAAATGTTGCAATAAAAAAATTAATATATATATATATATATATATATATATATATATATATAACAAAACTAATAAAAAATTCTAAGTAGTCAGGAAGTTGTTAATGCGAATGAAGAAAAAAAAATAGTTTTCAAATGACAGAAGCAGGTATTTGATTAGGTCCTTTAGCTTGAATCGAGAGAAACTTTAGCTTATTATTTATGCGCACGAGTGTAAATGAGCGTTCCTATTTGTATATACAATATAAATGAATACGTGTGTTATGTATAAATGCCCAGCTCAATAACGACCTCAAGTTTCTTCTGAGAAGCTGGACGAACTATTCTCTTACACGGAGAAAAATGGAGCTGAGTTACTAGTAATAATTCCTATGGAATAGTAATAATTATATTTTTCTAGTAAAAATTACTATTAATTGTAAAATGTACTTTTCATGAAGTAAATATTACTATTTATGGTAGTAAAAATTACTAATAGTAATTATTACAGTAGTCACTTTAAAAATTACTACAGATGTAATGGAAATTGCTTTGCGATTTTTAAATTTTATAACGCCATTGTAAATTTTATTAAATTTTGTATTAATTTTTACATTTAACATTTTTTAAATATTACTCGTAGAAATTCTAATAAGCACTACTGCGGAATATAAAAATTGCTTCTGCAAGAAACAACTTTTACTATTGCAGAACAAACTTTTTACTCGAAAAAGTAGTAATCCGTACCACTACTACTATACGCCTGTGGGTGTGTGATTACGTCACTACGGTCATGCGCAGCGATCGTAGCCTGACGTTGTTAAAGTGATCCGACATTTTCGGGTTAGAAAGCAAAGAAAGCAAGGTTATGAAAGTGGTTAATTTTACAAATATAAGTGATCATCAAGGATAGAATTCATCAAATTTGAGACTTTTTTCAAGTAAGTTATGTGAACAGTTATATAAATATATACAAGAAGTCGCTTATCATAAAATTCACGTATTCAATACATTAGATATATATTCTTTCTTAAAGACAGATATTATTTAAATTATACTATTTGATGATTCCCATCTTCAAGAACAAAAAATTATATATTGAAACGAAGTTTATTGCACGCAACTTCAATAGATTTGTTTTTAAAAATAACACTCGCAAACGAAATAAGGTTAAGTTTGTTTCCTCAAATCAATTTGTATCGAATTTAAGTCACTTCTATTTTATTGTATGTACATTTCTAATTAGAAAATTATAATCAAATAATATAATTATAATATTATAATATTATTATAATATTATATAATTATAATATTATTATAATATTATTATAATATAATTATAATTATTATTATAATATTATTATAATATTATAATATTATTATTATATTATTATTATATTATTATTATTATTATATTATAATTATAATATTATTATAATATTATTATATTATTATAATATTAATTATTATTATTATATAATAATATTATAATATTTATTTATTAAATATATAATTATAATCAAAGTTAATGAAATATATAATCATTTTTTGATATAGCTGGTAAATTAATGACATAGCGTTCTATAAAAATGTCGCACTGGGATAATCAGAGTCCTTTTTATCGAAATGAGCAGCTTCAGACAAATAACGAAAATTATCAAAGATTTATATTTCCTCCGGAAAATCGTGAATTCTATCCATCAACATTTGATAACATTCAGAAATCGGTTGTGCCAGCGACAAGTATGTATACGCGTAAACGTTTTAATATTCTAATTTCTAACGCCAGAAATATTATTTTCGATGTTCTCGCTGGTCGAATTGTGGGTCTGTTTTCTTTGGAAAATCGATCGGCCTTGAAATTCGAGCAGTATATATTAATCGATTATTTAAAAAAATCATATTTTTTAAATAGATGAATTTGCATCGCTAAACAATTCCAATTATGCTCAACTTCAACCGGTCTCACACAATTTTACTACTCCACCTTCTGTTAACGAAACTGAAAAAATATCCTCATCAGCAGAATCGATAATTCAACAATCAAATTTTTTACCACAATCGCATTCTATGCCTTCGGAAACTGATGTACGTGAAGAGTTAGGAAATAGACAAATTTACCGAGATTCAACCGTTTCAAATTCCAAAGGAGTAAATGAAAATGTTTTATCAGTACAGTCAATGAATGATAAACAAAATGATTTATTTGTATTGCCAGGAAGTACACAGTTTGATGAAGATTACGGTGAAATAATAACAGATGCTGATGTCGCAGCAGTAGTATGATGATTTATTCTAAAAATTGTTATAATTTTTTCATAAATGAAATATTATTCATATATAATTTACAATAATTTTATTCTAAATTTAATTATTTATAGAATTTGAAAGAAATTTTAAAATTAACTATAGAAGGGCGTGCAATTCTTTGTGCAAATCATAAGTTGCCAAATGAAAGACTGAAAAAACCAGATCGTCTTGCCAGAGAAATTATAAAATATGAAACAGAGAAGGCCGTTTCTGATAGTGAAGATGGAAAATTATTAAAATTTGTGTAAGTTAATCTGTCTTTAAGTATATTCTAATGCTATAATTTCTTACTTTTTTTTATTTGCAGCATATCTAAAAGACAATTTCTTACTTACACTAAAGCGATTAAATCAATTTTCAAATGCGAAAAACGCTCAGCCTACTATATCCCGAGTCAGAAAACTAAATTTGGAGCACAAGGTGCTAAAGGCAAGTTATATTGCTCTTACAACTACATGAAAAAGAAATTGCGAAATGACAATATTTTAGTCGGAAATTCGAAGTCGGCAAATTCCCAGGAGGAACAAATTGATGAAATTGCTCTCGACGATAATACATCAGGTAAACAATTAACCATTTTATTTAACAAAATATAATAAATAATTATTTATAAGATTTTAAGTGAGATATAATTGAAAATTTTGCAAAGTAAAATATTTTTATAATAAAAAATAATAATAAACAAATTAAATATATAATAAATATATAATGAATAATTAATTAGAATGATTTTTATAGATAAAGAAATTGAATTACAATGGCTAAAAGAAAACTTGGAACCAATCGAAAGAATTAAACTTTATTGGAGTGAAACATTTAATGCTCGTCAAAAATCATTGAAAAATCATTCTTTGCCAGTGGATGAATATTTAAATTCATTTCCGAGTTTAGCCAGTGAGACCGGATATAAATTGGTATATAGAATAAAACTTTAATGCAAACGATTATATTTTTAATTCGTATAAAATAATATATTTTTATTTAATATTTATTTTTGTATATATACTTTTTTTTCAGCTCGAAGTCGATTTTTCTCGCCAGTTTCCAAATAAAGAAAATGAATTTAGAAGCAAATGGCCATTGATAAAACTGAAACTAATTGAATTGTTAAAAAAATGCAAAATAACAATGCAAAATGACGATTTGGCTTTATTTAAAACTTTAAGCATTGTGGATAATGGTACGTAAATCTATATAATATATTGTATACATAATTTATGTGTCAATAGTTATAAAGTTATAATGTTACAGATAAACAAGATGCAATTGTTTTGCACTTACTTCCTATTCTGACACAAAGGGCATACGTAGATATACCAGAAAATCAGCGAAAAGTATCGAATAACAAAAAGCAAAGAGTATCAAAAAAACGTAGAGCTACTTTGTCAGAGAGTAGAGAATCATTTTTTCTTGTCGTACCTGTGAGTTTTTTTTCTATAAATTTTAAAATATTTTGTATATTTTGCATAATTAATAAAAACTTTGTATATTACAGAATGTTGGAAATCTTGAGACAATTGTGGAACGTAAGAGGAAAGAGTACACTGAGAATAAATTGCCTCTTCAGCCACTGCCGGTTCTTATTGGAACTTTAACACAAGTAGAAGACGCCTACGTCATTATTGATAATCTGAGATATCGTTTAAAGAATACTATCGATGCAGTCGATATTGCTTTTAAAATTTGCTTCGCTGTTGACTGTCACTACCCGCCTGCTGCTTTAAATTCTTGGCTTTTTGTCCAAGCTGCTGGTTATGGTATACCTTTAGACGTTCCTAACGTTTCACAAACCTTAGATTTATTGATAGACGACGTCATCAGAAATAATTGACGATCGAAAAAGCGTTCACTTAGACATAATGTACTTCGAAATAAGTCATTACATTGATATAATTTTAGATATCGTTTAAAAAATAGTATCGATGCAATCGATGTAAAACTTTGAAATTGTTAAATTTTTTACGCTGTTGATTGCTGTCTATTATAGCTGCGTTTTCTGTGTCTCACAAATCTTAGATTTGTTAACTAAAACGTTAAAAATAATCTTTTTAATGGGATTATAAAAAAACGTTTAACTAAAAGTGTTCATCGATGTATATATAAACGTTTTGTTTTTATTATCTATATATATTTGGAAATTCTTATTGAGCAAGTAAAATCGTGGTTAGATCACAGGCTTTCGTGTAATTTTTTGTTTAACGCGCATTTAGCTTTTTAAAAATTTCATAATGTTTCAATGTTTTACTTGTAACGAAAGTGTGAAAAGCAATGATGATTTGTTGATTCATATAAAAATTGCACATTCTGATTTGTCAATTTTTAAATGCTCAGAAAAAAATTGTGACAGGGCTTTTTCAATTTTTCGATGTTTTCAAAGGCATAGAGCCCGAGACCATGAGTTAACAAATTCTCAAAATCGAAATCTCCAGAGTTCATCGGAAACTAGTTCGATCAATCTTAATGAAAATAATTTTGTAAATCAAAATAAAATTTTTGATAACGTCCCGAGTGACGATTTGATTAATAGCTTACCACCAGAAACACTTTTTGAAACGAATTCATTAAATGTTGACATTGAGGATGAAATGGAAAAAATTGAAGAAGATTTCGATTTAAAGTACGCAAATGATGACGTGTTGAAAAATTCTAAAAATAAGTTTAATGACATGTTGAATTTTTTAATGACCATACTAATTGCAAAATGGTATAACATCACTGATCTGCCAAGAAAAAGAGTTCAAATGTTTATTGATGATTTGAAATTATTTTTTAATTCGGAAATTATAAATATTTTGCGGAATACGGTTCTAACAAGATTAGAGTTGCTAAACGATGACCCAAATGAAATTCGTAAAATTCGAGATATGTTCGATAAATTGCAAAGTTCGCTTGACAATTTTGATACTGAACACAAAAGATTTCAATTTTTTAAAAAAAAAGGAACATTTATTCCCCCTATTCGCCACACTTTGGGATATAAAGAGCAATTCACAGAAGAAAATGGTAAAAATGTTATCAAGAAAGTTCCAATTACTGCTGAATACATTAATATTGCTTCAGTTTTTACGAAATTTTTTAGTTTGTCAAATGTTTTTAACCAGGTTGTAGAATATGTGAATTCGTTACAAAGCGTTTCAAGTCTTTTTCAAAATATAATTCAAGGTGATTTATGGCGACAGAAAATGGAGAAATTTGGAGACAAATTTGTTTTACCCTTGATTTTATATTTCGATGAGTACGAGACAAATAACCCACTTGGGAGTCACAAGGGAATTAAAAAATGTGGTGCATTATATTTGAAAATGCCATGTCTACCACCCGGATTACAGTCAAAATTAAGTAACATTTTTTTATTTGGAATATTCAATGCTCTCGATAGAAATAACGTAGAAGTTTTTAAACCAGGCGTAGAACAGTTAAAAAATTTAGAAACTAATGGAATAACAGTAATTATAAACAACGTAGAAAGAAAAATATATTTCAAAGTAATTAGTGTCACTGCAGATAATTTAGGCTTACAACAAATGTTTGGATTAGTTGAAAGTTTTAATTCCTCCATTTTCTGCCGCATGTGTCTAATAAACAAAAAATTGATCAATACGATTTTTCATGAAAATCAGTGCAAACTTCGAACTAAAGAAAATTATGAACAAAATAAGCAACACGGGAATAGTAAAACGACAGGAATAGTGAAAGATAGTGTTTTTAAAGATTTGCCAGATTTTCATTTTGTAGAAAACATTGTAGTTGACTTGATGCACGACATATTGGAGGGTATCGGTCCTTATGATTTGGGTAAAATTTTATACTATTTTATTACTAAAGACAATCCTTATTTTACAGTAGATGAATTTAATTCGATTTTAAAAGGTTTTCATTATAATTTTCATGACAAACAAAATAAGCCACCTGAATTGAAAGATACTCATTTAAAAAATCAAACATTTTCAATGTCAGCAAGTGAAATGATGTGCTTAATTCGAAATTTACCAATGATGATAGGCCATTTAGTACCGGAAGATTCGAAACATTGGCGACTAATAATTCTTTTGCAGCAGATAACATTGTGTGTTAGTTCAAAGTGTTCTCAATTCGGTTGCGTTGACCTTTTAGATTATATGATAACAGAATACCTCACTCTATTGCAAGAATTATTTCCAAATTGCTTTAAACCAAAGCACCACTTCCTTATTCACTACCCGAGAGTAATGCAATTATTGGGTCCATTGTGGCATGTTGCTTGTATGAATTTCGAACGAAAACATAGAACAGGAAAAATTGTAGCTCACGTATCACTCTCCCGACGAAATATACTTTATACTATCGCGTTAAAGGAACAACTGAAATTAAATTACGAATTTTTAAAGCCAATTGATACTAACCACGAGTTTACTAAAGGTCCGGTAAAAAGTGTTCATTCTTCAAATCTGAAAAATTACGACTCGTTTTTCGAAATTTTGCCAAATGACTTGCGAATTGAAAATTTATCAATTACATCTTGGATCTCTTTTAATGGAGAAATTATTAAGCCTGGAATGATTTTGGTTAATTTTAACGAAGATGAACCAGAGTTTTACTTCATTCATTACTTAATCACAAATGAAGTTGATGATTTAAACGTGATTGTTAGCGCAATTGAATGTTATTTTGATGATCACTATCAAGCGTACAAAGTTGTTCAGTGTGATTCCAAGTACACTTTATTTACTTGGGAAAATGTGTCTCAAGCAAAAATCACGTACATGACACGCCTTGGCAATGGTCAAGAATATGTTGCCAAAAAATGGTTTTAAATAATAATAATAATAATAATAATAATAAAAAAAAGTTTGACAATAAATAATTTTAGCATTTTAAATTAATTTTTAATTCCTACATTTTATTTATTTATATCAATTTCCAAAGTATGCAATTCCTGCGTATCCCAACCAAAAATTTCAGTATTATACCAGAGTTCACTATTGGCGCAGTACTGGTTCAGTATTGGCTGCCGAGACTGGGCAGTCTGTACTGATGCAGTACTGGTATTTTAATTGTATCAGTACTGTTGCAGTACCACCCTCCCAGTACTGGCAAACTACAACTGAGCCGATATTGAGCCAGTACTGGCTCAAATAGATTTTCTTTTTGATTAATACTAGTTTAAAAAAAAGTTCTAGAGTGAATCTGATGAATCATTTTGTTTAAATATTTTGTTTATAAAAATTTTTTCACCTTGATTTTATTTTTCAAAATTAAAATGTATTTTATTTTGCTTTTCTGTGGGTTAAAATTATTTAAACAAAAAGTTTCCTGAGACCAAGCCTAAAACATTTTGCAAGATTTTCTTATTGTTTTCAGATATGCAATGAACCAAAAAAAAAATTTTAAACGACCAAACTAAAAATAAATAAATTTGTTTATAAAAAAATTATAATTTTTTAAATAAAAGTTTTAAAAAAATTTTCTTGACAACACTTGTTAAAAATCAAAAAACAACTTTTATTTTCTTAAAAAAGTTTTTCAAAAATTCCTTCTGATGCCAAAAAAGTATTACCTGGAGTGAAACTTATCTCTGTTACAGTTAAAGCTTTCTTTTCGTATACAAGAAATTACAAAACTGCCAGTACTCAGCCAGTACTGAACCAGCAGTGGTTACCAGTACTGGTGCCAACTCTGGTAGCCAATACTGGTAAAATGTTATCATCCCAAAGTTACGCCAACTCTGGCGCCAATACTGGGTGCCAGTACTGCGCCATTACTTGTCAGTACTGCGCCAGTACTGCGCCAATAGTAAATTTTTGATTGGGATATAATGAATATCAATTGATTACTTAATTAACTTTTAATTAATTACTATCTAATTAAATAATAAAAATAAATAATATAATAATTATTATACCTATAATAATAAAATAAATAAAAAAAACATAAAGAAATAAACTTCTTAAGATTTTATGTATATTAGTATTAATTATTATTTGCTAATACTTCAAAGTTTTATATACTACAATGTGCAATTCCAACTGTTTTATATATAAAATTTTTATAACATTTGCTTAAATAATTCTTATTTATTTTGTAGAAATATTTTATTTTATTTATTTTATTATTATTATAAATTTTTATATGTTAATTTAATATCTTATCTAAATAAATACAATTTATGATTCATTTTATTAAAGAGGGGTATGTGGGTAAATTACAGTTTTGAGTGCAGCGGTTGCGACGGCCGAGAGGCTTAGTGAAAAAGCGTGCGATTTAGGGTTATTGCGTTTAGATATAAGTTTCGTAGGTAGGGTTCTAATCCGTATAGATGTAAGATTTTCTGATATGTTCAGTTGTTAATTGTAAGTGTGAATATGTTTAAGGAGTGAAACTTGTGAAATAATGAATATAATACGCATAAAGAGTGTTAATCAATTAAAAAATTTTTTTTTAAACGCACTGCTTTATTTTTATTTATTAAAATAAAACGAGAAAATATATAGCTCTCTATACTCGCTTCATCTTCTCATCACGTCGTGGACAAACGCGCAGGCGCGCAGCTGCACACGCGACAGAATTCCTTTCACCCGTACATGTGAGGCGCGTCATTGTAGTAGTACCGATTACTACTTTTTCGAGTAAAAGTTATTACTATTTCTTTAGGAAATAGTAATAATTGTTCCGATTCATAATAAAAGTTGCTTCGATCCTAGCATTTATTGCTTGGGACATTTTAAATATTACTCAGCTTTTAATAAAAATTATATTCCTTGAGATGAATTATTCTTTTTTGAAAAAAGTAAAATTTCTTTAAAAAGAAACAAAAGTTACTATTTCTTGAGCAGGTCCAAAATTACTATTTGAAAGTAGTAATTTTTGATCGAAAATGTTACAATTATTACTATTTATTTTTCTCCGTGTAGAATTGTTTAGAAATTCTTCTTCCTGTGTTCTTGTGCCCTTTTGTCACTTGATACGAATTATTAAATCTCATTTTCCATCAAACTCTTTTTTTTCTACATTATTTTCCTTCAAAGTTTACAAAAAAATAAATAAATAAATAAATAAATCACACAAAAAAAATTTATTTGATTCAAATATTTAGTACATATATTTATATTTATATTTATCACTCAGAGAAAAGTTTTATTTGAACGAAATATACAATTTTTTTGTATCAACAAAAATTTTTAGTTATTTTAAACAAAATTTATTTGATTCAAATAAATATTTATTTGATCTAAATGAACATTTGGTTCATTTTAATCAATTTTTCCAAGGAAGAAAGAATTTTATTGAACCAAATAAATTTATAGTTGATTTAACTGCAAAATAATATACATATACGCTCAGAGAAATGTCTCAAAGCCAAATAAATTTTTATTTGATTTAAATAAAAAAATTTTATTTACGCCAAATGAATGGGCTAGTGGGCTCTGAGATAAATATACGTTTATTTAACATAAATATATTATATATGGTTCAAATAAAACATTTCTCTACGGGTGTACATTTATTTGGTTGATTCAACCAAAATTTGGTTGTTTCAATGAAATTTTTTTTATTAATACAATTAAATGGTATTTATTTTAAATACAGAAATTATTGATTTAAATAACAATTATTTGATACAAATAAATATTTATTTAATGCAAATAAATATGTATTTGATAATAGTATATAAATTATATTTCAATCAAATAAATTCTTTTTTCAGTGCATATATAAACAGATACAATAAATCGTATCAAGTGCACGCAAAAATAGAATCAGGATTTTTTTTGGTAAAAACTCAAATTTTGAGGATAATTAATTAATAAATCTCATAATCATATCTTTATATTTGCAATGAAGAAAATTGCAAATAATATTTATTAAAAAGGTTCTTCACGTCTAAGAAGAAATGCATTAATCGCGAAATCTAATATCCTATGTGAATATGGCAACGGGGTTATAGCCCTGTGACTGTCATATAATATCTCAATCTTTAACTGATAAAGGTGTATACTTCTCACGATGCCAGAGAGCAAAAAAAAAAAAAAAATGCGAATAGGTAAGAAATTTAACATCAAATGTTAGGAAAAATATAAATTTCACCGAAAAAAAAATTTTTTTTTGTTCCCTATATATATTTCAATCGATAATTATATCTATGTATAATTAAAAATTATTCAAAAAAAGTAATTTTATATTGTTACTTTTTTTTTGTTATAAATAACATTGGCGATACTTAGTTTAATCAGCGAGGGCAAATATTTAAGAATCTTAAAAAAGACATATAAAGAAAAAAAAAAGTATTTCCGTCGAATATATCGATATACTGATATAACCTTCATTTTTTATTTGCCAATCATTTCAACAAAGTCTGAAAAGTCGTACTAAAAAAATTGGATAAAAAATTATCTGACAATAAAAATTGGAAATTTTTTTTTATACGATGGTAATGTAGAGAAGAAATAAAAAAAAGAAGAAATGAGAAACAAAATATTTTTCATTTATAATTATAGCGTTTGTGATTAAGTGTATTACATATGTATAAATCGTTACCTCTCTTTAAAATAACGAGATTATTTTTTAAAAATCTTATTTTTCTTGTCAAGGGAATATTCTTTTTATCCTACCAATCATAATGAGAGAGGTTATCAACTTTCTGATATATATATATATACACATTTTATATATATATATTTGAATGCTAACCCCATGACTTGTTGCATAATCTACATAAAAAAATTTTTTTTTAACAATCAAATATATTCTCTCTATATATAAAAATAATATTCCGAAATTGTTTATTTTTATCTAAATTTTTAATTTTTACCAAATAAAAATTTTTGAAAAATTATAACAAAAATATTGTTTCGTTATATTTTTTTAATATTCTTTAAAATTGAATCCATTTGTTAATATTTAGGACAATGAACAAAATAAATAATATTATATCTAAATAAGAAAAATGAACTTTTTTCATAAAGATTAGTGTGTGAGCAATTTTATACAATATTGGTTATATAATATACAATAATAATAATATATTAATTATAATATTATTAATTATATTCATAAATTATTATATTTATATTTTATATATATATATATATATATATATATATATATATATATATAGTAAATAAATAATTTTTATTTAATAATAATTAATTAATTGGAAAATCAATTGGCTAAAATAATAATTATTCAAACTAGAAATAAAACATCTCCTATATGTATATATATGTGTGTGTGTTCATCCCCCATGAATACGCCCACATATCTATGTCAATAAATTAATAAGCATATAACTCACTACATTTCGTGACACACTCTTGTCGACATGACCTTCCTTTGGTTGACAAAAAATTAATTTTTGCTTAAAGAAGAAAAAAAAAATTGTTATTGGATATTAAAATGATAATAATTAAAAAAAACCAAAAAATAAAAAAATCAGAACGGTTCCGTATCTGTCACCGCGGATGAATTGACACTGAAGATGTAGAAATCTAACAGAAAACGCAGGCGCAAAAGAAGGTGGACAGGATTACAGTTCTCCACCTCCTTCTTTTCATTCAACAACAAATAGCTCAAATGTCTTCCGCCCCCTCTCCTGGTTTACCCCTTACTCCAATTTCCCCCCTCATCGTCGCATATTTATTGTTCACTTAAAAAAAAAAAAAAAAAAAAAAAAAAAAAAAAAAAAAAAAAAAAAAAAAAAAAAAAAAAAAAAAAAAAATGAGACTCTAACACCCTTTCTCCCGACATATAGAAAAAAAATTACTAACTTTCAGCTGTTGTGTATATGTATAACTTCGTTTTACCCCAATTTCCCTTCCCCCACCCCCCTCCCTATGTTGTTCCGGACATGTTGGTATCACAAAACCTCCCGCCACATATGACTGCG